ATCGCGCGGTGACGATCGGCGGAAGATCGCGGTCCTTCTTGCCTCTCTTCCTCCTCCTCCTCTCGCGGGGATCTCGAATTCACGGCGCGGCGTGCACGATCGATTCTCCGCGTCGCGCAACGCTCGAACGAACTCAAGCCCGGCTCACCGATGGAACAAATTACTATAGATATTGCACGCCGCGGATCGCCGCCGAAGTCACGTCGAAGTTACTCTCTTCTTGCGTCTTCCCTCGTTTCTTCTTCTCCCCGACGACGGCGACGAAGACGAGGAGGAGACCGGGCAGATAGCGACGTCCGTCATCTACCGTTAGGAACCGCAGAAAAAGCGGAGCAACGCGCGAAACGAAACGCGGTTTCATCGGCTTCACGCCTCGTCCGCGCCGACTCTCCTCCGCGGCTCTCCCCGCCGATCATTGTCCAGAAAGTCAGTGATGCCCTTCCTCGTTTCTTTGTCTCTTCCCGAAGACGCCCGATCGAGGTGCGCCGCGAAAGAAGACCCGGAGGACGCCTTATGACGAAGTCCCGGTCGTCGTGCGCGCGAGACATCTCCGCACGTGAATTCCGATTCGACGTCGTTAACTTTCAGATAACAAGGTTCACGTGGGTCGGATCCGACCCGTGGAAACATTTTGCAGTTTTCTCAACTAATTTCCTCGACTAGGCACTTTTTATCGCAAATATGCAAAATACCTGACGCTTTACAAGCGCGTTCATGAAAACATTAGAATATCTGGCCCGGCTGATCTTGTTATTCGAGGGTTAATTAGACGAGGCGTGATGTGTCGATCTTCGATTTCACGCTCATGAGAAGTCGTTTGATACTTCGTTCGTGAAGACTAAGGAGAGAGAGAGAGAGAGAGAGAGAGAGAGAGAGAAAACGAGTCGCGGAATATTCCAGCGGGGAAACGGTGTCGACTTTCAAGTGCGATGCGCCACGTAACCGATTCACGTTCGCGTGCACACTTCGCGCGGCAATTGTTTAAATAATACGGCGTTGGCGATATGTTAGCTGTGTAAGGCACACCACGCCACGGGATCGGATATAAAATCACGCGCGCGCGACACGTGGCCTCACCGGTAACATACTGAGGACCCGACGAGCATCGAGTTCGTCGCCCTGTACATGTGTATGTACGTGTGTGTGTGTGTGTGTGCGTGCGTGCTTGTTGAACGCGTGTACGTGTGCCTGTACGATCGGGGTTGGGTTATTATTATTTAAAACAACCCTTCGAGCGATCGTGCAGGGGGTAAAAGCCTCGAATCCAGGGGCTGTAGACCGGAGAAAGGGGGAACTCTAAAAAGTTGGAAGGGTGAACGGGTCCAGGTGCCGGTCGGTCTACAGCCTCCGGGGGTTAAAAAGGGGGTACGCGCGAAAGGGGGCTCGTCTCTCTCCTTCTCTCTTTCGCTCCTTTCGATTTTTTCATTCATCCACCCCGCGGTAAAGGGGAATCCGAGAACGAGCGCATCAGCCGGGAGACTTCGAGGGACTCGTTTGTTCCAAAAACGCGAGCGAAGCTCGAAGCCCGGGACGATACGAATTCTCGTGTCGCGTACAGATCGCGCGATCGAGAGAACGAGACGGGCGCAATAAGTTGCAATTAATTTTCGCCTCTGACTGCAATTTTCTCTCTCCTCTCGTCATCGTCGACGAGCGCTTCGCTCGCACTCGCAGCGTCGATTCCGCCGTCGGCGAAACCGTCTCCACGCGCGGAAGACAGAGGCGGTCTTGAATAATCCAAAATATCACTGTCAATCTCTCGATGTCGCGTGAGTGCAGCGACATGGTCGCTTGTAGTACTTCCACCCCCGCGAATCTTTCCCCCTTAGCCGCGTTGTCAAACGGATGTATGTTCCGCATATGCAAACGTCGGTCCGAGCGCACAGCATCAATAGTGTATCCGCGCACTCTCGTGATATTCGATGTCCTCTCTCTCTCTCTTTCTCTCTCTCTTACTCTTGCACTTTTTTTACGTTCTTAAAGCAGTTGTATCGTAGAGATTTTCAGTGACGACTTTAAAAAAGGCCTCTTCATAAATTTATTATTTACTGAAAAAAACTTTTTTATAACTTCATTCAACTTCATTTAAGTAACAAATTTTAGCGCAATTAGAAGAAATATACACAATATTGCAAGCACGGACATATTATTTACTTTTTATTTTTTTATTAATGTTTTATTTATACGTCAATTGAGCTAATAGAAGTGCACACATAATAAGAAGTGATATATAAATATTTAAATATATGTATATGTATATATATTGTGGGTATTATTATAAATTGTATATTTCCTATGCCTATATTTTCCAAACAAAATGATCAATGATTCCGAAATTTTTGTATAACGTCTCTACATTACTTTTTAATATCACAGTAATTTTTTATTAAAATCCTTATGATTTAGGATAGAAGTTAAAAATAGGACATAAACCTCAAGGAACATGTAGGAACCGGCAAGCAACTATACTTGTATTAAACTTCTGCAAACTCAAGGGGTCTTTAACCCCAGGGTAAAAATAAATAGGTTCAACTCCTGGCTGAGACAGTATTTCCCGCAACTTATTAAAGAATCAATTATGCGTAAATAGTTAATTAGTAATGGGGGTCTGAAGATTTATTTAATAATTGAGATGCAGGGTCGGTTTGTCGTAAAAGGGAGACTCCCCGCGTGCATTAAAAAATCTGGCAAACCCGTCACCGTGTGCGATAACACTATCAAACATATTATTTCCCATATAAATTTATTCGCGTCACACTGAGAAAAAGAAATTGAAATCTTGCGAAGTAAATGTTTCCTGTGACATTTTCCTCGATATTTATTGGTTAGAAAAAATTGTACTGTGATGACGGAATATATATTTTTGTGAAATATATTTACGTTCTTTCATTAATCGGTTTATTTATTAGGAATAAAATTGTATTTTGTCGTATTTAAATAAACGCTCATTTCTGTGAAACAAACCTTGTTTCACAAATAAATTTTTAAATTTTTTCTCCTCAGTGCAACAATCTGCGCTCGGCTCTTACAGACCTTTTCATGTTTTCCTTTGATTGTATTGGGTCCTTGATTCCTTGGATTTTCTGGTGACGCGCGTTTCTACCGGTGAATTAGCTCCGAGCACTTTTTACAAACGCAAATAGAACGCGAAAACCGCAAGCGGGGAAGGCGGAGAAGCGGCGTAATCCCCGTCACATCCGTCCTGTATCGTATCGTACCGAGGAAATTTTTTTCAGACGGGAAACAACGCATCGATCGGAGAACGGCGCAAAAGTTCGGGCGTCAGCATACGGGACGTGCAGACAAATTGTTGCGATGTGAACAAAGTATTGCAGCGGGTTCCATTATCGTTCCTTCATTATTAATTGCCAGACAGCTGCAGCATCACAGTATACGGATAGAGACGTCATAGACGCATCGCACCTCGACGCGGCAATTAAATTATCCGCGGGTAGTCGGCGATGGAAAATTTCCGTCGCGAGTTCGCGGGCGGAGGGTCGTTGCACCTTTATGATTTACGGATTAATACCGCGAAAACACGAAACGAAGCCGGGAAATGCCGGCGATCCGCCGCCGGTCGACGCTCGCGCGGCGTCTGATAATTTCATGACGGCGCTGAGCAGAACGCCGAGCAGGGCATTCGCCCGTTAATGTAATCTCGATTATTGTCCGTTAATGCGATGTAAATTATTGAGAAGCCGATTATTTAATGTAATATCCATTTTGGGAGCGCGCACACCTCTCGATCGCGAGGAAATCCGCGCTTCCTGCGCGCGGCTCATCGCGCATTACCCCGTGCATACGATCGGAACAGCACTCTCGGTCTCGGAAGACGTCGATTTTGAATAATGTAGCGCGTCACCGTCAGTCTCGGTGTCACCTGCGCGTGCTGCATCAAGGCATCACTTATTCCCGCACACGTAAATCTCTCTCTCTCTCTCTCTCTCTCTCTCTCTTCCGCTTCGAGCGTTATTAACCCTTGGAGCACCACGCCTGCAGGTGTTTGACGAAAATCCTCGTCGTGTGCGAACAGCGTCCAAAGGCACCGACGTCGCGAATCCGGCGAGTTACACAACTCTCGTCGGTTCTGAGATAGAAATATTTTGTTTCCGCTCTCTTGAAATATTCTATCGGATTCGACATCGTCTTAATTAACAGGCGTTTCTCCGCGTTTGACTCGCGCCCACACGAGTGTCAGCGCTACGAGCTAGTGTGCTGTAACGGAGCAACCACATGGAAAAAATTTCAGTTCTTGCGACTGAACGGGGATCTGAGGTGAAAAATCGAGGACAAGAAATGAAAACTCAAGGCCACATGGCCTGTTCTTTACAACTGAACTAGCTTCACTGGTTTCAAGAAATTTACATGCATATTGAAACGTACGTACAAGATTCTCACGTTTCAGTGTGCGTAAATTTATTCAATTAGTGCAACCAGTTCTAAAGAACAGACCAAATAGGTGAGATCTCTGTTACTGCGACTGAGAACATCCGTGTGAACATTCAGCTTAAAACTAGTTAAAATTCGGTTGAGACAAAGAGAATAACTGACTGAACATCATTCCTATATGAAAAAAAAATTAGTCTTAAGTCAATGTTAAATATTCTCATATACAATATAAGCAAAAATATTATAGTCTTCTTAGATGTCTTGACTTAATTGAATTTTTGTATTAATGCAAGTATTATTTAATTGCACTCAATTCAAGACTAAAAATCTTTTAAGAATATTATAATATTCTTGCTTATATATGAAAACATTTATCATTAATTTAAGATTTTTTTTTTCTGTGTAAGAATATTTTTTCTGTGTTAAAGGAATGTTTTTTCTGTTCCTTCAACCGAATTTTTGTCTGATCCCTAAGCAACAAGTTTCATCCACGATTAATTACTCGATCATCAATTTTATTCGAGTATAAATCTCTGGAATGATGTATCACGGGTTTCACGAGTACGACAATGAAGGGCAGAATTTCGTATTACGAAAAAAAATAACAAAAATCTTTTATTTGCATAATATATTTGCCATATCGCGTAAGGGTACTTGTTCCACATACGATGCGCTTACATAACTCGCAAGTAGCGTGTATGAATGTCAAATGCAGAATGTATATATAAGTAATGCCACACTCTTTGGTGAACGTTAATATAAACTTCTACTCGCAAGAGTGTCGTTTTATTCTTCCGTTTAATTAAATTCCACGGTGTTTTGCGTATAGAAACGCTGTAAGATGGAATAAGAAAGAATTTATACAGCGAGTTTGTGATACATGCGAATTAGAAGTTCGTGTTTGAAGTTTATCGCCAACGATGTTCTCGCATTCTCCGCTTTGCGTTAAAATCGACACTGTTCTTTTTTATTTTATAATGTTTCTATCAGAAACTATGAGTATATATATCAGAGAGTCGTCTATCTTTTTCTATAGAGTATAAAAATGTCTAATTAACATACACAGAGATGTTACACCTTATAACGCATTTATGACAAATCTGCTATATATCCCCATTTTCTTGTTAACTTGCGCTGAGAGATTATTTACAATAATGTAACACAACATGACGAGATTATACATTGGGAAAAAAGCCGACCGTAGTGACTTTGGCAGATAAGAAAGATGTATCTAAATAAAAATCACATGATTTCATAATAATAGTACAACAAAAGCAAATAACAGAAACATACATCGGAAAATCTCTAATTTCAATAATGGTGCAATAGAAGATAGTTTCTTTTATATTAATAAATTAATTCTCATATTTTCTCTGCAACTCGTGCAGAACGACACATTAATTACAGATTAATTCTATGATCTATTTTACATATGAATAGGAGGTGATTCCTTGTGTCAGTACGAAATCGTAACTGACTTCACGGAGAGAATCGTTAAAATTACGCGCCTATTAAAGCTGGTCCTAGAATGTCCATGTTCGCCGTGGTATCTTGCACATTGCTGTTTGCGATCATGTATTCCGAAACGGATATATACACCGCAACCAACAGACCGATAACGCCTGCCGCGTAAACGTTGCGCTGCAGAATGATGCATGTCGCCACGCAGAGACCGAAGTACGTCAGATATCGCGCCAGATTTTCCTGTTTCTTACGGCCGAGCAGATCCGAGTCTGCAAATAATACAAATCATGAGTACGAATCAGAGAACGCTGTTGTCACCTTTTTTATCATCTTATTCATTACTTACTTATACACAGATTTTCTTTCTTATGGTATCCTTCAGCACACCCGACGCACATGTCTGGACCATCGCCGGTGCAGCCGTTGCAAGCTCTATCGCAAGCTGGAAAAGTATATTTTCAAATTACAGATATTCTTGTATTCAAGTTTCTAGAAATATCGATTTGTAGAAAATTTATAAAGTATATACACATATATATATATATATATATACCCAAGCAAGAATGTCCTCCCTCTTTATTAACACAAAACTGATTCCCAGGACAGATCTCGTCGCTTTTTAGACACTCGTCAATGTCAAAGCAGCCTTTGTCCTCTATCATTTGCCAGCCACTTGCACACTTCTCACAATCCTTCGGTCCAGCGCCTCTGCAGGGCCCATCGCATGCTGCATGGCATGCTGAGCACAGCAAGGTCCTTTCATCCTTGTAAGACTCATAGTATCCTGAAGCACATTCTGAACAAGTATCTCCTAAGTAACCCCTGTCGCAAAGGCATTCGCCACTTCCTTTCCTAGTACCGGCTCCTTTGCATTTGCCATTATTGTTGCATATTCTATCTGGATATCCTGGACATGGTTTGCAACTTGGACCGTAATGATCCTTAGGACAGCAACGTTGTGTCTTTTCTATACAAATATAGTCGTATATATCCGAATAAGTATCTTGGTGCTTGAACCACCATTCCTCTATCAGATTCTCCAATTCTTCCGCTAAGGTATGGCACTGTATCTCTCCATTCTCAATGTCTTTGCATAGATTCTCCTGTATCTCGACCAATCGTATCTCGCTTTTCGCGTAGGAACGAAGCTTATCTTCTTCCCAGGCACTATCTCCGCCTTCAAACTTTCCACGACTTGTCTTTTCTAAACCCTGTAAAATAATTGTAACTCTTGAAATTTTCACACCGACTAGAATGATGTACAATTTTACCATATTTAGATATAATACAATTCTGTCACTTTAAATTTAATAATCGTCAAACGTCAAATGCAATATTTACCTTTTTGAAACTATTGGTGAATAATTTGCAAGCTGCACAGGGCGGAAGCTTCTGATTCTTCAATTCGTCTTTGCTCGGCTTTTCTTTCTCACATTGCACACTGTTTACGCAAATCAATACAATCACAAAGAGATTCAGAACAACAATACTGGTCGGCACTTGCATTATATTGTTATATCGAAACAGACCGGTCACCGACACAACTGTATAGTATACAATAGTGTATAAAAAATTATAGGAAGCACCTGAGCGTATTCTCCTTACGATTGGAGAATAATGGGGTACAAATATTTCCTGAGGGTTTATTGTGTTATATGTTTCGTATTAGATCGTGATTAATTTAAATAATTCCATTTGAACGATACCTAACAGGTTATATTGACATCCAAGATTGAGCGGACCAGACGACAAAACGTGCCTTTCATATCGGCCAATCAAAACGTACCGCGTGCAATTAGAGTTGGCAATGTAGAATCGATGAATCGATGATCGATTTTCCCTTCGTCAGGCCGCAAAATCCTTTACTTCTCCTTTATTGTTGATAAATAAACACAAAAATTTAACCGGAGTTGTTTGGTAGCTCTACTAAAGAATAAAGAGGTTATAGATCTGTCCTTTTTCGTTGAATTGGCTGCAGACGGTATTCATAGTCAGATCTTATATTTAAAACTGGCTTAAGTTCATCTTCAGATGCTTAGCAACCAATGAAATGAGGCATACAGTATCTGAAGATGAATTTAAGATGATCTTAAATATAAGATGCGACTATGAATATCGACTTGTACTAGTTTTGATTAGTTCTCTTCGTCTTTTTCCACCAAGTCTTAACTGTATCTATCTCTTTTTAAATTCTATAAAGCGAGGTTTACAATGAGAATTTAAGCTCTTAAGCCTGTTTTACAATATGTCGTATGTCGTTGTCAGATGTCGGAACGCAGCCGATAATCCAATGAGAAGAATTAACTTTCGAAAAATAAATTCTCTCATTGGACCATCGGCTGCATTCCGGCATCCAATAGCGACATAAGGCATATTGTAGAACAGCCTTAAAACATTGACCAATCACAGTCAAATGTGAGGAGAATAATCGACTGTAATTGGTCAATTTCTTAAGGCTTAGAGCTTAAAGCACCTACCGTAGACTGGGACTAAGTGTACGTTAATTAATCGAAAAAGAACGGACCTTTTATTTCATCAGTAGTTGAGCCATACTACTTGTAAATAAAGTTCGTCCGCTATATCGTTGAGTCGCACTACTGCCTCGATTCTTCGATAGTGGCGACTCGTAGCAGAAGTTTTGGAACTAAAAGCTTCAATGAAAAATTTGTGTAACAGCCGATATCTGACGACGTATACGAGACGTATCTACAAACTTATCGAATTGCAGTTTGTGACGATTAGTGACGTGTCTCCCGTCGTGTCAAGAGTTTAGAGAATTTGAAGAGAGTGATGTTTGATTAATTGCATAAATATTCGTCCAATATTAAGGTTAAAAGTAAAAATATGTTAACGAAATTCGAGACGAAATCCGCTCGAGTGAAAGGACTGTCCTTTCACCCGAAACGTCCCTGGGTGCTTGCAAGGTAAGTGACACATGTGTTTTAATTTAACTCAGTGACATTTTTAGAGATTATTGCCAGTAGAACATTTCAACAGATTGCAAAAAAAGTGTCCCACTTTAAACAGCGGCAGTATTGAAATGTCATTCGCTTGAACACTCTCTGATTGTATATTGACTTAACCTATATTTGATGTGAATTTAGAATTAATAATATTACATATGAGGAATTGCATTGAATAGGAAATAAGGGTTTGTTTTTATTATCATTTTCGTAATCTTCTTCTTTACTATTATATCTACATACTAATTTGTAACGTGCATGGGAAAAATATCAAAAAATTTATTTTTACATGATTCAAATATTATTTACATTATTGTAGCAAGCAGTTTTTTGCATCATGTTACAAATTCTCATCATCATTTATGATAACGCAGCAGGATAAAACACAATATCTGAGTTTACATTTCATTTGTGGACATTGCAGATGTTTCGGTGCTTGATTCCTTTGTTGAAGTACTTACTTTTGTGTTCGCAGACTCAGTACTGCTTACTTTATCATTTACAATTTGATCATCACATTTCCTAGATTTTACTGTAGACTTTGCAGACTCGGTTGTCATTTCTTCGTCGATTACCTTAGACGCAGTCATGGTTTCAACTGTGTTGGAAGTAGATTCACTGGAAGATGTTTCTTCAACTTGATTTACCGTTGACTCAAAATTGGATTTTAATTCTATCATATTGGATTCTACAGAGTTAGCAGATTGGGTTGTTGTCCTTGAACTTTCAACAGTACTTGCTTTCGCAGGCACTGTTGTGTCTTTAACAGCTGCTGATGCATGGTTCAAAACATTAATAGGAACTGGATTGGCTGTGATGGGAGTCTGATAAAATAATGGCGCAGAGGGATTGTAAAAGTCAAAATCATGCAAAGGAAATTGTAAATCAGTATAGGGACTGTGAGGATAATATTGGTCCTGTATGACATCCGATGGTATATGATATCTGGGAAGCACCACTGGAAGTTGCAAATTTAAGAAATTTGCACGGAACGCCGGATAAGGCATAAAAGGAACTTCTTGAGGAGCTTGATGTTCAAATGAGCTATCGTTTGCTTCCGGATTTTTCAATATTTTCTCCCCTTCATCGGAAACATCGGTGTCCAAGACAAAATCTTCTTGTTTGTTCATGTTCGCCTCAATTTCGGATTTAGATTGTTGCCCCGGAGACATTGGATTTTTTTGAGTGTTGTTTTGGGTATTATCCAACTTGTCTCTTTGCATGTAGCTTTCCGGTGTCTTCATCATAGCATCGGTTTTATACATCGAGTTCATTGTCTTCTTCAGCTTGCCCAAAGAATCCGCACCGGTTGCAAAGACAACGTTACTGCCGCCGCCATTGAGATCCTCAGTCGAATAGGAATATCCATCGAAATCAGAATCGAATTCGGACGCCGTATAGATGAATCTCGCAGCGGTAGGATACTCCAGGTGGATGTCCTCATACGGGACGGAAATCGCTCTCACTGTCGATAGTGTCCCCAGGAAGAGCTGAGAAAATCAAAGAAAGAAATGCGTTTTTACCTTCGATTATTTTTTACACGCGAATCGACGTGATTTTTGTGGCGAGTTGTGCACAAAGACCGAGCTCGGAGAGCCAATTCGCCAAAGAGTATCGTGAAAAATTCGGATCAGTGATTCTCGGACACATTGTAGGGAGGACAAATTAATTATTCGATATATAAATACACTTACGACACCGATGGTGAAACAATGGTGAGCTGCCATTGTCGAAAGTGATGCGAGCTTAATGACATTAAGGAGCGGACTACCAGGATGTGTAATGATGTGATCTCTATATACACGGCGTCCGACGTGCACTTGACCCCCCACTCCCGCGCATTATACACCTCTGTTTCTGATGACCTGATTCCGTCGAGATGTCTCGGGGGGACCCCACGATTGTCGTTCATCGAAATTATGTAGTGCGGAGATCGACTTTCGGATAGTTTTCATCGCGATGGACGCGCAGCATGTATGCATTTCGTGTGAGCGAAGATAAATTATCCAATTTATAAGGAGTAGATTAATCGTTTCCCTCATGCATATTAATGCGAAATTTTCGAAAGATTTAGCTTACGATACTTACAACGTCACGGGACTACATGCATGTTTTGCTTCTCAATATATATATATCTTTCTCTAAGTATATAACATCCCTTTCTCTTTCTTTCTCACATACAATCTAAAGCAGCAAATTTAACTCCTCGGGAAAAAATGATTATGTATGGAGTTTTTCTTTATATGGCCATATGGCAATCAAATATGATTATATATGTTTCATAAAAAAATGTTGTTATACAAATATAATTGAAATAAATGCTTATATTTATGGCTATCCACGACGTAAATACTTAATCGAATCAAACTAATTTTTCCGTTTTTCATTCAACAGTATTTTTATATCGTATGGACATATATAATTATATATGTAGCCATATAGGGACAAAATTCATGTCAAAATCACATGTAATTATATATGTAATTTTATATGATGATATATAAGCTGTTTTCCCGGGTCTCGATTAACAAAGTTATTATGTAGTTAACGTATAACAAAGTAGATCAGATCCGATCGATAGAAGCATTTTATAGATTTTCCAACTAATTTTTTCGACTAGACACTTTTTATTCTCACAATAAGTTAGGAAATAAAATAAAATAAAATATATCGCAAAATATGTAAAATACCTGAAATATAAAGTTTTACAAGCACATGCACGGAAGTATTAGAACATGAATCCGGTCGGATCCGACCCAATCTTGTTATTTGAAAGTTAACTGTCCTGTATGAGACGACGTTATTTGTTTCGCGACTTATTTGTTATATTTATAGTTATTTATAATTTATTCGTTATAGTATTTATCAGTTAGATAACATATATCGCGCAGATAATACCGATATTATTATAAATATCTATCATCTACACAAATTCTATCCCGAATCTATACAAATGCCTCCGAATAATGGACGTAACTAGGACGTGATGGATCATTTTGAAAAAAAAAAAAAATTAGCTTAATTAAATTAGGCTAACGACAAATTTAGTAATCGCGTCTGGTGATATTCTTTCTAGATACGTAGGAGAGCGCCTGATTTGTCAGCCGAGATATTCATACATAAATTCAAGTGATTATCGCTTCGGAAGGTCGGGCCCGGGCGACCGAGAAAGAGCGATTATGTATTTCTCAGATATTCAGATTAAGTAATGCGTGTACCACGCCTATTTTCTAAGATAATAGAGGTCAAATATTTTTACGGATATACCGGGCGATCGAGCGTGATACGTCGAGATCCGACGGAGACAATAACGCGAGTTATGCATTGGAAACAATCTAAATTCGCTTATGCTGGGTTTCTACCATCACGGTTTAAATCTAATTGACGATTAACCCAATGGAATTGGCCAGTCGCATTGATCAGTTCAACCAATTAATGCCAAGTTAATCGTCGATTACATTTAAATCATGATAGTAGAAACGAGCAAGAGAGACAATGAGAAATTCGTTCGTGTCGTCGCTTTCGCGCTCCATGTACACCACATTCTTGAACTCGCGTTCCTTTTCCCGTTCCATAGTGATATCGGGACACCCTGTATCAAGGCGTAGGCCCGAAATCCAGTTTGCGAATGACCTCTATATTTACGCCTCATTTTGTAATCGTGCAACCGCACGAAAAAATCGTACAAACCACCGGTTTTCGCAATCCGGGACGCCCATAAAATTCCTGATATAGCTCATGGCGATTGAAGTGGATAATACTCTCATGCGAACCAATAAGTGATTTCACCGTTGCCGTACCTCCGCGAAAATAAAGTACAATTACATCTGCAAATACGGAGAAAATTAACGGGAATTAAGTAACAATAACGAAACGAGTAATTGATTCTGCGAAACAAGATATTTTTGGATCATAATAAGTTGGAGATAAAATTTCATATAACAATCAAAAATTTCCTCAGCGGATTTATATATAGATATTGGGCTGATGCAAAAGTTCGCTTCGTTTTTAATCATAATTTATATATTTAAGTTTTTGAGTTATTAATCAATTGAATTAATTTTGAATTACTTTTTAATTATTATTAATAAATTGAATTATTAATTAGAGAGACTTCTATATATGGCCATGTTCAATAATTAGTAATTCAAAATTTTGCACAGTTGTTTGCGAAATGATAAAGGATTTTTTTATTCACATTAATTTAAATTACAAGTATGACGGATGGAACGGTTTGCGTCAGACACCTTGTATAATATTTATTTATTTTAAAGTACAATCAGTCAGTTAAGTATGAGCTGTTTTGTTTTGTTCGATTATCTGATAGCTCTCCGATCGCTGCATGATCCCGTTTCTGGGATTTCTGAACAAAAAAGTTGATAAAAAACGGAACGAATTTTTGCATCAACCCAACATATCTTATAAAATTAAAGAATGGCTTTTAGATGTTTTTCTTCAATCTCACAAAATGTATTTTCTATATTTCACGTTACACAAACACGATGAATTCGCGTTGTTTAAACGAACGAAATAATCACATTACGAATGTCTCACGCTCATGTAAATTGCAGCTTGCACAATGGCGTCATTCAGTTGTGGGACTACCGTATGTGCACTCTGCTCGACAAGTATGACGAGCACGATGGGCCCGTCCGCGGCATATGTTTCCACAATCAGCAGCCGCTGTTCGTCTCCGGCGGCGACGACTACAAGATCAAAGTTTGGAATTACAAGCAACGGAGGTGCATCTTCACGCTGCTGGGCCACTTGGACTACATCAGGACGACGATGTTCCACCAGGAGTATCCGTGGATCCTCAGCGCGTCGGACGATCAGACCATACGGATCTGGAACTGGCAGAGCCGCACTTGTATCTGCGTGCTGACCGGGCACAATCATTACGTAATGTGCGCCCAATTCCATCCTACGGAGGACATCATTGTGTCTGCTTCGTTGGATCAAACTGTCCGCGTATGGGACATCTCCGGTTCGTGGATGTTGCTTGTTATTATTTCTATCCAATAACAGGGTTGTCACGGACCTGGAAAGCTGGGAAAAGATATGAAGAATCTGGAATGTTGAACTTTGCTCACAACTTTGCTCTTAAATGCTCTCGACAGTATTCTTTTTTTCAAATACTCATTTATTTATTTTGTTGGCCTGAATTTGCATTCAGGATTACATTATGTCAGCAAAACTTTTAAGTTTGTATTACTTCTAATAATATAAGTTACCTTTTCTACAATCCTTGCTCCTAAACGTTAAAGTTTGCAATTAAATATTGCTCGTGGAAAATTCTCCACTGTCTGGAAAGCATGGAAATGTCGGGGAATTTCGAAATTCACTTTCTATGGCAATCCTGCGGTAAATACCAACTAATAAAACATAACATCCATGTTATAATTTCCTATTCAACAATGTAAATGCAATATAACTCGTGTAACGTACATTGATTATTTCTGGTCGTGTCATTGCAATTGCCTTGCAATTGCACCGCGACGACGTATCATTACAAAATGCACAGTGAGGTGCCACGACCGTTTCGGGCGTGCGATTATCGAGAGAGACGACGATTGCCCCTTAATAATCGGGACGAATGCAATTGCAGGATTGCGCAAGAAGAACGTAGCACCCGGGCCGGGGGGTCTCGAGGACCACTTGAAGAATCCTGGAGCGACCGACTTGTTCGGCCAGGCGGACGCGGTGGTAAAGTACGTGCTGGAAGGTCACGACAGAGGCGTCAACTGGGCATGCTTCCACTCCTCGCTGCCGTTGATAGTCTCCGGGGCGGACGATCGGCAGATCAAGATGTGGCGTATGAACGACGCCAAAGCGTGGGAGGTGGACACGTGTCGCGGCCATTACAACAACGTGTCCTGCGTGCTGTTCCACCCTAGACAGGACCTTATACTGTCCAATTCGGAGGACAAGAGCATCCGCGTGTGGGACATGACGAAGCGCACGTGTCTGCACACGTTCAGACGGGAACACGAGAGATTCTGGGTGCTGGCCGCCCACCCGACTCTGAACCTCTTCGCCGCCGGCCACGACTCCGGCATGATCATCTTCAAGCTCGAAAGAGAGCGTCCCGCCTATGCGGTCCCCTACGAGAATCTTATGTACTACGTGAAGGACCGCTTCCTGCGCAAGCTGGATTTCGGCACGTCGAAGGATACGTCGGTGATGCAGATTCGAGGCGGCGGGAAGACGCCGCCTTACAGTATGTCGTTCAATCAGGCGGAGAATAGCGTCCTGGTGTGTACGAGATCGCCCTCGAACATTGAGAACAGCACCTACGACTTGTACATGATACCACGTGAGGGTGACTCCAGCACAGACGCCGACACCAAACGAGCGTCCGGCGTCACCGCCATCTGGGTCGCCAGGAATCGATTCGCTGTATTGGACAGAGCGTATTCGGTAAGCTAAAACATCTTTAACTAATAATTGACTTACTGAAGATACTGTAAATGAATGTAATTCGAGACACGTGCATCTTTCATCTCAACAGCTCAGATACGAGATAGTTGATATAAACACTGCTCGTACGTTTCTTTCACTCGTTGAAAATTGTATGTCTATTCTCGGTTATCCGCGTCTCTTTCCAGTTAGTCATCAAGAACCTGAAAAACGAGGTGACGAAGAAGGTGCAGATTCCCAATTGCGACGAGATATTCTACGCCGGCACCGGCATGCTGCTCCTACGCGACCCGGATCAGGTGACCCTGTTCGACGTTCAGCAGAAGAGAACCCTGGCGGAAGTGAAGATCTCCAAGTGTCGATACGTCGTGTGGTCCAGCGACATGTCCCACGTCGCGTTGCTGGCCAAGCACACCGTCAACATCTGCAATCGCCGGCTGGAGTCTCTCTGCTCCGTGTACGAGAACACCAGGGTGAAGTCTGGCGCCTGGGAGGCCTATTCCGGCGTGTTCATTTACACGACCAGCAACCACATCAAGTACGCGATCAACAATGGCGATCATGGCATCATTCGCACGCTAGACTTGCCGATCTACGTGACGAAAGTCAAGAACAATCAGGTTTACTGCCTGGACCGGGAGTGCCGGCCGAGGATTCTGCGGATAGACTCGACGGAATACAAGTTCAAGCTCGCGTTGATCAATAGGAAGTACGAGGAGGTCCTGTACATGGTACGCTACGCGAATCTCGTCGGGCAGTCTATTATAGCCTACCTACAGCAGAAAGGATATCCGGAAGTGGCGCTTCACTTCGTGAAGGATGAAAAGACCAGATTCGGGCTGGCGCTCGAGTGCGGAAACATCGAGGTGGCCCTGGAAGCGGCGAGATCGCTGGATCAGAAATCGTGCTGGGAGAGCTTGGCTCAAGCCGCTCTGCTGCAGGGCAACCATCAGGTCGTGGAGATGTGCTACCAGAGGACCAAGAACTTCGAGAAGCTCTCTTTCCTTTATCTCATCACCGGCAATCTGGAAAAGCTGCGCAAGATGATCAAAATCGCGGAGATCCGCAAAGACGTGTCCGGACAGTATCAAGGCAGTTTGTTGCTCGGCGACATTTACGAACGGGCTAAGATTTTGCGGGTACGTATCTTCACATTAGTTGTGATAATTTTATTTATATTCGTAATTCGTAACTATGTAACATACAAGTAAGGTGAGGTTATCGAAAAGTCGAGTACTTTTTCAGGTATTTCATATTTTATCTTGGTACTTTTCAGTATAAAATATGAATCGATGGGATAAAATGTAAAATGTCGAAGTATTCACTTTTTGATCATTTTAATTTAATATTTTTGTACATATGATTAGAGGAATCAATTTTTGTTTAAAAAATCATGCGATTCCATTAAAAAAAATTCAAACTGATCCTGATTTAATTTTGGCAACGCCATCTAGGTCAAACTGCTCAAACCATTAAATGGATTCTTTTAAATGCTACAACTTTTGTCTGAAACATTTTTTTCTATAGAATACTTTCTAAAATATTACACCGTCACGGGACTTTTTGAACATCCTGTTTATATCCATATATATATTTAAATATACCTGAGTGAATAAAGTGTTATAACGAGAAAATTGTCATGTACTTGCATATGTACCAATCGTTTCCGTGCAACGTTGGAAAAAAAACTCAACGTTAAAATGAATTCCAAGTAACTGAGGATTGGAATGCAGGTTGACATTTTGACTTTTTATTATGTAGAACTCTGGACAAGCATCGTTGGCATACGTTACCGAGAAGATCCACGGGATATCCAACGAAGACGACGACGCCCAATACGAGTCGATGAGCGAGGAGCTCTCGTTGCTGGAGACCGGCGCTATCTATCTGCGTCCACCGGTGCCTATTCAACAGGCCGAGAACAATTGGCCGCTGCTGACAGTCTCCAAAGGCTTCTTCGAGAGCGTGATGATGTCTTCTCGCGGCAAGAGTCAAGTGGCCGCCGCTTTGGCTCCGGAAGACGATGGCGGGACGACTATGGACGGATGGGGCAACGACGAGGAGCTCGGAATAGACGAGGAGGGCGAGGAAGGTGTTGACGCGGAGATCGCTGCTGAAGGCGAGGAGAGCGCCGGGTGGGACGTCGAAGACGTCGACCTTCCGCCGGAACTGGAGGTCACCACGACCTCCAACGAGGATGGCTATTACTCTCCTCCTACTAAGGGCTTGCCACCGACGCAGCATTGGATTAACAACTCCCAACTGGTGGTCGATCACGTATTAGCCGGCTCGTTCGAGTCCGCCTTCCGATTGCTGAACAATCAGGTCGGCGTGGTAGAGTTCGGGCCGTATCAGTCCCTGTTCTTGAGCACGTACGCCCGTTCCCGAACGTCCTTCGCCAGTCTGCCGAACATACCGTCGTTGCACGGGTATCCACAGAGGAATTGGAAAGACGCCACGCCGAAGACAGGCGTGCCCGCGGTGGGACTGCATCTCGCCGAGCTGGTTCAGCGTCTCCAGATGTGTTATCAGTTGACGACCGCCGGTAAATTCACGGAGGCGATAGAGAAGCTGCAGGGCACCTTGCTGAGCGTACCGTTGCTCGTTGTCGACACCAAGCAGGACATAGCGGAGGCTCAACAGCTGATTCAGATATGCCGCGAGTACATCTTGGGTCTGAAAATGGAGACCGAACGTAAGAATCTGTCGAAGAACACGCTGGCCGAGCAGAAGAGGATCTGCGAGATGGCGGCGTATTTCACACACTGCAACCTGCAACCGGTGCATCAGATACTCACTCTGAGAATAGCCGCGAACATATTCTTCAAGCTGAAGAACTACAAAACCGCCGCTTCGTTCGCGAGAAGATTGCTCGAGCTCGGACCGAAGCCCGAACTCGCGCAACAGGTTCGGAAGATCCTGCAGGTATTTTCATTTTTTCTTTTTATTAATACCTATAGCGGCGTTTACAATAAGAATTTAAAGTGTAAAATTTAAGCGGGTTCTAAAATGAGAATTTAAACGTTAAGCGGGGTCTAAAACGAGAGTTTAAACTTTAAGCCTTAAGAAATTGGCCAATCACAGTCGAATGTGAAGAGAATAATCAATTGTGATTGGTCAATTTTTTGCCGTTTAATCTTACTGTTTAATCTTAAGTTACGTTTTAAATTCTTATTGTAAATGCTTAAAATATATATCATTAATACATGTTCATATATATATCAATGGCTGCGTTCAGCAGAGAAGCAGTTTTGCAACTGTTGTAAAAATCGTGAATGGTGTATGCTCTTAGGTTTTACCAAGATTGAAAGCATATACCAATCAAATTCACGAATTTTATAACAGTTGCAAAGCCGCTTTCTCTGCTGAACGCAGCTGATGTAACTTCAACGTATTTAATGATTCTAAACACAATGTTTGCGACGAATCTGAGAGGTCTGATCTGCTCGTTTCAGGTTTGCGACAAAAACCCCGTCGATGAGCATCAGTTAGTGTACGACGAGCACAATCCGTTTTCGTTGTGCGCGAGCACGTTCACACCTATTTACAGAGGCAAGCCGGAAGTGAAGTGCCCCTTATGCGGTGCCAGCTACAATCCTCTGTTTAAGGACACAGTGTGCAAGATATGTGAGGTTGCTATGATAGGCAAGGAATGTATCGGACTTAGGCAAGGCCGGTCTTAGAATAGCTTGGAGCCTTTGGTTACTTGGAGTTGATTGTAATATTCATATTTTTTCCAACGTTATACAGAGATGATTAGTACATACAAGTACATTCAAATTTCTTTATTTTGTTATATTTTATTTCAAGTATACATAAGAGGCAGTGACAAATATATATAATATATACAGACCAAGCATTCACGCATCTTCATTATGTCAGCATGGTGAATTCGACAATGTACCATTAAGAGAGATAAATTCTAACAATACCTTTACTGTTTTATTGAATAAAGCAAAAAATAGGATAAGAAAAGTATCAGGAAAGAACATTTGCCTCTTTCAATGTTAAACTGTTGATGTCCGTTGTCATGCCTTGGTCTGTTATATATTTTGGATTCAGTCATAATCAAGTAACGCATTTAGCCAATTAGTTTTTATATATGTGTCAACGGTGCGATTGACAAGAGCACCACATGCTAGCAAGAAAAGTCGCGATTTTTAATGATTTTACGATTATCGAGTATGTCCGAGAATAATTGATAACTACTAACATTTCCATTTTTTATCATCTAATATATATATCTAAATGTATCTACAACGCAGTATTGATTGAATCTATAATTTATAGTTATCCCGATGTACATGAAAATATGTATACATATCTACGGCGCGATATTACATATTTCAATGCATCTTCCTGGTGGTTGTTACTCGTGGATAATATTGGTTGTTCTTTACTCCGACACGTTTGACGAGCAGACGTCAGCTCCCAATGAATTTTTCAAATCTTCTAATGGCTCTCACCTGCAAAAGAGGCGCCCACCTTTCGGTATCCGATTTGTGCAGAGCGCATCGCGAGCTGATACTTACGAGTCACGATTTATTCGGTAGTCAGCGGCAAATTACGTCAAAAACGAGATACGAAATCAAAAAATGCAAATAGCGAGTCTCATGACGTTACGTCCAGTCGACAACATCGTCAGGTGGTTTTAAACTTTTCCGACCAACGGTCACAATACGTTGCGCCCGAAGTCACCATAACTGGAGCTTACAAGATCCAATTAGTCGTGTGCTAGGGTATTTCCACCGCGATCTAGGGAACTCCCCAATTCGCCCGCGAGTTCCGATTGGCGGACGACGGTTCGAGTCGGAAGTGCATACGAGACGATATTCTCCCATTGGACTCTGATCAAGGTTAAGAGTGATTTTCACCAACCTTGGATTGCTCACCAACAGTTAACCCAACGGAATCGACCAATCGCATTGATCAGTTCAGCGAGCTGGCCAATGCGATTGGTTGATTTTGTCGAAGTTACCCATGAGTTGACCGAACCTCAGTTGGTGAAAGCGATCGTAAATTGACCCGGGTGGCCTTCCTGCTGGCGCCGTCGGTTGGCAACGCGCTTGTTACCGACGCGGAGTTGTGTGAGCAATGGTGGATGAGGATCGCGGAGACCGCTTGTTCGCGTCGTCGGGCTACCGTCTGCACCGTCTGTTTAGCCGCTGAGTTCCTTCGGAATCGTCTCGATCCGCCGGTCGTTTCGCGTGCCGTCACGCATCCCAGCGTGTTCATCGCGTCGCGTACGCCGCGAGTTCGCGCGCTCCGCCCGGCGTCGTCGGGCAGTGTGCCATAGTGATATATCTCGGTCTCGCCGCGCCGTTTTCGCCCCGTGTTGACGCAAGCTTCGCCGCGCGTGTTGCCACGGCCGGGGGTGGTCGGGGGACGGAAGAGTCCCCCCGAGAGATCACCGCCGACTCGAGACTCGCTTTCTCTCTCTCTCTCCACCTTGAAAGAAAGAGAGAGAGAGATCCGTGCGTGCTGACGCGTTCGGGGTGACCGTCGAGAGGAACGGTCGCGCGATCCCCGATAGAGATATGAGCGGATCGCGGCGCAACGACGCGGTCAGAGCGAGCGCGTATCCGCCCGGGTCGCGGCGTGCAGTCGAGCGACCGCTCTAGGCTTCGCATTATCCGTGCCGTAAACATCGCGCACGTAAATACACGCGCACGCACGTACACACACACGCGCACGTGCCAATACACACAGTGCGCGTCGCTTCTCTATCTCTCTCTGTCTCTCTCGTTCTTTCGCTCGCCCGTCGCCTGCCAGTCCGTCTGTCCGTGTGTACGTGTTGCGCGCCGCGGGGACACACACCGCTCTCACGGCGGCGAATCTCGGCGTCCGGAATTCGGTCCCGGCCGCGCGACTCTGTTATCGTTAGCGCCGAGCGACCAAGGCTCGTGCACCGGAGAGAGAAAGTAAGCGTCGAAGGAGCGGGTGCACTCGACGGATCCTCGAATACGCGGTCCGCACGGGAAGAGTCCCGCGTCGTTCGGCCCCGAGCGACCGTCGAGGTTAGAATTCGTGACGTACGGTCTCTCGGTCTCCGTCACGTCTAGTGGACAGTGCCGAGGGTAGAGCGGGTTTCGTCGCACGAGTGACTGACGGATTTTCTCGAGGAGTGTCGACGGCGCCGCTGTCTCGTCGTCGTCGTCGTGAGTTCAAAGTTTCCCAACGACCGAGAGAAAGAGAGAGAGAGAGAAAGAGAGAGAGAGAAGGAACGCGCGTGAGCAAGCGAGCGAACGATCGAGCACCTCGTTCGCGATCTCTCAGTGATAAGAGGACAAGGAGCTTACTGCCGCGCGAACCCGCCGAGCGGTCCCGCGCTCCAAGGGTGACCGTCTCGCGGCAGTGGTGGTGTACGGTCGCGCGTGGCATGAAAAAATGATGTGATCGACGGTCATCATGGCGGCACCCATGCTAAAGTGGAAGCGGATCACAAATCCGACCGGGCCCCAGCCGAGACCCAGACACGGCCACCGGGCGGTCGCGATCAAGGATCTCATGGTAGTTTTTGGCGGCGGCAACGAGGGTATCGTCGATGAGCTGCATGTTTACAACACTGGTGAGTCGCGCCGCCTTTTCCCTACGGCGCCTGTGTCTCTCGCGCCTGTCCGCCGCCGTGCGTCTCTTTCGTTGCGCGCCGTTCCTGGCGATTCCCGCGATCCAACATGGCGGCATGCGTTGACAAGACGGCGGCCGGCCGGATCGGCGGCGAATCCACGCGATTGCACGGCCTGAACGGAACGTTCGGTGCCGGGGGCGCGCGTTCCCGTCAGCGCGGGCTCGCACCGGCCGGCGGACGTCCGCAAGTCGGCCGTGCGGCCGCGATGCGTCCGGAAAATCGCCGCGGTCTGTCATCCTACATGTTTATACGCGCGGGAGCGGCCATTGCTGTCTCCAACGCGCCCCCACCACCGGGCCAGCACGACGGCGCGTTGCAACGCGCCGCCGTTTCCCGTCATTCCACGTTCTCTCGCGCTTCTCTCTTTCTTTCCGTCCTCCTCTTTTTTCCTCCCTCGTGCCTGCCTATTCCCTCTCTTCCTCGCCTTTCCTTACCGTGCGCCAGGCGTATTCGGGACCGTCGCGGCGCAGTTGATGCACACGGATGTATTATCGCCCTGGCTGGCGCTACGTCGCCAGGACGCGGTGCGCCTGCGTGCGCCACTTGCGCGCATTTCGGCTGCGATTTCGAAATGCTCGTCGCGTCGCGCACCGAACGCGCGCGCGAATTCGCCATGGTAACAGGCCGACGCATATGGATCTCGGCATGATCTACGGCTTCTTCCCGATTTCTCTCGTCTCTCTTTCTCTCTCTCTCTCTCTCTCTTTTTGTTCTCTCTTCGGTGACGCTTCGCTGTACAAGTTACACGGCACAACCTGGTTCGTTTCGAGCTAGAAGATCGCAATATGGGACGGCTTGAAAGAGCGTCCGCATCACTAAAAACTCGCTGCGAATTGAACTACGTACAGAGTGTTTTAAAAGCGGAAGTCAATCACTCGGGAAGTGATTGGGAATCTAAAAATAAGAGAGAAAGTTGATACGAATATGGGTCCGGAAATGCGTTGTCTTCGAGTTATCGCTATTTTTATGTTGAAATTTCTAATTGCTCGGCTTTCGAATTTTTTTGTCAAAATTACAAAAGAAGAGATGGTCTTGGTGAGTCTTGTAATTAAAGTCAAATAATAATTGCGGGCTGCTTTAACACTATCCAGGATGCAGCATGTGGGAGATACAGTCCGCTTAGCATCCCTTGACAGTTATCAGGATTTCATAGCTTGTCACTCTTGAGGTATTCCTCCACGTAGTGCATCCTGGATAGTACTAAAACAGCCCGAAACTCTGACTTTAATTGTGTTATAAAACTCTATGAAGGCCATCTCTTATTTCAATTTTTTTCACAAAAAAAATTTGAGAGCAATTTGGAATTTCAACATAAAAGCGATAACTGGCGATAACTTGAAAACAATGCATTTCCGGACCTATGTTTATGTTAACTTTTTTCTTGTTTTTGGATCCTCAATCACCTCCCAAGCGATTGACCTCTATTTTTGAAATATCCTGTATATATCCAAATGTCACATATATTAATTATATTATTAATCGAATCGTATAAAGTCACTTTTAATGTCATCTGAAGCAGTGATAAACATTACAGTCAATACATATACAATAAAATTATTCTCTATAGCTGAATAGGTTGCATTAGCTTGCACTAATTCCGTTTTTTTTTTTTTTTTACACAAAGTCACAGCTATATATCTGTTTCTTTGTGAGTTCCAGAAGTGTGCACTAGTTCAGTGACAGAGAACAGACTTACAAGAGATCTGAGGTCTGTTTTTTTTTTCTGAACTAGTGGATATAGGGACTTATAGGGACTTGAAAAGAGACATATACAGTCAAGATTTGGTGGAAGAAAGAATAGAAAAAAACTAGTATAAGCTAGTTCAGCCAAAAAAGCTCTCTGTTTTCTGTTCCTGAACTATAAAACTGCACTGGAACTTCGTTCTTTTCTGCTTCAACGTTGTGTACTCGTCTCATTCTAACGGTAAAAAGTGCAACCTAATTCAGGAACAGAAAACCGAGGTTTGTTCCTTTCAACTAATGCTACACCAGAGCTTTGTTCCATTTTGCTTTCAGCGCTAGGTTATACCGTTGGTCCGTCACAAGAAGGTTGCAACGCTTTTTTCGACGAATTTCACAACGCATCTCGTATCCAATAGAAAAGCGTATTCTCCTAAGAATGATTAAAAATAAATTCTTCTATTGGCCACGGGATGCGTTCTGAAACTTAAAAAAAATGATTGCAATAATTGTTTTTATAATTTAAAACCCCGATTTTTTCTCAATATTCGCTCGAAAGGAAACAAAAAAGAATCCATGTAAAAATGAAAAAATTCATATTTTCCACATTTTTTCACTCATCCGCGAAAAGAAGCCGAAAAGAATCGCGGTAAAAATGAAAAAAAACCCCGGATTTCTTCCGCGCTTTTAAAACTTATAATTGTTTAGTGACTGACCGTACTTTAAAACTAAAAAATACAGCCTTGTTCAGTCAATAAGAACAGACTTACGATGTGATTTACACTATTACGATAAATATCGCACGTTGTAGAATTTCTGATCGGTAGTCTATCGCGTAGTTTACATGGGCTATATCGTTGGGCTGTGTTGTTGCAGCTACAAACCAATGGTTCGTCCCGTCTACGAGAGGGGATATCCCACCGGGATGCGCGGCGTACGGTTTCGTCGTCGACGGCACGCGCATCTTGGTCTTCGGCGGGATGGTGGAATACGGCAAGTACTCAAACGAGTTGTACGAACTCCAGGCGAGCAAGTGGGAATGGAAGCGCCTGAAGCCGAAGCCACCCAAGGACAATATCCCGCCGTGTCCGCGTCTAGGTCACAGTTTCACCCTAATTGGTAACAGGGTCTTCCTATTCGGAGGTCTGGCGAACGACAGTGACGATCCGAAGAACAACATACCGAGATATCTGAACGACTTGTACACGCTCGAGCTGCTTCCTAACGGCGTGACCGCCTGGGACGTGCCCACGACGCAGGGTTCCTCGCCACCTCCCAGGGAGTCGCACACCGGTGTGGCGTACACCGACCGCACTACCGGCAAATCCTGCCTGGTGATCTACGGTGGTATGAGTGGTTGCCGTCTAGGCGACTTGTGGTTCTTGGACGTTGACTCGATGACCTGGAACAGACCAGTAGTTCACGGACCTACTCCGTTACCTCGATCACTCCACACTGCCACATTAATCGGTCACCGTATGTATGTCTTCGGCGGATGGGTGCCACTGGTCGTCGACGACGTTAAAGTCGCGACGCACGAGAAAGAGTGGAAGTGCACCAGTACCTTGGCGTGCTTGAATTTAGGTGAGTTGAAACCCGACGACGTCGTGTTTCATCCGTTTGGGAACCCCAAATACGCGTTGCGTTATTCTCCTTGTGTATAAATCGCACGTCACTGTTCCAGAAACTCTCACTTGGGAGCAACTGACCGTCGATTCCTTAGAGGAAAATACTCCGCGTGCTCGCGCTGGCCACTGCGCGGTCGGCGTCCACAGCAGGCTCTACGTGTGGTCCGGTAGGGATGGGTATCGCAAAGCTTGGAACAATCAGGTGAGAGAGGGTTCATTCGTTCCTTCAAATTGCATCAATTGTTCCCGACCACGAACGCTCACGGAGATGTGCTCTCGATACTCTGTCCAGGTGTGCTGCAAGGACCTGTGGTACTTGGAGGTCAGCAAACCGCCAGCGCCATCCAGGGTTCAGCTGGTGAGAGCTTCCACGCAAACGCTGGAGGTCAGTTGGACAGCGACCCCGTCCGCGCAATACTACATCCTTCAGATCCAGAAATACGACATGCCACCGGCAGCGTCCGCTGGCGCTTTCCCGCCGGTGAGCGCGGCTACGCCGAACGTCACCCCCGTCAGCGCCGCCCCGGCTGTGGCTGCTCCGACGACCGTGCCCGTCACGTCGCCTCCCATCACCACGGCCGTGTCTATCCCGACTAATCCGACCTCTGTCAGGTCGACTGTGACGCCGGTGACGCCGTTGCGAGTACAGCCGACGGTGCAGAGCCCCGTACAGAAGACGGTGCCAACGCCGCAGGTCGTACAGAAGACGACGAGCCCTATGACTCCGAGAGTTGCCGCCGGCAACGTCATACGCATCCGTTCCCCGTTGGTCAGCACCGCGACCGCGGCAACGGCGGCGACCGCCACGGCGGTGGTGGTCACCACTGAACAGCATCAGCAATCGCAACAGACCTCTCCCACCGTGACCACAACCGTGGCGACAGGACAAACGCCCGCCGCCATGTCCGGCATCGCTGCGTTGGCCGCGGCGGCAGCCGCCACTCCGAAGATCACGATGAACAACGTGCCGATCTTGCCGCAAGCCGCGACCAACACGATCAGGATGAAGAACGTCCAGCCGGGCCAGCAGATACGCTTTGCCGCGCCTGGTGCGACGGTGCTGCGCACGGCGTCGCCGCCGCAGAACAAGCAGATCATCCTGCAGAAGTCCGGCCAGAACATATCCGGTCAGACCGGGATCGTGCATCTTCTCAAGACCGGCCAGGTGGCCTGCGGCATGGTGGCCGCTACCGGACCCAAGGTTAGTCTCATCCCCAGCAAGGCGGTCCAAGGCACCGGTGTAAAGCTGTTGAATCACGGACCGGCTATCCTGCGACTGGTGAATCCCAACACAGTGGCTGGATCGAAGCTGCTCACTACCATGAAGACTTCCGGCTTAGTGACGATGAGCAAGGGTCAAAACATCACCGGCAAACAGACCATCATGATCACGAAGCCGGGTGGCAACGGCGGATTGGTAGGCAGAACCAATCAGATCATCGTGGTAACCACGGGCTCCGGTCTGAGAGCAGTGCAGACAGTCACCACTTCACAAGCTGGTGCTGGCCAAGGGACTAATCTCACAACTCCGGTAAACGTTCTACCGTTGTCGGCTACCAATCATGTGACGAATCAGCAAGGTGTTAAGATGATCGTCGTCTCCTCGGGCACGGTGGGAGGCGGCACCGCGGGCAAGCCTATAACCATCACGGTACCGGGACAGGGCGGTGTACCAAAGACTGTGACCATCGCTACTAAAGGTAGTCCGCAAGCCATCTTCAATCCCGGCAAGAGTCAGATCGTCGTGCCGCAGATGCAAAAAACTCCTGTAAGTGTAATAGAAAACATCCGTCGATTAAAAGTAAGTATTCTTTAAATTTGCTGCAGTGAGTCCTAAATTAGAGTGGCGGTATATTTGCTTAATTTAGAACTCGCTCCAAGAAATTTAAAGAGTACGGGTGCGATAGAAAATCGTCTTTTTTTCACTATAAAATGATCCGAACAACAAAGTCCTGTATCATTTTGCAAACAACGCGCAAAATTTCGACTTATTAATTATTGAAAATGGCCACATATAGAGACTTCATTAATTAACTCAAAAATTTGCGTGTTATGTGCGAAATGGTAAAGGACTTTTTAGTTTAAAGTAGACTAATTTACAGATATGTAACAGCTGTTACACCTAGCATACCTAGGCATCGGTATATCGAACCTTGAACCTGAAGTTTGCCTATGTTAATCTAGGACACCCTTCAGATATGCATTTCTTAAATAACACAGAGAAATTGTCAACTGTAAATTGTAGGACACGGTAACGATGTCTGGCAAGCCAGTGACTCTGCAAATGTCCGGAGGCATGGGTGCGAAGACGGTGACGCTCATGCCGACAAGTAGCTCCATAGTGACTACTTCGAGTGCGTCGGACTCAATAGACACCAGCAAGATGCTCTTTGTTCCGTCGCAGAAACAGCCTTCGGCTTCTTTAGGTGAGTACAATTGCCTTTTAACGCGCGAGAATTGACGAAAAAGTCAACAAGATGCCGAATGTGTTACGCAATGAAACAACGTTTGCAGCTTCAACGTCGGACGGTCCCGCCACCACTGACGCGGCGTTAGCCGCGTTAGCAGCGGAGGCTGGTCTGATAGACCCGGTTCAGGAGCCGTCCGGCGGCCTGTCCTTTATGGTAGCTACGGACGATGGTGCCGGCGGTGATAAAGTGGAGGACAGTTGTAACGGCAACGAGGCGACCACGGCGGCCGCCTTGGTTTCCCAGATGGGCGCCGGCGAGCCGATGCAGGTCGACGGTGACGGGAACTTCGTGCTTCCGCAAGTGGACGGTCCCACCGACATTCTCTTATCTGAGGATGAAGAGAACGACAAGATCGACTTGAACGACGAGGACCCCGCTCCGGAGAGAGCCACGGAAGCGGCGGTCGACGAGTCGACGCCCATGGAACAAGATGACGTAAACGCGGCCGGAAGCATCCACACGGAAGAACCCGCCGTAAAGGAGGAGGAAACCGCGCCTGTCGAAGCGCCTGCCGAAGCATCTGCCGAAACGCCCACCGAGGCGACTGCCGAAGCGCCTGCCGAGGCGACTACCGAGGCGACTGCCGAAGCGACTGCCGAGCTTCCCGAAGCCACCTCCGCCGCCGTCGACCAAGTGCCCGAGGACACAAAAGGTACTGTTGACAATCCGCCGGCCGACGAGGAGGTACCTATGGACACCAGCGTCGACAGTGCGGAACTGCCGAACGAGAAGATGGACATCGGTAGCCCGTTGACCGACGAACCGAAGGCGGAGAAAGCCGAGTTGCCTTTCGTACAGTCACCGGCGGCGCAGGCTCCGTCCGAGGCAGAGATGCCTCTAGCGGACGTCGATTCGGCAGAACCTGAGGCAACGGAGAACCAGGACGAGCGTCAGAATGAACACCAGGATGAGCATCAAAACCAGCACCAAGATGAGAACCAAGAAGAGAGCGATCAGACGAAGAGCGCGAAGGTCGAGCCGTATCTTTCCGATGCCGAGAAGTCGCCGGTGCCCGAGAGTCTGCCTATCGAAGACAGCGCGTCGCAGCTTTCTCAAGATGAGGCTCAGGATGCGGAGAAGGTGAAGGATGAGATTACGGAACCGGAGGCCGATCTGCCTATGACCGAGGATTCTTCTCTCGTGAAATCGGAAGACCTCAACGAACCGATGATGACGGATAGCGCGTCGCCCGTCACAGACGCGCCGAACCAAGTGCCAGTAACCGCGCCCGTCGTCGCGCCGACCGTGCAACCGGTAAAATTGGAACCTTCGGAGCCGATGGAACAGGAGAAACTGCCCGATCTGCCGGTCTCGTCGGTCAACGGAGTCGCCGCTTCTCTCGACAAGGACGCCGAAAGTTTGCAGAAGACTCACACTCCCATCAAGATCGACGTCAAGGAGGATCCTGCGATTATAAAGAGGGAAAGCCTGAAGCAGGACAAGATTAACGACGCCCGATCAGACATCCCCGACGACTCCACGGCTTTATGTACATTGGCGAGCGCCGCTTTAGGCTCCACGGAATCGGTCAAGGTAAGTGAACACACACGAGCAAGCAGTTCTCTACACGTCAATTTTCTGCGAAACGTTTTACCGTTATTTCGAAGGCAATTGTTAAATAAGCGACTTATCTTTCGCAGGGTGAAGATGAGAAGAAGGACCCAGAGTGGTACGACGTTGGAGTTATAAAAGGAACCACTTTCACGGTTCAACACTATTATCTTCCCGGTGACGAGCCGTTGGACATTACGCAACCCTTGACGATGGACGTATTCAAGGAACGAACCAAGATAGCTTTGGAGCCCGGAACTGCCTACAAGTTCAGGATTGCCGCTGTGAATAGCTGTGGACGAAGTGCCTGGAGTGAGGTAACGTATCCGATTCTCCGTATTGCATTGTAAAATTGTTCAAGTCTGCGGACAGGAATGATGGAAGATTCAGCGGTATTACGATTTATGTGATTTTTATGTTTTTTAACCTTCTAACCTAACAAGGTGGATTTCCAACGTATATAGATGGGGTCAGATCTGACTCCATGCTCTGTTTTGTTTATCTTTCATGTAATCAGTGCACAAAGTGGGTAAAAGAAGTAAATAATAACATGAAACATTTCTTAAAAAAAGAAACAGTGCGTACACGTTGTAAAATAAACAAAGCCGTGAGGTCAATCTTATTATTAGTCAATATGTGAATGTTGTCTTTTAGTTTGTTCCTTGTAAAAAGCTTGACAATTCAGACAATTTTATGTACCACGTCAGTTCTGTGTTTTCTCTACAAGGTCTCAACGCGCACAGATAAATTTGTTGAATTTGTCGTTAATTCTATACGCTACTGAACAGTCACATTTTCATGCAATAGTAGACATTTTTGAAAGACGCGGCAGCTAGTCGCTTGGAAGCCACATTGAATGTTTATCCACCACACACCGCGAAAGCTTAAAATATTATAATGTCGATTGTGTTGTTGCAGGTATCGGCATTTAAAACGTGTCTTCCGGGATTCCCGGGTGCACCGAGCGCTATAAAGATATCGAAATCCGCGGACGGCGCACAAATTTCTTGGGAACCGCCGCCTAGCAATGTCGGACCCATTCTCGAGTATTCCGTTTATCTGGCGGTGAGAAGTACGGCGTTGAACAATGACGGCGAGGCGAAAACAGTCGTGTCTACACCAAATCAATTAGCCTTTATTAGAGTTTATTGCGGCTCGAGTAATTCCTGTTCGGTGAACAATAGTGCCCTTAACGCCGCTCATGTGGACACCACTACGAAACCGGCCATAATCTTTAGAATAGCAGCGCGAAACGACAAGGGTTACGGACCAGCCACGCAAGTCAGGTGGTTGCAAGGTGAGTCGCTCGAGATATTTCCTCGCATCTGGTACGTGCTGTTGGTCTATTCTTTTTCGCTACACTGATGCAATAAGTTAAACCGAGACAAATACATTTTGTCTCGCTCTAACTTATTGCACCAGTTCAGCAATGAAAAGAATAGGACACGTGTCTTCGTTTCTTTCTGTCTCCTTGGCGAAAACGCGTGTTCTGATCGATTCTTCGCCCCCGACAGATCCCACCACCGGTGTGAAAAACAATCCGCAATCCGTGAAGAGACCCGGCGCAGACCTACGCACGCAAGTGAATTCCCCGCAGAAGAAGGCGAAGCAGGAGACTAGTGATAATTTCTCGTGAGCCTGTTCTCTCCCTGGCCTCGTACAGCCGAAACTCCCAAGCGACGCTGCTACTACATTATTTAATTTCCGCCGATTTACATGCCTAACAATGATAACGAAACAATGTATTATCAAGTAAATGACGTGATATATGGAGTAAACGAAAAAAAAAGAAACGAATGCTCGATCAAGAACGTGAGAGAGCGAGTGAGAGGGAGAAAGTGAGAGAGAGAGAGAGAGAGAGAGAGAGAGAGAGAGAGAGAGAGAGAGAGAGATGGAAAGGGATGATGATCACACAACTAGACCGAGATACAAACGTACGATTTTTGAAGAAGAGGAAGAAGAAAAAAAACATTTTTGAGGAAGAAAAATATTTTTAGCGTTCTCTCTGTATGAATACAACGTCCTTCTGTACCGCCGCGTTTCTTACTCACCATCATCTTATTTCTTTCCTCGCGAGTGCGCGAGAACCTTCTGTAAAGACAACATCAGTACCGTTAAATAAATGGCGAGGTGGTTATTTTTTTTGGCGTTAAGTAAGTTTTTCCATGTTTATAGCGTTTTCTACGGACGGTACGACATATCGCTCTAATGCTCATACACTTGCATCATGGAAACAAAAAGAAATCACTAATCACATGTTCGCCAATTTTTGTTCTTTTTAGACGTTACCGGGAAAATGAGTAGCTAGATTCGTATTATATATTTTGCATATCTTTTCGAGTTGTTATATACAGTGTCCCGTGTTCGTTAGGATAGCTGAGAAGATAATACTACATGAAAAAAAAGTACGTATAAATAAACAACAACATCTGTTCATACGAGGCTTTCGAATGATTCAATGTTTGAGATTGGAAAATTAACGATACCTTTCCATTTTCTCTCTTTTGGTGACGCTCCACTTAAATGACTTTTAATTGTAAATTCTCTAACTAGTTTTAGTTATATTTTGTCAAAAAGGTGTTTTATTCTTTTAATTGTACTTTAAAACTAGTTGACATAGCTAGAATAATGTATCATACTAAATATATACTAAAATACGAGATACTACTTATAAAACAGACAAAACATTAATCGTCGAAAGCAATCGTTCAAAAAATAAAAACAAAACCGACACGACGTATTTTCAGTTAATATTTTTATGTAGAATTATCGACCTCCCGATTGTACCCCATCAGTGTTACGGAACACTCTATATATTCAACATCAAGAGAGAAACGAGAGATATGTTTTAACGAAAAAAAAAGATTCACTAATTTCTTATAATATATTTATCATTGATAGAGCATCTGCAATTCTTTTGACATTCACCACTAGGCAGAAAAAGCTCGCTTTTGAAATGTAGGTATTTAGTGTACATAAAACTCTTGCACTGAAAAATGTGTTTATCATATTATGAGGCAATGAAATAAAATACTTTTTGATAAGGTAGAATAATTGGGAGATACACATACGTTGTGCAAATCTTGATAGTCTCCTATTTCTATCTGCTCGTTTACGTTTTAACTCCGTGCAAGCAAAATTTTTGTAAAAAAAATACAAAGATGGAAGTTTTTATCGTTTCATCGAGATTTAGTTTTACACACGACAATCGGTGCTAACACATTATTCCGAGTACTTTTGTTACTGCCAGATGCGACAAGATTATGTTACCGATTATATTATCGAAAAAGCAACACGCAACAATTGCAAAATTGCCTCCGCTGAGGCGCACGATACCGAGTTACTTATTTGCTTTCGGCCGAACAGTTGCAACGATGCAGATATATTTTGTATAAAATCTAGATTTAAATGAGGATTATACATGTATAATTAATGAATGTGTCCCTAAGGACGGGCTCTAGGACGATTATTGATATTTTAGTGAATAAAGAAAGCTCTCGGATGAAAATTTAAGGATATTTTTAGACGGCAACGAAACAATTGTTTGAATACTAATGTATCCGGATAACGGTAGACTGTACGTCTTAACGTAAATTCTAATCTTTTATAGTGTTAAGACAAACAATTATAAAGCGAGTAACAAGAAGATTAGAGAAAGTGAGAGAGAGAGAGAGAGAGGTAAGAGGGAGCACACAAATGCTGTCGCGTTAGAAAGAGAGAAAGAGAGGGGACACGTAATATCCGTAACTTTTTTTTTCAGCATAATATTATATTTTAATCAAAAGTACTGGGTAAGCTTTTTTAAATACCGAGACTGTAGAGAAGTGTTGATTACGCGAGTGTTGCCGGCGGTCTCGTTCCTCTCGGTCGATTTTCTGGGGCTATGTTAAAGCTGCAATAATTTAAGCGTATATTTTATTTTAGATTATTCACATATAATGAGAGAGTATATTTATATATATAAATATATAAAAATATACATAAACATTTATATGTTTATATATATACACGTGTACTTTCCGTTATCCATTTATAGCTTAAGCGCAGGGTAGAACCATCTACTAACGTAGCGTTCCATACGCTTAATTTGTTATATTGAAGTTTTGCGTTAACAAAGTTTACTTCATTTAGGAGAAACTTACGTGTTACTAGAAAGACTATCATACCAACACGTACTATCAAACCAACCGATAACTTTGCATTGGTCACATGTACAATTGCAATTGTTTAACTCTTAATGAGTACGTCCTGCCCCCTCCCCCTTCCCCCCGCCCGAGATCTTAGGAGCATTTCCTGGAGAAAAAAAATACGCGAAGGAATATATATATAAATATATACATACGATGTATAATGTAAATGGGATAACTAAAAAGAAAAAAATGGTATATACTTTCAAGTGTATTGTTTTAATCTTGCTTTCTTTTTTTCTGGCTGATCCTCTACGAACACGAGAGTGTGTATGTCTCTGTAACCGACTAACTGATAAGCCGCCCTTAGTCGTCTAATTTCCTCTGTACATTTTGTTGACAGGAGATGACACTGATCTGTATCCTTGTACACAAATCCTGTGCATGAAGAAAACAAAAGAATGTGAAAATTGTCGCCACGACACACGTCACGTGGCTTCGTAATTCGTTTGTAAATCGTCTCCTATCGTCTGCCGCATTTATACTCTTCGTGCAGCAACACACCGTACACTCGTCCCCCCTCCCCCTCAACCAAGTATGTCGTGCAAATAAATAGAGATGAATTTCTTACGTGTAACGGAGTCTCTACCAATCTGTAGCGATCGCATAGCCTTATGCTGGATTACATCTTAGAAGGACACTGAAATAAGGATTTGGTAGCAGGTACTCAAGTTTGGTGAATGTTTGCCGATCAAATATTTGATTGCTGCAAACAAATAATCTAATTCCGTATAAATAATATACAGAACTATTCTGTAATGTATATATAGTATATGAAACTAATTAATTAGCAATCAAATATTTGGCCGGCAAATATACATCAAACTTTAGCATTTATTGCCGAATCCTTTCCAGTGCATGGTCTTCTGTTCTCCCTTCGCAAGTGTCATGATCTGTCAATCGCACGCGCTGGAAATCTCACGCGGACCCGACGATTGTTCCATCTCAACTTATAATGCGCCTCTTCGGATTAGGAGCTGTATCTTACTTAAGATCGTTGATGCGAAACTTTCCACAGTTCCGCGAGCTCGCATTTGCATCGTTGCTTCTTTCCTTGTAATTCTAAATTTACACGTGGAACGGCGACTTGCAAAAACGCCGTGACAGCGATTTGACCGCAGAGGAATATATCGTGAAGAAAAAAAGCACGATGAGAATTTACCACGAGTTTATCGATCGTCTCCGAACGTATTTCGTGTGTTGCCTTTTCGAGATCCGCAGCTTGCTTGGCAGTAACAAAAGGACGTTGGATATTGCTTTAACGTCCCTCCCCCTGGTTTATCTTGATCATGATCAAGAAAACAAGGTTGAATGGAACGTTTACACGACGATGAAAAAGATAACGTTGAATAATCTGTCACCCCGCACAACACGAATGATCGATCGATCGTCACTTCCAAGTAAATCTATGCAATTTATGTATACGCGTGATTCAACGATCGTAGGATGATTAACGATGCGGTGGGCGTCGCGCTTCAGTGAGAAGTCCGATTAAATGATCGAGAACTTGCTGTTTGTCGATTCAGTTAGGTATTTACGGAAATCATCCGTTACCGAGATAAGACACCTTCTTCTCTCGCTCGATTATAATCGCGTCCGCAATTTGCAACACGACGATTTGCGGCGTTCATCGATTTCCCCCGCGAGACAATAGCATTTTCTCGAGATCCGATCGTCGCCGATCCGCTGTACGAGCGGCTCAAGAAAGAAAGAAAGAAAGATACAATGTCACTTACGGACCATGTCGTTTTATTACGAGCTACTTTTTCTATGCTAGGTCTTAATCACATACGCTAATTGAAGAGAATCGCGACGGCGCGATGATGCGCGCCTGGAGAAAGTGATTTACCGAGCTGTAATAAGATAACGAACGAAAACCGTACGCCCGCGCGATGAGGCCGCGCTTTAACGACGACGGTAGATGCAACTCCGCCGAGTGGAGTGACACTGCACCTGTACTCGACCCGCAATATACACCGATATAGTGCGATATTCTAGCGAATTTCTATTATTTTCCATAAGAAAAACCACAATACCGGTCTCCACAGGCGCATGTCGCCTGGCGAAATCAAGATTACATCCTGAAAATTAAGGGACTGAGGGGAAATTAGGAGAATTCAATCGATTTATAAGGATAATGTGAATCACGAAAGTAAATCTCCCGCCGGTAAACCACGCCGCGACGATACAATGTAACTGTCCAACAAAGGAAATTTTATGGTAATTTCTGCGAGGAACAAGATCAACCGTGCCTGAAACGAGATCGAGAGCTTCGCGGAGGATGCATATCGCACGTCCCTGTCGAAAATTTCTAGGTGGATTGTGACGGAAATCCAAGGGAACTCGTGTGAATCCATATACATACGGCAAGAAATAGTTTTAAATCAATGATAGATATTCTCATACAAGGAAGAATAGTATAATATTCTCAGAAATATTTTTAATCTTGAATTAAGTGCAAGTAATATTTGCTTCAATAGAAATTCGATTAAATCCAGACGAAAAATCTTCTAAAAAGATTATAATATTATTATATATGAGAATATTTATCATTGACTTAGGACTAATTTTCTTTCCGTGTAGGATTCAAAATCCATATAACAATCTACATGATGTGCGGAAATTCATATAGGAACCCACCTAGGATCTGGGTCTTTGACCCAAATCCCCAGGGGCAACTATGGGATTCCATATGGATTTTTTATATAAATTTCCACCTGGTTTTTTTCTCAATAAGGATAGATCAGGAAGATGAGCGGCGTGGTGGCGGAAAGCGAGGGGGCGACGAGAACAATCATAATTGTTGGATTATATGCTCGTCGTCCTTTGGCAATTTTGCGGAATCGCCTGTAAATAATGAGGATTCTAGCGCGTTAGATCGTGTAAATGGACGTCGCTGCGTTTACGGAGAACCAGCGTGCCTGATCGCAGATTTGACACACGCATATAAACATATACACATATACACAAATGCACGCGCGAAGGAAAACACCCTTTGATCGGAGCACCAATTTGTGTCACTCCCTCCCCCCCCCCCCNAATGTACCTTTTGTGTGAAAAAGGCCGCGCTTCTCCATGCTTGACCCTCCCGCTATTTTCGTTGCGTAACGATAAAATATTCTTTGATCTAAATCTATTGCAGAAGTAGTAAAGCTTTTTTGTTCGGATCCACAATAGGTGTAGTAAACTTTTAGCCTTGAAGCAATGAAATGTAACGTAATTTCTGACAAAAGGCGCTGTCCATAGTTGCGTTAACGCTTAGAAATGGCGACGTCTGATAACGCTAGAAATTATAACGTTATTTTGAATGAAAAACATTTCCAGCGTTATCAGACTTCGCAATTTCCATAGAGAACAATATCATTCTACTGTTAAGGGAAGCGATTACTCAGTTTACTTTCCTTGTTTTAAGTAATAGTTACCTTCAACAAAGAATTTTTTTTTCTTGATAATAGCTCTAAAATATATTTATCTCAAATTTTTTAAGAAATCGTTATCACATATTCAAAAGAAGAATTTATATTTCTTTCATGAATATTATAAACTTTAACGAAGAAAAGTTAATTTCGGTTAATTTAAATAAGCAAACCGAAATTTGATTTAATTTAATATTCTTGATCGAAGTACCGAATTTATCGGGATTTAGAATATATTTTGAATAAATTTGATGCTTATACGATATATTTGCGAGTATATATAAACTTATGAAATGCTTGAGGAACAAGAACATTAGTTATATGCAGTACATATGTTTCTATGTGTAAGATTTAAGCGTTATTACAACTGATAGCGCGAGGAACGCCTTTGTCATAAACTATATTTTATTGCTTGGAGCAAAGAAAAGAAAAAAAAAAGAGACCAAAGGCTTGCTATATCTATATCGTAGATCCGGAGATAGGCGAGACCGTCGGCCACACGTTCGGAAAACGGAAGGACATCCCTGTATCGGACGCGACATATTTTTTACATCGTTTTTCACATATCGCGTGTGTCTCCTTCGCGAGAGTAAAAAAAGAAGAGATGAGAAAACTATATTCGTGCCATCTGCGAGAATATACGTTGCTTCCCCGTGGTGTGTGTTACTTTCAATGTGATGTTAGTATTGTTAACATAGGTACGATTGACGTCAGCAAAATAATCGAGACGCGCGAGACTAGAGCCTAAGAGTGAGTGATGCTTGTCCTTTCGTTGGTTTTTCGATTGTGTCTGCATATGCAAATATTTTCCAAGCATCCGTTCGCGCACGTTCCGACGATGGCGGGCCTCGTGTGCCGCAGGTTGCATTTAATCACCCGCATCTACACCGGATTCACCGTGCACACTGAAAGGCCGTTATACACAAAGTATCCAAATACAATGGCATAACTTTGACGATTAAATAATTAATATATATTCTGCTAAATAATGTGACAATATCATTATTAGGTGTTTAATCATTCCAAATGCTCGTATGCTTTTTTATTTAAATAACTGTTTCGTGTGTAACAGCCTTCAGCGCACACCCGTGTAATGTGGGTACTTGAATTCGCTATTAATTAAGAGCCAATCAGTTTTTTCCGGTCACAAACAGATGGTCACGTGTCGGCCTCGTGTCACACGATGAGTCGAATCTCGCGAACATGTGTATGCACGAAGCAAAAGTCTTCATCGCCGAATGCGTCGCAATTACTCTACGATTGCGCGTGTAGCACGACTGCTACCGATCATTACGACAATAAGTTGATGAAGAGAGGGAAAGAGAGAGAGAGAGAAAGAGAGCGTCGGACCATTCTTTCGATGGCGAAAGAGCGTGTCCGTGTAAAATTGTTTGTCGAGATCTTGAGGTTCGTCCGGAGAATCTTCCGTAAGAAAATTGATTGACAATTCATGTATTAGCCTGTGCGTACACAATAAGTAATTTCTCAGGTAAAATGAAACGACTTTACTTTCGTGTCATCCCAGACAGCATACAGTATTTATAAAATATATGAAAAATATAGATGTTATATATTTCATAAATATTCTAATGTCCGGGAAAGTCAGTTATGAGAAAGATTATGATAAATATTCAAAAATATTTGTGAAAAATATTCTTCATTAATAACTAAAACATGGTTTCACTCAAGTGAAATCAAGTTTTCACTATTTATGAAAAAATATTTTTTATAAATATTTTTGAATATTTATCATAATCCTTCTCATATTTGACTTTTCTGGACATTTGAATATTTATAAAATATTCAATATCTATGTTTTTTTAATATTTTGTAAATATTGTGTGCTGTCTAGGATGATAATCTTGCGAAGCAAAAAAATGGCCTTATTTACACCGACCGTTTAATACGCGTACCAATTAGTAACTTTCTATTAAATTGTCTTAATTTTGACGATGCGTGTAAAGGATGGCGTATTCAAATGGTATGACACGTCTTCTTGACGTGTATTGTGCCAGCTAAATATATCGTCGTTTATATACATCATCAACATTAAGACAATTTATTAGAAAGTTTCTATTGAATAGAATTTAATAGTTAATTATTTAATAGTGTATCAAACGATCGATGATATTTATAATATCCTGCCATCTTTCGCATACATGTACAGGATTGCAATACACGATACGAGGATATAATCGTTTCATTTCATCGGAGAGATCCGAAATTGTGCGCCTATTGCATCTCGCCGATATCTTGTGACGAAAAGGCGATCTCCGCGAAATTAATTTCCGACGCAATCGTGCAACGCCTTGGATTCTCTGTTCCGATCGATCCGTCTCAATCGCGTCACCGGACACCTCTCCGTCGAATGAATCGTTCCCCGAGCCGGGGGAACGCGGTCTGTCCCTACGCGCCACGTGTGTAATCTAACGACCGGTTCACGTTTCCCAGAAGTATCGGTGTATCACCGGGGCTCTCGAAAGGAATATATGGGTCGCGAAGAGTGATGACCTCTCGGACGATCCGAGCGTGCGACGCGCTACCACGCTGGAAAACGCAACGCAGGGATATTAAATTTACGTTATATTTTATTTGCCTTCTTGAGCGCCAATTCACACACACACACACACACACACACATGACATAAGTAGCCGAGGACATCACAGGGGGAAAGGAAAGAAAAAAGTGCGTGTGCAATCGGTTTGTTCGCTTACGCGGCTTTCGAATAGGTTTCGTGCGATTCACGAGGAATATTAACTAAAACGAACTTTAATAACATTGTTGATCCAATATTGCTTATATTGGCATTCTTTGGGTATACATTAAGCGAACGTTGCCCAATATAGAATTGACCAATCGAGCTAAACCTACAAAAAGCAAATTTTGCATAGTATCTGCTATAAATTTTGTCAACAGCTTGCTGACAGAAATATAACAGGATTTGCAAGCGGAGTATGATAACAGATTAATCTATTATATCGACAAAATTTATAGTAGATATTATATGCAAAATCTGCTTCAACAGATTTGGCGGTCTAGCTGGGCTTTATATTAGGTAACATGCATTGAATAAATGCCATTGTAATCAATATTAGAGCAATGTATCGCCAATGAATTGTATTACTAGGAAAGGATCAGAAAGATTGGATCGTATATCGGATTTTCTTTCGCTGATCGCTCGATATCGATCGGAATGAATTTTCGGGTGCTTGTTAGATTTCCACTTTTCTAATCGCTCTCTGACCGTTCCGGTTTCGGGAAGAGCGTACAGATCAATAAGACCATTTTAATATTGATAAGACGGGAGCATGTTATATAAGTGAAATGATGATAAATTACTGGGTAGAGACAGGTGTCTCGGAGCGGTCTCAGTCGCTACGGTCGGTGTATCGCGAGCGGGAACGCGTTTTATCAGACCGGTGTTACTGGTTGTCGCGATCGTGCGCTCGGACGAGATAATAAGCGAACAAACCTGCGAGCCGCGCGGATAGTCTCGTCCTGTTTACGGGCAGGATCGCGAGGACCGACACCTGCGATCTACAAGCGTGCACAAGTGCGCGCGATTTCGCGATCCGAGACACTACGCGATAACGACGGGCTTCGCCGTGAATTCGGCGGCGCGACTCCTTCGGTTCTCCTTCGTCTAACGTTTTCCGCGCGAACGTGATATATTTTCTCGCTCTGGCCGGCTATGTGAATTCTCCTTGATGGTACACAGTGTTAAGTAAATATAAATTAAGTATAAATATAAATATAAATAAATAAATAAATATATATATATATATATATAGAAAGTACAAATTAGTTCAGTCCGTTTTCAAAAGATGGCTCTGGCTGTTATGAATGTTGCATAGTGACAGCTGTTTCCTGCCTGCCTTGCGAGTGAAAGGTTTATCCCGCAGGCAACTCTCTTTCCTGTTGAAGTTTTCTACAGCCCATCGCTTAGTGAGTGCGTAGGTTAGTTTCTTTGTGCTGCGCAGCATCAGNGTTCCTCTTTTTAGACGCTCACCTGTGCTCTTCTGCGGAAAATCCTGGTATGTCTTGCTTTATAAATCATTTAGATAGAATATTTCTAATGATTGTCCGTTAAAAAATAGTGCATGTATAATTATATATAATTGTGCGTAGAAAAATATATAAGGTGTCATATATGAAATTTGTCCATATATAAAAATATATAATTATATACGAAGTGGTACAAAGAGAGAAAGAAAGAGTTTATATATGACCATATATAAATATATATAATGAGTTATATGATTATATAAAAATATATATATTTGAATATATAATTATATATAATCACATACATACGCACCTATATAATTATATATTTTTATATGTGAACATATTCTATATATAATTATACATGAACAATTTTTTAACGGATGGGACAAGCGATGTTGGCGACATTTTCAACGGAAAACCCTCGAATTTTCCGTTCATTGATACTTTCATCGCGCTCGCGATTAATTTCGCGCGATTCGAGTGTCGAAGCGCAAAGTCGCCTCGATCATTTAAATTGCAAATCGCGATAGATCGATGCAAAGCGCGGCATGCTTCGTATAAAACGACGGAGGAGAAAGGTAGCAAGGTCAAACTCTCCGATGCATATCCGACGGATTTTATGCAAAGCGATGATTCAGCGCCGTTCGCGGGGATAATTAGCGTAAAAAATCCGGGGGGATCGCGCATTCATCTCCGTCAAGGATCTAGAGATCGATTGTGTCATCCGCACGCGGAGAAGATACGTTCACCACGTTGTCTCATTTAGAAACGCATCTGTCCGGCGAATGTTAACCAATCGAGCTGGAAATACCGTTGACGAGAAAAATATATAACCATCGAGGAACGTGTATTACGCGAGAAATTTTCATCGTCGTCCAAAATATTTGGAAGATTCCAAAAAATTTCGAGGTCGTCGATAACGAATTATCGATACGCACGATCGAAACGTCGCGTCGATGAAGCTTCCGGTGGCGATCGCTCCTCACCGGAAACCCGAATGTATTTACGACAAGTAGTCGAATCTCTAATCCGGCCAAACAGTGGTACTCAATTTATTTCAAAAAAATCCCCTAGATTAGTCGGATTCATGTTCTCTGTCTCAACATTGGTCGTATTAGATCAAGAGATCTTAAGATGCGAGCAACAACTTTTCGTGAAAATTGATCGTTCAATAAAAGTGGAAAGATACCCTGATGGAAATATTATGAAAATTTTACTGAAAATTTTACTGAAATTCTTCCTCAAGTTACCTTATTTTATCATCATTCCGTCAATGTATGCAATTATCAGTTAAAAACTCAGGAAATTTCAATAGTATATTTTAACTTTCCTTTTACTCGAGTACTGGTATACTACGAACTTGATGAACAGTGAGATAAAAATTATCGAAAAATTACTGAAATATATAATAATAAATACTTCAAAATCAATCATAATTTTCATCGTGAAATTCAATGTAATACTGTGAATGTGACTGAGCACCACTGTTCGGATTATAAATCCGGCTACTTGTCGTAAACACCTCGAGGCGCGGTACTTCGGAGACACCTTGTATACGGGACGTGTGCCCGCAGGAGGAACGCGGACGGGCCGACGGGGGGAAGGGTTAGAACGGCCGTCGTATCGCTGTGAGCCGGTGCCGGCGGCGTTATATCGGAGGACGCCCCCGGATAGCGGCAGAACGCCTAAAATTACAAGCTTTCAAATGGTTATCGCGCGAGAGTCCGGCCGAGCGTAGCGACGCGTCATCAGCATCGTCGACGACGTCGACTGCGAGGTCCTTCTTCAGTGAATCCCTCTCGTCCCGGCCGCGCGGGCACACGACGCGCGGAGTGGGGTTACCCGTGCGGTTGATATTGCAGGGAAAACGCGCGCGTGACACGTAGATTGTTTGCATACCACCCACGCACGGTACACACGGCGACGGCCCGGTCACGGCGATAACAAACGTGGCATATGTTCCTGCGTGAGTGACAGCGGGCGGACGCGACGACACGACACAGGAGTGATGGGAATCGACGGCATGAGGGTCGGCGGAGGCAGATGCCCGCCTCTTTTGGTCGTAGCGCTGCTCTTGGTGTGCCTCATGCTCTTCTGCAACTGGTGGGCCCTGTCGTCGGAGAATGTGGAGCTGGTCAGGCAGATCGACGAGCTGAACGAGCAGCTCAAGATCAGGTGAGGGTCGTTCACTTTTGAAGCTTACTGTCTCCGATGACACTTGAATATATTCATCGTGAAAGCGGCTGGCTCGCTTATTGAGCAGCTTCCGGAGGTTTGTTCCTCTGTTCTTTTTCTGTGTTTGTGAAGGGCGTTTGTCGTGTGATCAGTTATCGTTCGAAACAGCACGTGAGTTTGGTCTTTGTGAAATTCACTTTCATTTGCGGCTCGCTCGCAGGATGCGTGTCGGTAACTTTAGCGTTGTCCATCGGTTCTCTCTTAGGTTGTTGTCAGTTGTAATTTGTGCAAATACCTTGCGATTCTATCGTGATTAAGAAATTGATCTGTCTTTCAGCGCTGAAGAGAGAGATCAGTGTGTGACGCTGCGCGGTAACCTGGAGCAGAGGTACAAACACGCGGAGGATGAGTTGGCTTCCCTGCATGTCCGCTTGGAGCAACAAATGGACTTCAAGAAGAGAAATGAAGAGCTAGAGGACTCTGTTACTGTGTGTAAGAGTGAACTGGACTCGTTAAATAAATTGGACGCCACTAAAACCGCAACATTGGAGACATTGCGATTAGAAAAGGATACGATTAATACTCAATTAGATGTGAAACGTGATGAGAACAAGAAACTTCAAGAAGAAATAGAAAAAGTATGAGTTCTTTATTCAGTAGAATCGATATAGAATGAAATACTTAACATAACATTGATATTCTTTGTTTCACAGCTAAAAGGAGAAATAGGTCAACTAAAACTCAGCTGCAACTCCCCGCCTGACAAAAAAGAGACTCCAGTTCTTCGGCCAAGTAAGTTGTAACAATTGTTTTCATCGTATTACATCACGTTTGATATGTGTTTCTTTGAACTTACGTTTTCCATTTCACGGCTGACAATCACGTTCTCGAATGACCGTCCGAGTTTATGTAATTTTTTTGGAATAACTATTCTCTCGTCATGTGAAGTATTTGCACTGTATCCTATCGGTATGATGTTGTATGATGAGCCGAGACTTTTGCCAACTTAGACCGCTGATTGCACACCCTGCTTCTACGGCGGGAGAACGATGCCCCCCCCCCCTTTTCCAGAATTTGTTTTATTTTCTTATTATTTTCTCGAATCTCGTCCGTACTCCCATTAAGTTTCTAACTCCGATCGATGCTGCTCTCACGCAAATATTAACGCGGCAAGTGTTGCCGATTTTTCCCTCGTAAAGCCCTTTTGTTTGTGCATTTCTCACTGACACAACAGCGTTATAAGATATTATGTCGGGGTTTGCCGATTTAGCAACGACAGTGGTCATTAACAAGTCTCAGTTACACCCGGTACCGGAGTCGGCCGTAAGAGTATCCGTAGCTGGTCAGCGAGGCTTGAAGTACCACGGGATTCCAATCCTACCGACAGACCCACCCGGTGCTGTGCGCCAAACTCCTCGTTTCTCAGTAACTATGTTGAAAGGTAGTGATACCTTTCCCCGTCCTCGCGGGGCGAGAATGCTGCCACGGACATGAAATTAAGAGTTCGCAGTAGATTTGTATATAAATCTCATAATTTCACACACACACACAGACACACACACACATACACACGCGCGTAACTAAATCTCTGTTAAGAACAAACCTACTGTATTCGCTTCTAACTACGATGCGGTATTCGCATTTTTCGGTTCTTTCGTTCTAACGACACACATCCACACACACACACACGATGCTGTACCATTCACCTAATATTGACCGTCGAAATTTTCATACCGAGAGGACCGTTTCAATCGTAACACAGGAGAGGACTGTCTGTGTCCAGGAGCTAAAAGCCAAGTAGCGTTAGTTCAGCTTCCTTTATGCTTTTACGCCACGAGATCCGACGGTTTCGTGTGCATTAGTGTCAGGATCGAGTAAAAAGGATTTCTGGGGATTTAGTAGGTGCCATTGACGAGTATTACTATTGACGATGCTTTCTTTACAAGAGAATTGTATCCTTACTCCTTCTCGTCCAACGCGCGAATCTCTAAAGGAGAACGATCTAAATCGAATCTCATGCAATGAAAGCAGACAAACGTGGGACGTGGGGCAAGATTTTATTCTCTGCATCCCTTCCTGTTTATGATGCTTGGATATACTTTCGCCCTAACTGTACTCATCGTGCTAAAAACGACGCACGAGATTTGTTTCACGACTTGTAATTAAGTTATAATTGGTAATTGTAAGATATTTATTTATGTGTAGACAGCTATTTTGTGGATTTACTTACCGCCTGCTCTGCAATATAACATATTGTATTTATTTACAATAAAACCTCATGCGAATGACACGAGGCGCATAATGTAAGCTACACGCGGACGACTTTGAATCTGTATTTGTAGAAATATATTGAACAATAAACAAATGTGATCAACCGTAACTTTCAGCTCTCTCAAAACGCCGGGCATGAAAACGTACGCGCGTGCGTGTGTTTACTGTGTAATTACATAAAATACACGTGCGATATTTTCAGCGCGACTTTATTCTTCTGCTTCTGGACTCTACCGAAGGGCTTGGTTTCTGAGACTGTTATTATTATTAGCGTTATCGTCATACGAAGCTCTTCCTCTCTCTTGGTACTCTGGAGAACTAACCGATCATTTTATATTAACACGCACGAGTATTGGTGGAAGTTTCACCGGATAGTTTTTCACTATCACTAGTTATTCACTACTAACGACAGCTTTTGTTAGTGTCGCAATGTAGATTCCGCACCGACGGATCGCGATTAAAAGTTCTTTCAGAAGACACGCACGCGAATCTTTCACTTTAGCAATAGTAATGTAGCTTACGTACCTTTCAGTTGAAACGGATATGAAACAGATCAACGTCACGTCGAATGACTCTGCGGAGCAGGATATCCTGGCCGCCGACGACTTAGAAGATCCTGAGAACCGTGCACGTGGTAATTAAAAGTTCAAACTTAGCGTTTTCTTTTTTTATCGTCACCATTGCAGCACATACACGCACTTTTGTTCGTTGAAACGCAGCTCGAAGAAGCAATTACGATAGTCGTAACGTTCTCCGTAAAACGAAGAGAAGTAGAAGTTAGATTTATTTTATTGCAATGTGTACGCTTTATGTGAAATTTGATTTAAAGTCCACTAAACTTTTTTGTACATTTGATTTTTCACATTTATGTGTTGTTCCATCGTTAACTTAGAGAAACGAACTTTAAAATATCTTGTATGTGTGTGTGCGCGAGAAAAAGAGAGAGAGAGAGAGAGAGAGAGAAAGGATTATGGATAGTGTGATAATTAAAAAAATTTTTTTTTGTCATCATTTGTATAGATAACAATGCTGATGAAGTTCAAAGCACAGACGAGGCTATGCTACTTCCAGAAAATGACGAGGAGGAAACGAAAATGCAGGACACTACAGGGAAACCTCGGGGTAAAAATACATAATACGGCGCGATATATAATCCAGAAATGAATGGATGCGCGCACTTTTGCAATAACCGACGAGCTAATTAGGTTAAAGAGAGTACAGTGTGACCACATATATGAATATACAAAACGAAAGTCCATACTACACGCGTTCCTCGTACTCCAAGATACTTTATACTGTTCATTTAATTGTGTCATATTTAATTGTTCTTACGATAGAAATATTTTTTATATGTGTATCATATTCCTTAGAAGAGATATATGCGAGTTTTATTTTATATCAACGACGACGTTGCGAAATTACAAAGTGACATATATATACGCGCGTGCCAAATTATGTGTTCATTATTTCCGCTACACACATAATTATTGGCTACTTGAGCAATCTCTATATCTTGTATTTTATTATATACATATATTTATATATAATAAGCGAGCCCCGATTATATACTGTGATGGTTCCAAGATCTGATGAACAAATAACATAAAAAGCTTTTGCACTTTTTAAGCAATCCTTAAGAATGAAAATAAAACGTTTGCCATGATTTATTGATAAGCCATGCGCGCGCGCGCGCGTGCACACACACACACACACACGTATATATATATTTTTTGTGCCACTTAAAAAGGTACAAACAGTACGCAATAAATATTAATATGAATATATATATATATATATATAGGCTACTTGAGCAATCTTTATATCTTGTAGCNTAATAAATGTCCCTCTATCTTTTGTTTTGCCAGTTTTATTGTATAGTTTCACATATATATATAAGGTAGATGGTTAATAATAAATTTTTATATACAAAGTATCCTCGCATCTTTTGTTAATTATGGTAAGTAAACCGTTCGAGATTTTTCGTATAATAACGCAAAAATATTCATCGTAATATATTGCAGTTATTAATTGATCACTTCGAGGTCTCGTCCCTTCTCGAATAAGTGCAGGATTACATATTTTGTCGTAGAGTGACTTTATATCCATAATATGTGTGAAATATTTGTTCTTTATTGGACCAGTTTATCGAAAATATATTTAGCTTACATAAAATTTCGCAATACATCCGGGCATCGTAAAATCCCTGAAATTTATATATGTAATGTTCATTTGTGCCGTTCGTAGAGCGTACAATCGAGAGCTTACTACCTATTAAGTAAAAAATTACGCGTGCCTGCCTACAGTTTCTCTCTCTCTCTCTCTCTCTCTCTCTCTCTCTCTCTCTCTTTCAATACTTTGTATGTATTATCGGAATCACGCAATTTTTACGAATTTTACGGCAAACAAGTGCACGCACGTGGCTTTTTCCTCCATTTTCCGTCAAACAAAGATGTAACGTCGGTTATGATCGTTGATTATCATATTGTCCTCGTAAATTATGAGTTATTATTGTTCTCTACACGCTGGCCTCTACACTTTTTCCTCCTTACGCTCACGAATATCTGCATTAATATATAAGCTACTCCGTCAAGCTGCGTCTGTTGTGTTTCACGCTTGAAATGTCTCTCAATAGCTACACCAGATAAATGTCGCGAAATATAGAACGACGATGTTCTCTATGACGCGTGCTACCTTTGGGTGATTTTTTTTCTTTTCAATTCAATTCCGTCTAATGGCTATGGTATCACGATCATACCCATACCGATCTGCACAATACTTGCATGTTCTTGCAATACGCAAGAAATATGTGAGAAATATCCCTTTACAATTGTAAGACAATTATATTGCAACGCCATTTCGCTGATATGAAATATTTCATGTTTCTCTTGGCATGTGTCGCGTGTCAGTTTTTTTTTTTTCTAAACATACAACATTGTTACGTCAAACGATACACTTATCTCTCCGCAGTCATTTCCGATCGGTTACATATCGCGAAGGTTCTGTCAATGCTACCGGTAATACCTCGTATACTCGCCTCTACCACTAAGAAATTATAAAATTATTAGCGTTATCCGTAGATAATAACGCGTTGAAAATAATGATGTTGCGCGATCAATACAACGAGGCGTTGATTTATTACATTCAATGCGGGATGATTCGGCCCGAACCGATACACGTGAGAAGCGTCACAATAGTCATCGGCTTTTAAGCTGTATGATTAATAAGTTAACATGTTACAACAAAATGTAAAAGTGTGACTAGGAGGAATTAAGTAACGACTAGATAATTACTATGCGGACTTACATACTCGTACATATGTACATACATTGCATATATTATATATATATTGAATACGAATATATACGTAAAATGTAATATATAATATATACAATATATCTGTTATATATATATATATATATATATATATATATATAGTGAGTTTTGAAGCGCCAATCTTTAGGTCTAAAATGCTTTATATAGCGAAACTGACAGCATAACCTCTCAAAACAGTATCGAATATGATGGCTACCTACAAACAGCGTGTTCCCCCAAAGCTGAGTAAATCATATTTTCAGCCTCGGCAGCATTTTTTTTTTAATTAGAAAGTAAAAAGAATGCAATGTCTAATATGCTGCTTGTCGATGTCNCTTTGATATACTTTTATATATGTATATGTGTATATGTATGTATATATATATGTATATATTGTCCGTTTAATTATTACACATATTTATGGCAAACGCGTTTACGTGTTTCAATAGAGAAATGTGTCTCCCTGCGATTATCTCGGAGATCATGTTACACGCGCACGTCGTACACAACAAATGCTAAACTTTACAACTTATTGTAACCTCTATATAACTATACAGCTCTCGTACAGTCCGTAGCAGCGCATTTCAAGTTTCAACGTAAGATCACTGGATGGTATATGAATATCTCTCGCGAATATTTACATCGCCCGTATGCATGTGTGAATCAGTTAAATTAGAATAAATAAAAGTCAACTTGCGCGCGTCCTCGACGATAACGTGAAGTCGCCGCAAAGTCCGAAGTTCACACACGCACGCACGCACGCACACATACACACACACACACACACTCTCTCTCTCTCTCTCTCTCTCTTTCTCCCCTCCCTCTCGTTTTTTCGCATAATATCCTGCGTTGCAGCTCCTCCACGTATCGTTGAAAATCGCTTCGCTCGCGGCGCTTCTCTTTGGTCACGTAATTAGCTACTTATAGCGAACCAAAATCTAGACCTACCTACGGCTAGCGCGCGGCTGAATCGGAGAAATGATTTGCCGGAGTGAAAGTCGGAATATCTACAGCTTATCCGCGTGTTAGTTGGACGCGGGTCCGTTTTAGGCATTTAGTTCCGTTTATCGCCACCCGGTATCTTCGTGAAAGTTAGCATCTCGAATGAGCGTTAACAGCCTTCGGGACGTGTGATCGGTATCTCGCGGGAAGAAACTGTCGCGTTGTAAAACTGGAAGTCACGAGTGTGCGCGCAGGGCTCCTCTCTTCAGACACGCCCTAATTTCCTGGCTGTCACGTCGCGATTTTCCGCCTTACCGTGTAAGGTGGGAGATAGCACGAGTAATCTCAGTCGCAACGTTAAGGCATGCATGACATGCGAGATGTATCACCTACATCGTCGCCGCATCATCATCATCGTCGTCTGGAGGGTCGCCTAACGGTAAACGACGAATCTACCGTGGTACCATGCGCATTTCTTTCACATTGAGCAGCGTGATCGACTTATCCGGAAAACGCGAATTTCATTCCGAACGAGGTGAACGAACGTTCCAATCTGCCTTGACAATATCACTCGCGTCGCATCGCGCGCCCGGAGTAACAATATCGGGGTCAAGTTGAAATAAGGCAGTGAGATGTTCAGTTAACGAATCGTCAGTCTCTAAACGAGGGTGACTACGTCGCAAACGCCAGTCGAATGCACCAGGAGCTCTCCCTCCCCTTATCCCTCTCCGGTGTGAGCTCTGCTTTTTCGTTGTGATCTGCGCGCGAATCATCGGCTGCCGTCTGCGTGCGAAACGCGTTCTCCCTCGCTTTACCGGGGAGGATGATCGCTCTGTCCCGAAGCGTCTCCTAGGACGTGTGGAAAGTGCGTTTCCGCCGTCGGAAGATGAGACTGAATATCGAGCGCAGCCGGCCCCAACGGCTGGTCTTGCGTATCGTCACGCCGCGTCTCTCCTTGGCGCGGATCTGCCTCACCAGCGAGTAGAACGCGTCGTCCACGAATTGCCTGAGCGCGGCCGACGTCTCGTAAAACGGACAGCCGAGCTCCTTCGCCAGCGCCTTGCCCTCCTCCGTGCTCACCTGCAAAACGGGCCACATGTCACAAGAAGAAATGCGTGAAAGAAGATATGTAAGAAGAGAATATGTAATAATCAGGGTGTCTGTTACTCTGGAAAAATTCGGGAAACTTGGATTTCTCAGGGAATTAGTTTACGTCCGGGAAACATCGGGGAATTTTAAACGGACATCTGTTTGCAAGCCAGATTATCGTGTTTGTTCATGCACACGGGAGGGAGGAGAGATGCATCTCTGAACTCCACCGACAAATTCACAAAGATAGATTCTATTATATATATAAAAAAAAAAAACAAGAAAATAAGTAAAAAAAATCTGAATAAATATAGGCCCTCAAACGCCTAGTTTCTGAGATATAACTGCCACAATCTCTGTTTAAAAGAATATATATTTTATTCATTAAATCGTGTTTTAAATAACTAAACACATACTGTTGTGAAAATTATACAAAACGTCTGCCTCCCTTATCTATGTACAATTGATACCTGTGAAGTAAAGATGCGCGTTATTTTAATTTCACTTGCGACAAACTGTAATAATATACCAACATCATAATGAATGATTCAGTTAATATTCAGAAATATCAAAATTGATAGGTATTATCTTCAAAAACAGGTAAAAAAGTGTTGTGTATTAGCATTCTTAACCCGTTTATCGCGACATATTTTCTTTCATTGTTGTCATCTTCTGAAAGTTGTATCTCAAAAACCAAACTTTTGCCGACATATGTTTACCAAAATTTTTGCTTATTTTTCAACATAGAATTTGTCCTGTAAATCTGTCGGTAAAGTCCAGGTATATCCTTTATATAAGAAGAGAAGGAAAATAATATATAAATCCAAAATAATATGTATAAGAGAGAGAGAGAGAGAGAGAATATAAGAAAAATTATAAGACATTATTGAAAACTCGGCAACGTGTTTGCTGTTACCTTTCGCCGTTGTTGCAGATCGAATTTATTGCCGACTAGCACCACAGGAATCTCCTCGTTGGCTCGCACACGCGATATCAGCTTCTTATATTCCATTATCTCCTGGAAGCTGTGCAGATCCGTCACTGAGTAGCATATCATGAAACCTTCGCCGCATCTCATGTATTGCTCGCGCATCGCTGTGAATTCCACCTATGCACAACGCAGACGAGAGTGATCTGCGAGCGTGATTGTACGCGAAGTGCTCTTTTACAGAGACACATCGATGCACCACACACAAAGCCCGTATTAGGCTCGGTATTGGAGATTGAAGATTAGAACTTGACTAATTGGAACGAGCAGACCGCCGAAGTCGAAATTGATTGCTCTATTCTAATCTCTAACCAGAAACCTTTAATTTGCAATACAGACAACACGTATGTCCAAAAGAAGTCTCAAGGGCGCTCTTTAAACGTCTTATCGCCTGAAAGACATCTCAAGGACATCTCCTTTCGACACCCTATCATCTAAAAAGCATCTTTAGGACGTCTTAATATTATCCGGGTCTGATACAGGCTTCAGCTGATTCCTCAAGTTCTAATCTCTGACGAATGATTCTCTGCTCATCCCGGTATCCAAGGTCTGATACAGGCTTAATTATTACTCAAACTGTCATGACGGAAATCTCAAACCTGTCCAGCTGTGTCCAAGATATCCAGTAGGGCTGGTTCACCATCAATAACTGCTTGCTTCTGATACGAATCCTCTGCGAACAACAGAGAAGAGAGACATTGCGCTACATCTCCTTGCATCGATCTAAACAGACTCCCCTTCAAGTACACAAGAGTGCACAACTACTCACCTATGGTCGGATCATGGTAATCCAAGAAGCGGTGATTGACGAATTGCAGGGTGACAGCTGAAAAGTGAAAACCGGTTAACGCGAGAGTTCTCGTTCTCCCCGCGAATTGCCGACGGTGAAACTGGCTGTGATCATTTGCAAATACCGCTCCCGTTCACCAATGAGTCAACGGTACCTGATTTGCCGACACCGCCGTCACCGAGCACGACGATCTTGTAGACCCTGAGTCCACTTCTGGTGGTGGGTTGCGTGGCTACCGGCACGTCGTCCTTGCCATGGTAGGCGACGTTCCTGTCCCGCAAGAGTCTGACCGGCGTCGTAATCATCGTTGTCAGTCGACTGACCGTGCACATCGGCGTGTGTATGTGTGTGTGCGTGCGCGTGTATGTGTGTGTGGTATGCGTATGTGGTCAGCCTAACAAGAAGAAACAGCAGCAGCACGTCGACACACTTGCCGTACGGCGAGGTGACTGACACACTTGATCGCACCGTGTCGTAGCACGACCGATTCAGCAGACACACCCGTGTCGGCGGCGGCTACTACTCGACGAGGAACGACGAAGACGGCGTGGCTCATGGTTTAGCGCGTCTCGCCAGAAAGAGGGAGAGAAGTATGACGCACAGCTCGCGATCGCCGGCGGCGACCGACCGGCGACCACACTCTGGAACTCAGGTCCTGCGGACGGGACACGACATAGCCCGAGCGGCCGGAGAACGTACTGACCGAGGCGGATGGATCGCTCTTGACAGAAGTAGAGAAGCGTGCAACGTATGACAGCTGCGGACTCGGGCGTGCGTGCGAGCGACACGCGTGCGCGCGCCCTCCGCTTTTCAGGATCGTACCGTCGTCTGCTGCGACCGACTGTTGTCCTATTTCGTTTCCCCCGAATTTACACGATGTCCGGGAATCGGGTGATCCGCGAGTCCCCGGGCGATTTCTTCGTTCGCTTAACGGGTGTTGGTTGAAAAATGGAAACGTCGCTCTCGGTATAATGTGATCCAACAACAATGGCCCAGACGAGATTTGTTAGGTTACGATTTATTTTTTATTATCTGTATTATAGTATTGGTACATATAGGTTCTTATCAAGGTATCGCACATAAATTAAATGTATGTATATAAATTATATAATAATAAAATTCTCCTTTTCTCCCCGACCATGTACAATCGCGTGAATTTTGAAGATGCGTGGTTTCTCTCAACATCGGGCACGTTAACCTGTGATTTTTAATTTTAATAGACAACATTCTCCGGTCACAAACGCCCGTCCTATATCATGATATTAACAAATATTAAAAATAATAACTAACAAAGATAATTGCTATAATTTAGCAACGACAATTGCTTCCGCAATAGTTCAACATATTTCTGAAACATGTGTGTTTCAGAACCAAATTGAACGATCCCATTGCGTTTTTAAGCCTATAGCTTATAAAAAAATATATGTAGAAAAAGATCACATTTCTCTTTTATAATATATGCACACACACTGTAATTGCACAATCGATAATTCTCCCTTTCTTTCTCTGTCTCTCTTTTGTCGTTATACTCGTGAGAAATTCAATTTCATATCTGAGAAATGCACTGACTAGGTCACATAGCGATAAAAATAATCTCCAACAACATTAATTAACGACATTCTTTGCTCTTAGCAAAAAATTCCTTGTACATACACACACACACACACACACAATGATAATAATAATTCACTCAATTAAACGTCACAATGATGAAAGCAAGTTACATTTCGCGCCGTGATACGTGAGAAAATTAGTCTATCAGAAAGTTTTTAGACATGTGCAGTAGAGTATACGTGTCTTGATCTATTATTCTTTGCGACGACGATTTCATCCGCTTACCGTGTCATGCAGGATTTAATACTGGACCGAACATGTGCATGATAAGAACAAGTCGTTTAACAATCGGTACCCTGACTTTTCACAACGTAATTTGTACTTATGCGTGACATACTACGCGTCGTTTAATGCAGACACCATCCGCACATGTCCGTTGCAATTAAAATTAATCTCACTGTGAAGAGAAGAAGCATTTACAAAAAACGGCCTATGTCGTATTGCGGAAAGCTTTACTGTAGTACGCAACCGCTTGCGTTTTTCGGCTCCTTACTGCTCTGATGGATCGCTTCCTCTTTAACAGGCGGCAGGTTCTGCTCCTTCTCCGTTTTCGCCGCCCCTAGTCCAGCTAACACTCTGTACGTGCCCAAATTCCAAATGGGATTTGGTGATGACATTTGGAAGTCGATCGGACTGACCAAGCCGTAAGTAGCTTTGGTGTCTAAAGTCGGAACCTCCCCCGGCACCGTATGATGATATCTAACATTATTTCAAGAGATTCAGATTAATGTGCTGTATTGAAGCGTCATATATTGTAAAATATGTAAATAAATAGAGCATCGGTTTAAGGCGGTGATTAGAATACAAGCGAAATAATTACATCAAACCGTTCTCTCGATTGCATTTGTCAAGAGTGAGCTTCACCAACGGCGCTAAGCGCTTAAACACGGCGTGCTGGTCCGGCTTAACGCGAGGCGCAGGTCCATTCGTTTTCCCGTACTCTTGGCACAGAGCTTTCGCCTTTTTCAAACACGAGTCGCTCTCCTGCATCGCTCGTATCGCTTCGCCGCACTTGTCCATAGCTAATAAGTTTTCGCCGCAGTAATTGTAAGCCTGGAAGTGAAAGGAGAAAGGAGAAATGTGATTTTATAAAGAGAGTAAATATTTTGGTTGCAAGTCTAATCGCACTTATAACGATTACTCTGATAAGGAAAAAAAAAGGATATTATCTCTTATAAATATATATGGACTTACGTAAGACTGATAAAATGTTGCCTTAAGCTCCAAATACTTTATCCATTGGGCTGATATTTCCGCCTTGAATGGTCGAAGAGTATTGGCAGCATCCAGAAACAACTTACTAGTCTCATTGGCTAATGCTGATATCAAGCTGGAATTGTGTTTCAGCTCCACTGCCCTGGCTACCGTCACTGCGAGAATAATGGAGAAAAATCGTGTTAGCATATAATGAAGCTTGTTGAAACGTATCAAAGACATCACAACACGAGTACAACCTTCTTGAGCTTCTGCGGTACACTGATTAACATACGCGTTCAACACACGGGGATCTAAATCACTTCCTAGAGGAGGTGGGTTAGCCAATTGTGGCAAAAACTCAGTCTGCACAAAAGTAAATATTCCAGCGGCTCGTCTTAACATACTGTGTACTTCTTTAGCCTCATTCATTGTTATGCTAAGTTATATATATACGACACAATTAGTAGAATCACTTCCTTCATTATAGATACACTTTGTTAAGAAGATTCTCGTTAAGTCTGTACTCACTCATCCTTGGCAGCAATCATTGCTGCGTGTTTCATAAACCAAAGGCCTATGTTGACGCTCATGTTGGCTGCTTCGTAAACAGAATCTGCACTGGAGCTTTAACAGAGAATCGCGTATGGTTTAGAGATCATCTTGGAAGTGTTACATTTGATATTCTCCTCATGATCCAATAATTACAATGTGCCTCCGCCGAGTAACGTGTGGGTCCACTTGAATACAAGAACATTTCTGAGTTTGCTAGGATTGGGTCTGCCAATATGTTCCTCAGATGGATTAATTTCCCACAAGAATCCATACAACAGACTTAGGTAACTGTGAAACGCAGGCTCTATCGTATTGCTGGTATTATTTGCGTTTCTTACTAAATCCAAAAGCCTGGCCCTGGACAGCTTCAAGTCGCTGAAAATGTAAATATTACATAACCAAGTATATTACAAGAAAGTAAAATAAGAGGGAATATTTCATTAATATTGCAAAATAATACAAAACTAATATTGTATCGCTCCATCAATATGGATTAATAATCGCATATTCCCTTGGAAGGATGACAGTATCGTTATCAGAGTAACAATAAGTGTTATCACAGATATGACCGTGTAATGATTCAACAGGGATGGTAAACAAGTTGTGCCCGTTAACAAGTGCGCAATTTCATGGTGCACCTGCGATCCGATATGTCTAACCTGCAAAGCTTTCGGGTGGCGTCCGTGGGGTTCGCGACTTTTAACTCAAACTTCTGACTTGTCGTCGCCTTGAGGACGTTGCGGTGGAACCAGTGCGCCATTATCGTGCCGTTCAGATCACACGGCCCGATCGACTGTCGCGCGATCCGGTCGCGCGGACTTGTCACTTTTGACAGATAAGGTAAACGAGACGCGACGCCGCGCTCAATGGCAGACACTCCATTCTCTCGTGACGCGTCACGTCTATAAATCCCGACGCATGTTTATGTGTGTGTGTGTGTATGTGTGTGTGTGTGCATGCGGTGGATACGTATGCAATATATCGCACTGCGAGGTACATATGCGTAGTAGTACTACGACTATAGTATATATATATATGTATATATATATAGCGCTCACATAAATCGTGCTCTGCACATTCGTCCCCCCGACGTTGGTTTCGCATGCGAACGTATCCTGCTCAGTGTTTACTCCGGTACTCAGCGAAAGGTAAGTACAATCGCCGTAGAATAATTTGGATTCTCGCATATACAGCTTTGTCAGGGTGCATGTCGCTAGATGAGAATGAAAGAGACAAAGTACGAGCATTATCTCGCGGCGTGTAGGCCACCTTGACTGCGTTCAGCGGGAAAAGTAGAGCCTGGTAAGCGCTTCGTGCCTGGCCAGGGGCTTTGCAACTCTCGTGAGATTTTTCGCCGTACGAAGCCACCGGCGGTTTGTGCTTCTCCAGCATGTTTTTCCTTCAGGTCGCCATTTTTCCAGCGTATCTTCAATACGCTGGACCGATTAGTAAACATGCTGGGAAAATGTAAACCATTAAGGACCGGTGGTTGTTCCTTCGGATAAGTTATGTGATAATTTACCTAATAAATACAAATATCTTGAGATATTTGTCCATTAGATTGTTTAACCGAAGATGAAGCAACTGGCCCTATGTGTTGTCCAGCAAAAAATCACAATAGTTGCAAAGCTGCTGGCAGCGCAGCTCAATGTGCTTTTTCCACTGAGCGAAGCTATCGCTTGTTCATGATCTAACCTAGATGCTGGGTAATTGGAAAACTGCAGAAATCTATTGTGAAAATATATAATAAGGATTTTTCATGTCATATCGTTACTCAGTAAGCACCAATTAACAGTAACATAACATCAATGTTATAATTTCTCACTCAATGTTACTGTTACATAACATGTTCATCATATTGCATTAACATTGTTTAGTGGGGAATTATATCATTGACATTATCTTATATTACTGTTAATTAGCGTTCATCAACTAACAATAACTACCCTGCTTAAAGTGATGGATAAAAAACGAAAAGGATTACATTAGATTCTTCTAGAATTTTAATGTAAATCAATAATCATCTTATCGATTCACGTTGTCTTACATTAAAATTCCGGTTAAATCTAACATTATCTTATCGTTTTAATCCATCCATCAATTTTAAACATTTTAAGCAGAGTGTCTCTTAGCATTGGATTTCTTAGTTTGTATTACCGTATAGTGGTTATGTAAAGGTTGCTGAAGATACCAGTTGTCCTTGAATAACAATAATAATTTATCTTTAAGCAGAGGCAAACTTGCAAATAATTATTCATATAACTGATTAGTGTTTTAAATAAGGAAGTGTTTGCTGTGTCACATACTGTGTTGCTAATGTAACTTTTTAGTATAAAGATTATATATGTATTGTGATGTAAACATTGAAAAAATCATATAACATAGCTTTCAGTTTTGTCTCATGATATCGTATATCATTTGACTGACAAAATATATGTATTAGCCATTATTTGAAGTTTTCTTATCTTCGGTTAACTGATCATCAGAGGGATAAGATAAAAATAAAAAAGTTGAATCATTTCTATTACAGATGGGTGAGCCTTCAGGATTGACCAATAGTGAGGCCCGTGAGCTTTGCAAAACATCAGATCCTGCGACAAATGGATATATTATGCAGCAGACGATGTATCGCATCAAGGATCCAAGGAAATCTTTACCTTTTTACACTGAAGTACTTGGTATGACTTTACTGCAAAAATTTGACTTCCCGGAAATGAAGTTCTCCCTGTATTTTCTTGGATATGAGAATCCTGAAGACATATCGACCGACAAGAGGAAAAATATTGAATGGGTATTTGGCAGAAGAGGAACTATAGAGCTTACTCAGTAAGTTCAAACATTGTTCCTTCGCAGGAATTACGGACGTACATTTGAACACACAGAAGATAAGTTACATTATATTTTAGCAATTGGGGAACAGAAACAGATCCAGATGCAAAATATCACAATGGAAACTCGGATCCTAGAGGATTTGGTAAGGACAGCTGATTTAGAAGTATTTTCTAAAATAAGAAAGATTAGATCTACTGGATCTCTTTGAAAAAGTTGTAATATTTTTTGGAAAGTTATAAAATTGTATTTAATTGTATATTGTTATCCTAAACTCCAGGTCACATTGGAATAACAGTACCTGACGTCGAGAAAGCTTGCGAGAGGTTCGAGAAGTTTAACGTGGAATTTGTGAAGAAACCAGACGACGGTAAGATGAAGGGGATTGCCTTTATTAAAGATCCCGATGGTTACTGGATCGAAATCGTAAACGGCGCCAATATTGCGAATATAGTGTTAGGACATTAATATGTCTTGCACTAGAGCAATAAGTGTTTAAGTGCAACCAATTGCATTGAACGCGACGTAACTTGACATAATTTTATGTAACAATCAAGAAGATTACTACCAAATTCAGTACACAAACGCAAACCAAAACCGCTGTGTAAGTTAACAATGATGAAACGATATGTATTTATGTATTCTATATTTTCTAGCGATTGTACATTTTCTTATATTACATTGTGTTATATATGTACAGAATATGTAACATCTACATAATTCTCTCAACGAATAAAATCAAAATATTTATTTTTTGCACATCGTCACACTTATTATTATTGCTCTATTTCTCTAACAATGTGTTAAATTTATCGAAGAGTTAAAATTATATATGTATCTTTTTCTTTAATATTCATGTGTGGTAAATTGTATGTTATCTTACCAAATATCCTTTACATAAAGTTGCCTTAGAAAAATTACATGAAAAATTAGAATAGTTCTTTAAAATGCAAAATACAATTTTCTGAATATTATAAATCACATGCATGTATATCGGAATATACACATATGATTTCATATATACATGTCATGTGATTGCACTATAGGCGGTGAATGCATGTGTAAGTGGCGAACAGGAATGTCTTCGACAGCGAAGCTCTCTGACCATAAAACAGAGGGATAGCAAATTGCCGTATATGAAGTTTTATTCTACCGCTGTCATTTGCGAAAAGTTTTACGCAATTTTCGTTTCCACCGCTTCTTCGCTAACACTTACCAACGTTTACGCATTTCAGCGGACACGTTCTTGCGATTTTATTTTCTCGTTTTCGATGTACATCTCTGGATTTGAGGTTATACTGTCAGCCGCAATCTGAAACGAGTGTATCTTCATAGGTGAGCATTTTGCTGAAATTTTCATCGTGACATGTAGATTTTTATTGCAATGTTTGATGACTAATTCTTCGTACCCTCGAGATACGCGTATACGAGTCGTTCTGATTGGAAGAGAGTTGTTTTCTCGTGTCTTTTTGACGCAGGGAGCTATCGTCTCACTTTGATCTCTTAGGTATGGTAGAAGATAAAAAATACCAGATCGCAAGCCGCATCGAGTGTGACGGATACCGGGGTACATTGAAATACGTCGGACCTGTAGGAGATACGAAGGGTCAGTGGCTAGGCATAGATTGGGACGATTCGACTCGTGGCAAGCACAATGGCACATACGAAGGAGTAGAATACTTTCAAGCTAGGTAAAATTTGCAAAATGTACAATAACGATAACGATAGTGACAGCAGTGGTTTGCACTGGGCGCATATGAACTTTATATTGTGATTTTTAACAGACATTCCACGTCAGGCTCCTTCATACGACCAGCTAAAGCTAAGTTTGGGATATCTTGTCCTCAAGCTATCGCAATGCGCTATGGGCTAATCGATGATGAATTAGCAGGCATAGACAGGGAGGAAGTGTCAAGTTTGAGAAAGGAAATCAATGCACCATTCTTAGAATTGGTTGGTTTCTCCAAAGTGAACAAGAAGCAAAGCAAATTTGATCAGTTGAAGATAGTATGGCTGAGGGAACAGTGCGTAAGCAATGCTGGAGAACCAGGGGAACTGAAAGAGTTGTGCCCAAATTTGGAGGAACTGGATATATCTAGAAATTTAATTAACTCGTGGAAAACTATAGCGGATATATGCTTTCAGCTTCATTCTCTCGCTCGTCTTGATGTTAGGTAAGCGATACAAAATTTAGTGCAGTTTTTAAATCTTCCTTTAAATATTAGACAGCAGTAAGTAAATATTAAACAAACTAGAAATCTGCAGAGATTGATAATGAATATATTATACAAAATTTATATTACTCTGAAAAGAGTAAGCCACTTATATGTGTATCCATCTTTACAGTGAGAACCATCTGCCTGTTAAGGAGGATATGGTAGCATTGAAAAACTCATTTCCGACAGTTAAACACTTGACAATAGCTAGAATGAATTACACCTGGCCTGATATCCAACAATGCATGTCTATGTTTCCATCAGTCGAGGAACTATCAATTTCTTTTAATATTGTAACGACCGTAGAAGACATCCCATCGAGTACCGATTTAATGAAAATAGTTACTTTAATACTCGAAGGGAATTTAATATCAAGTTGGGATGAGATACTTAAATTCGGTTCTCTTCCATGGTAAGTTTTATTATGACATAATTAATTGCAATACATTTTTGAAAAGTACATAAAATTGGAATTTTATATGATTTAAAATTTTAATTAAAAATTAAAAGTTTTACATTAAAAGAACTACATTTGCAGCTTAAAATACCTTAATCTCAACTCGAATAAGATAGATAGAATCAGGTTTCCATCTTCAACATCGACAGATAAGATTGCGTTTTTCCCTGCTTTGCAGCAACTGCATATCTCTGAAAATCACATATCGAAGGTGATATGAATGGTCTTATTTTATGAATAAAGCTTGTTGCATGCATACGACACTCATATAGAATGAAAATTTTACGTGTAAAGAAATTATAATTTAATCGTTGTTCGATATAATTTTAGTGGCAGTCAATTAGTGAACTCGATAAGCTGCCAAATCTAGAGGATCTAAAATTCCGGGAAAATCCCATTTTAAAAGATGAAGTTTCCGAGACCGCTAGACAGTTGATAATTGCGAGAATAGCGAGATTAAAGTTTCTTAATGGTACAGAGATACTTTACGATGAAAGGAGAGGTGCTGAGTATGATTACTTAAAATTGTATCTACCGAAATGGCAAGAGACCGAAAGTAACGCAGAAAAGAGGACGCTGTTTTTAAACGAACATCCTCGATATCCGATCTTAGTAAACAGTATGTGCAAACTTCATATCCTTTGCACTCATGAGTTACATTTTCGCGAAATGAGATACTTGTGCGAACTTCAACTTCGTTGGGCCGAAGTAATTATTCTATGTTTTCAGAATATGGAATCGCGGACATTCCCTCGACTAAACCGAAAGTAGAAATGGTTTCGAATGTGATAACGGTAGAATTTCTATGTCCGGACGATCCGCGTCAGCCCAGAGGAATCAAGAGGAAGTTGCTTAAAGATATGGAGGTCCAGAAAATGATCGGGCTGGCTCAAAGACTCTTTAAAACCGGCGGCAAAATACCTGCTCTTTCGTTCGTTCCACGAAATGTAAGTTCATTATCATACCAAACAATGCCTAGAGAATATATCTAATCGTTAACTCTCGGGTGTGTGTGCGTGTATTTGCATTTGTGTGTGTCTCATTACAGTTATCGAACGACGAAATTTCGTTGGACAAACCGCTGCAAGAACTTAGTTACTATTCAATACAGGACGGCGATCAGGTTCTCGTGAGGTGGTGATATTAAATGAATTATTTATAGATACGACTGTATTTTCTACGCTGTTAAAATCTACGATACGAATTTGTTATTAAATCTTTTTTAATTGCATCGAATCCTTGATAAAACCTTGCTGACAGATTGTGGAATTCGACGAGGTGGGAGACTCGCAGGTTGACGTTCGCCGCTCTGTCGGAAGAAAGGAAACAAGTACATCCACTAGGTATATATTTTACATTCCGTAAAAGTACACTTGTTGCGATCGGAAGTACAAATTTATAAATAGATGTTCGCATCTCAACATCGTGACATATTTCCTGCAAATGGCACAGATCACAGATATAATTGATTGATTGGGAAATTAATTAGCCTAAGACGGATCATTTCGGCCTATTGTCGATACATCGGTCTATCAATTTTGTTGCGCTTTCTCTTCGATCCTGGCAGTCTCTTCTTTCTCGAGTTGCTCCCTCGTTAGCAGCGACAATCCAAGCTGATTCTCGCGCGTGAACGGCTGCGCCATTTGTCGTAACCATCTTTTGCTGATCTGAATATTGTAAATAAATGATTATGACTGCACAAAACTCACGAAATTGTCATCACTAATCTCGCACCCACTCTACCAAAGGGAAAACGAAGATATACCTGTATAGCTTCTTCGGTAGATAAGTTGCATAGGCTGTCGGTCAAATGCTCCTGTATCCATTTCGGTAATTTGCTTCGTTTATCTATCCTTGAGAATCTCTACGATGTTAAAGAGAAACGTGTAGAAGAGACGCAAAAATTATTACCGAGAAGATATAAGTGAGTTAAGGGCATAACATTCCGAGGTATGCTCGCGAAGAATTTACCTTATCCGCGAACACCATAATACCGTAATCCGTTTTGCCTCTGATCGCACGTCCTACGCACTGGGCGGCGTGCCTCATGGCGTCGAAAGTTAGGAAATCGTTCTCTCGTATCTGCAAAAATATCGTGGAAGTATAGTTTTAAAATTTCGAGAAAAAAAAAACATTTTTTTCCCCTTTCCCGTGGATTTCTTCTGTTTCTATCCGAACGTAAAAATTCATTTAGAAAGATTCACGTATGTCTAACTAACACTTGCCACATTTACTTTTCATTCGTGAAGAAGACAAGAAGCCAAAAAAATCCGCGGAAAAATGGGGGGGGGGGGGAAAGAAATTTTTTTNTTTTTCCGAAACTTGAAAACTATACGTGGAAACGTGCACATTTCATTCAAGCGTGCATGAGTAACGGATAATTTTAGCGTTAGCCTGTGCTCACTTGAAACTGGTCCCTGAGGTATTCCAAGCGCGCCTTCAAGATTCGCGACTGCGTGTACACGTAAGGTATGCCGAACATCAGCACGGCTCTGCCCAAGTGATGATCGAAGTCGACACCTTCGGATACCTTTCCACGAGCGACCGAAAGCAACACCGCGCCTCTGCCGTTCTCGCAGGCCTTTATGTAATTGATCAGAGCTAAACTGGTTTCCGCCGAGTCCTGTGTCTCGATGAACAGCAGCTTGTGCCTCTGAAGTTGATCCACCACGCCTTGATCATACCTGCGGTATATCAAGTGAGCATACGAATGTTAAAGAGGCTTAAACGCAAACAAAATACGTACCAAGCAGCCACTACAGATTCCATGTACAGGTACGACGTGAAGAAACAGACTAAACCGTCGGGCACCGTCGCGGAGAATTCGACCAACAGCTGACCGTAATTTCTTATGACGGCCACGTCCTCTCGTGTTTCGTATTTCGACGAAATAGCTACCTGATCGTTGCCTTTGGCCACGATCTGACGTTGGAAATGCAAAGACATGTAACGCATTAATGAATAGAGCAAATCATGTTAGTATCACGTTATATTGGGTGTTCTAAATTAACAGCGACAAATTTCGTGAAGGCGTAAAACGGATCGAGATGAACAAAAAAAGTCCTCTATCATTTTGCAAACAAGACGCGAAATTTCGATTCATTAATTATTAAAAATAGCTATATATAGTGGCTTCTTTAATTAATAACTCAAAAATTTGCGTATTATCCCTGATGAAAATATTTTACTGAAAATATAATGAAATTATGTTTGAAAATATTTCTCAATTGACTCTATTGTGTCATGATTTCATCAATATTTCAGTAAGAAATTACTTTAATCGGGATTTCAGTAATTTTTCTTTAAAAAATTGCGTAGTTTAGTTGCGGTGAAAACGCAACTAAATTTGAGTTTAGTTATACCCATATCAGACTACGAATTAGTCTGATTATAAACTCAAATTTAGCGAATCTTGCTCTGATTGGATCCGAATTTTAATTCAATCTTAATCTTAATCCGTAGTCTAATACGGGCTTTAAGCTTGCTCTGATTGGTCAAATGTCAATCCAATCTCAATCCATAATGTGTCTTAAGAAATTGTCTAATTACAGTCGAATGTTAGTAGAATAATCGGCTATGATAAGAATCGACTATACTTTAACTTTTCTTATATTTTACAGTATTACATTGTATTTCATAAAAAAAATTTTAATTCTTCAGTTTTATATATGTTCAGTAATTTTTCAAAAAACTTTCATTTCACTTTTCATCCATTTCTTAACACATGGTCATTTTCAATAATTAATAATTCGAAATTTTGTTGTTCGCAAAATGGTAGAGGACTTTTTTATTCACCTCAATCCGTTCTACGCCCTCATAAAGTTTGTGATTTGGGACATCCTGTATATCCGAGATGCATTTTCCTTGTTTTTAAACTTACCATGGGCAGAAGACACGGTCTGGCTAATGTCATAGTGAACGATGACATTATGACCGGGTGGAAATTGAGAATCTTGGGATACATGTCCAACGGGGAGAGCGTCCCGGAGGTAATTATCACAGATTGGAACCTGTCGAATATGGGCTTGATGGCGATCGAAGAATCCAAACAGCTGAAGTGCAAGATGGGATTCAGGACTGTAGGCGTTTTATCGTCGAACGGTTCCACGATGATCGTGAACCCCTGTGTATACGTGGAGACCAAAGTCGCAAGATGCGTCACTAGGATTATCGGCGAGAAATCCGTCATGTCTGTTATCTCCATGGTACGCAAGAGGGACGCCAATCGCTGAGCGCAAAATCGCAACGGTTTCCGCTCGATGGAGACCTTCGCTTGGATGTCCCTCAAGAACGTCGCGGGCGACTCTTGCACGACGTGCTGGACGCGCAGACGAGTCTTTAGGTACTCGACGAATCGTTTCAGGAAGCTGACAAAATGCTCGGCATTTCGTATGTTGCCCGGCACGACCTCTGCGGAGAGAAATCTTGGAAAATAGATCTGCGGCTTCTCATGAGCGAGAAGAAAGTACTTTTGATCTAAATTGGACGTTCGTTAACCTTCGAATATTTCGTTCGGTAATACGGGATTAGCCAGGATAACGTCGGTCTCTCTCGCAAGCTGAGCATCCTTCAAACCCGCAACTAGCCTCTCGTACTCATCTTTCAACTTATTCACGTCACAGTCTCTCATACTAAATCGGAGTATACGTATTTGACGATACCGTAACTATGAATTAAATGCTAATACGTGTAGAAAAAAATGCTTCTTACTCGGCCACGGTTTTCTCCAAGAGCTGTATATTATTCGTACTTCTCTCCATCAGCTTCCTATTTATCTTCACGCTCATGGAATCGATGCAGACGTTATCTGAAATTTATGATACATTTCCCTCAAATGCACTGCAAATTGTCGGGTGTGCCGACACCAACGTAATTTTAGTTCTTAGTTTTTTTTTCTACCGATGTTGTGAGCCTCGTCGAAGACAACTACCGAACATTTGCTCAGTTCTTTGGAAACGGTCTCCGCGATTTTCGGATCCAGTAAGTAATGATAACTGTATACCACAATTTGTGCATGTAAGATCTGAAAAGAGAGATGGAGTGTCAAACATTGTCAATTTTATCTTACCTGTTCAGATCGTATCATATTACGCTTTAATCGCCCGAAAACATGAATAAGTAAATGAAACCAAATAAATTGGAATTATTCACAAATTTAAATTAAAATAAATTATTCACAGCGCCTTACTGTAAATCTTGCGAGGAAATACGGACACCATCCGCGATCTCTCCCATAATCCTTTAAATCATCCAGAGAATAAATACCAGGAGGCATAATCTGTTCTCTACCCTCCATGTCAAATCCTTCGTAAAAGTTACAAATTGGAGTGGATTCGTCATGATTGTGTCTCTCTCGTACATATGACGCGGTAAGAGAGTGACAGCGACCATCCACAATTTTACCTTCTCGTTCTTTACTGACCTATATGTAGAAATATAAAGCATGTAATATGCACGGTCAATTTGGTATTTAGTATGGATTAATTTTGGTGAAAAAAGGTATAAACAAAACACTTTGATTACCTCAGGATGTATACACATATTTTTACGTGAGCTGAGAACTAAGCCGACAATTTTTGGCTTGCTCTTAGTTTCTATCTCATAATAATCTATGAGCTTCTTTAATTCCTCTATAACTTTTTCTATCTCTGGTACTGTTCGAGAACAATAAATCAACTTTGTCACATTCAAGGGATACTCCAACATATAGGCCACAATGAGTGATAGGAGAGTAATTGTTTTGCCAGTACCTGAAGGCATCTCCAGCACACAATGCCCCTAAAGAATATAATTTATTAATTTAAACTTTCAATATTTGGGATTATTATAATATTATACAGCAAAGAAGAGAGATTAGTACCTTGGCATCCAAGCCACGCTTGAGTTCAAGCATGTAAGCATATTGCTCCGGATAAATATAATCGTATGGAAAATATACAATCAATCCGTCAACGCTTATCCTGCAGCAAAAATGTATATTTACAAATGATTATAGAAAAATAGAACATTTTCAAGTTAATAAAGTGTGCGTACTTACTTCATATTATCATTTGTATTGTATTATACGTAGTAATTATATACAGTAATCATACACATAATATAAAATGTTATATTTATTTATAAAGAATATATAATTTAAAGGTGAAAACGCTTTAGCTCCGACAAGAGCCAAGGCCAAGAGCAAACTAGATTTCTGTTTCTGTTTCTCAATTATGACCGGGACAACTTTAAGGCTTGTCTCCATCACAATCAGCTAGAAACTGGAGGTCTGTATTTTTTCGAAACACTTTCTGCACTAGTCCGGACGTTACACTAGAAACGCCCTGGCGTGGATGGGCAGCGGGATCCTTGGGAAAGTGAACTTCTAGTGTAACGTCCGGACTTATTTTGAAACATTAATAATATATTAGTATAGAGCGGAGGCCGACTTGTCTGATTTCAGATATTACTAGGTTAGGTATTCACCAGGTATAGATATTTTATCCCTATGTTACTTAGATGTAAGTACGTACGCATATGTATATTCGCGCACGTTAAATATTATAATTAAAATTATAACGCCGAAGAAACGACGTGTCGTTAGAGAGTCTTAAAATCGATGGATCAACTATAGACAAGAGAAACCGTAATCTCTCAATGCGATAAGTCATCCCGTTGCTAACATAAACAGGAGCATGAAACCTGAATCCAAACATCACTCAGGACCGACGCGGCGATATCGACGCGGTGACATCATGCCGATGAAATGAATTTCTTCCATCTCCATGACTCCATTAGCCAACCAGAAAACGACTCTCAGCTAATTACAGTCGAATGTTAGTAGAATAATTGACTATGATTTGTTAATTTCTTAAGACTTTGAACTTAAATTCTCATTTTGGCCTTCGCTTTAAACAGTCTTAAGTTCATCTTCAGATACTGTACGACTCATTTTATTAGCTACGAAGCATCTAAAGATGAACTCAAGATCTGACTATGAATATCGGCCTTAAACCATAATGATGAAACGGGCAACAGTAATTCAGCGTTCTGCCGTATGCAGTGTTATATCTGTACATCCCGAAAGGAAGTATCCTTTCTTCCTCACGTATCTTCACATTGCCGTTTATTTTTTAGTTCGTTCATTTTCTGGTTGAAATTTCTGATTTGGGTGTGGGGCACGTGGACGCTATACGGAGAAGTTGAGAGTAGTTTTGCCGGGAATAGCCGAACGGTCTACAATTCTTCATGGGTAAGCCAGGTAATATAAACATGCACGGTGCATATTTATTTGTCACTTTGCGATTGTCGAATGATGATTATTGTCAATGTGGCTTCCGGCTAACCTCAGAGCGAAGTAATGTATTTTAAAAACTAATACATCGCTCGATCGATCCTAAGTAGTATTTTGTTATGTATTATTTAGACATGTTGTTGTTTCTAGAATCGTTCATAGTACTTGTAAATGTATCTTTATGTCATTCCAAAAATACTTGATCGCACAGCGTGATCATAATCAAACCTAACCCAACTTTACTTAACAATTTCACCACATGAAACGTGCGTACACGCGTGCGGTATGTATCTATCTGTGTATGTGTGTAAATGATGAACTTTATGATTTGTGCAATACAAAATTATAATAACAAGAATCTAAAAAAGCTCTATTCAGAGGGTATTTAATTATAAATTACTATATTGTGCGTGTATTAAATGTACAGGATGTCAGGTCACAAACCGTGCCATCAGTCGTATACTTGTAGTTCAGGTCAATATAAACAAAAAGTCTTGTATAATTTTGTAAACAGCCATGCAAAATTTTGAGTTATTAATTATTGAAAATGGCTGTTAGAAAGGCTTTTTTAATTATTAACTCAAAAATTTGCATGTTACTTGCAAAATAGTAAAGGACTTTTTTGTTCAGAACAGCCTTATCTACAAGTATACGACAGCTGTTGTGCCTAGTAACAAATTCAAGGTTCAATATACTGATATCTATCACTGAGTATAACAGCTGTCATATACTTGTATAAATTAGGCCATTTTGAATAAAAAAGTCCTTTACCTTTAAATGACATTTTATTATAATCACACAAATTTTTGAGATATTAAAAAAACTCCTGTATATGGCTATTTTTAATGAATAATAATTCAAAATTTTGCATGGTTTGCAAAATAATAGAGGACTATTTTGTCTACATTTACTTAAACTACAAGTATACAATAGATAAAACACTCAGCGATAGACATCCTGTAAATTAGCAATGTTGTATTATCCGATCTCTTTTTTTATGATTGTTTCATGTATCTCTTTATTACCACAAATAATTAGCACAATGAATTCTAATCATTTTACTATATATGTCAAAAAACATTAAATATTAATATTTTACTTCAATATAAATTGCAGGATTTGTGCCACCTTTTAGAGGACGAGGGAGAGTAGGAAGAGGAGACCGTGGAGGCGGTAGAGGTGGTTTCGCCGGCAGAGGTGGAGGCCGTGGGGGCGGCAGAGGCGGTGGAAGAGGTGCTCCGCGTGGGGGACGAGGTGGCGGTGGCGGCGGCGGTGGTCGTGGTGCATTTAAAGGAGGGCGCGGAAGTCTCAAGGGAGGAAAGACTGTGTTAATAGAACCGCATCGTCACCAGGGTGTTTTCATAGCCAGAGGGAAAGAGGACGTGTTAGTGACGCTGAATTATGCACCCGGATCAGATGTTTACGGCGAGAAGAGAATCACCATCGAGGTAATTATAAGATCACGCTAATCTCAACTGCATATTTATGTTTGAATGTATTCAAGTTTGAATTAATATTCTTGAAATGCTGGCAAATTACAACAGGATACGAAGGGTGAGAAGATTGAGTATAGAGTGTGGAACCCGTTCAGATCAAAATTGGCTGCTGCTATTCTCGGCGGTATCGATAAGATCCATATGGATCCAGGAAGCAAAGTACTGTATCTAGGCGCTGCCTCTGGAACTTCCGTGTCCCACGTTGCTGACATAGTCGGTTCGGTGAGTATCGCTTTTGCAAAGACTCACCCGTCTCTTTCTGGAGAATAAGATATCACTCATGCACACATTAGAGCCAGGTTAGCGCATAATTACCAGCTTGGTGTCGAAGTGGTGCTAGAACGATCACATGCTCGTTTCCTCATCAAGTAAGACTTGAGTTTTACTTTGGCAAGGAAACGTGCGTACAAACATATATGGATGTACAGGATGTTTCATTTAAGTAGTACAGTCGATTATCTTGAGAAATAAAACATTTTCGGGAAAAAATGTTTTATATAAAGGTTGTAGTAGCATATTACGTAGCAATGTTAGTGTGACTTTGGATAGCATTGTTAAGGTCAGATCAACTACAAGAATATGCAATCAAAAATAGGGATTTCCGTTCAAAAAAATGTTTAAGTAATTTTTATGTGACTTTAATAATACTGTCCAAAGTCACATTAACATCGCTATAATAATGCGCCACTTAAACAACTTTTACACGGAACATTTTTCCCGAAAATGTTTTATTTTCAAGATAATTGACTGTATCACTTAAAATGGAACACTCTATATATTTCGTATCAGCGACAGAATCTGTTTGATTCTACAACGCGTGATTCCTTCGTTTTTATGTCCGCAGGAGGGGATGGTCTACGCAGTGGAGTTTTCTCACAGATCAGGCAGAGATCTGATAAACGTCGCCAAAAAGAGGACCAATATCATTCCTATCGTCGAGGACGCGCGACATCCTCAAAAATACAGAATGCTCGTAGGGATGGTGGACACTATATTTTCAGATGTGGCGCAACCGGATCAGGCTAGAATAGTCGCGCTCAACGCACAGTACTTCCTCAAGAGTGGCGGGCACTTTGTTATTTCCATCAAGGTGAGCGTTGACCGCGATTGATCTGTGCATCATCGCAGCGTCTTGTGAAACACATATGAGAATGGAGATCTTGCATTGATCATGTTCGTGAATTCCAGGCGAGTTGCATAGACTCGACCGCACCACCCGAGGCAGTGTTCACACAGGAAGTGCAAAAGCTTGCTGCCGACAAACTGAAGCCGCAGGAGCAGATCACGCTCGAACCGTACGAGAGGGATCACGCTGTCGTGATCGGCGTTTACAGGCCGACACCGGGTGATAAGAAGGCTACCTAGGATAATGTATATTTATAGTTAAGTGTACATGTGTAATTTCACATAAATTCTACTTTTACATGTGTAATTTCACATAAATTCTACTTTTATTGAACATCGATCATATACGTTGATCGGTGTATAAAATTTCGAAAATACAAAGGGGAATAGACGCTAATCATACTTGATAAACATATTTGTTCGCATTCAAATCTCTCAGTTGTTGCCAACCCGAAATACGCTTTGTTCGCTTCTGTAAACCGGAAATAGGATCGTAGGAACGTTCTATTCTGGTATTAAAAGCCCGAAACAGTTTGTAATATAATGTCAATGTGAAAACGCGCGCATATGTACATGTATTGTGGAATCGGATATTTTGTAACATGAGAGCACAATTAATTCCACTGATACTGTACCTACCTGCCCGTATTTGAAAAACTCGCACATTAACGAAGATAATCGCAAGTATGATAAGGTGTTGTTTGATTTATATTTTCATACAAATATATGGGGAAAAAGAATTGGGAGGACATGCGTTATACGCGTTGAACGGCGTATAACGCATATCCTGATATTGATCATCTTGATATCCATGAGCATAACGATGAGAATTTTAATAAATACTGGCATTAAGGCTACAGGATAGTCACTGCAACTTTCCTTGTTTGATGACGTCGGAAACGAGAAAACGAAAAAATTCTTGTGTTTTACATTCAAATACAAAGATACGCAAAATGACATTTTTTGACAAATAATGTTCTTTTCGTCTCGTTCGCTCTGGAATTTACAACGATGTAAAATGATCGAAATTGTAGCAACGAATACATCGTATTTTTTCATAAACTGCAAATTTCATAAAAAACATTGAGCGTTTTACATAATACATAAAATCGTTATTTAATCCTTACTAGATTTTTCGTCGATATCACGCGCGCGAGATGCGAGTCCGTTTGTTACTTTGAGATTCTTGAACCTTTCAAATACACCGATAGTCTGCAAAATTCATGTCAGTTCGCACCTTCCTCCCGCTGTCATTAAATTGTCTAGATTGTACCGCTCTACGAATCACGTTTAAATTGACATGTTAAATTGACAAGTCCGCCGACAAATTTCCAGACCGATCTCGACAAGAAACGCAAAGATCTTCCGACAATATCTTTCGTTTTATCTCCGGAACGGTCATTGCGCGAGATTTCAAGGATATGAAATTTGATACGTCAAGTGTCCGAGAGACGCGTAATACCTAATAAATCTAGAAAAACGAGGTTCTCGATATCGTCGATAATTGAAATCGGACAATGCCGCGCACATCTTCGAACAGCAAGACCGGTAAGCTGGATTATTAGAGATATTCTTTCTGTCTCTTCACCGAGCATGTCTTTCATATTTGTTTCGTAGGTCTTGTTATCTGCGAACGTCGTCCATTATCGAGCAAAATCTTGAATCATAAATCGGTGACCACGATCGCTCGTAAGATCAATTCGTCGAGAGTGCACGATCGTAGTCGCCTTGGGGGTGGTGCAGACGTTTCTGAGGAACCTGGACCTGCACCTGAACTCGCATCTGGACCTGAGCCTAAACCTGAAACAAAACCTGAAGATGTTTCGCCGAAACTTGACATCGAAGTATCAAGTCCACCATCCCCATCACCGCCACCGACACCACCACCATCACCACCATCACCACCCTCGAATTCACTGTCCATACCTATAGAAGACACCGCGGAAACAAAAGTTGAAGCCCAAAATTCTGAAAACAAGCGGCCTCTCACTGCGAGTGGTCCCTGCTGCATCTGCATCTTACAGAAACCGGGATTAGTCGGGTAAACGACCAAGATATTTCACAAGATGCTCTATCGTCTCGAGCGAAATTCTGATTAAATTTCCGCATTTAAGGCGATATTCTCATTTGAAATGTTTTGCTTAATAGGTGATTGTTAGGAATTTCTTTTGGAAAAACTTAAGGCATATAATTTTGAAATTTTGCACAAATATTTATTTAAGCTTTAACTATACTATATAGTAATTTACACACATTATTATATTTAATATTATATTAATAAAGTTATAAGTAATTTTGTTAACGTTGAGCTGTTGATTAACGTTGATTGGACGTTGTAGGCTTTTGGAACAAAAACGGTAAAAAAATTGTACTGTAAACTTGCGACCATCGTCCCATTCGCGACGAAAAGTCAATATCTTTGATATTTCAATTTTTTTTAAGACTCAAAGCTGACAAGAACGGGCTAAAAATCGATTTTTCTCTTTTAAATCGTGCTATTTTGTCAAAAGTAAATTTTTATCCCCTATCGGAGTAGAAACGATAGCCACAAGTTTATAGTTTAATAATTTTCTCACCGTTTTAGTTTCAGAAGTCTACAACATCTAGAGTCGTGTTCTAGAACCATGCAAACAAAACTTTCGTTCAGCGCTATACAAGATTATTTATAATTTTATTAATATTGAATATAATAATGTAGGAATTATATAGTTAAAATATAGATCAATATTCGTACAAAACTTCAGAATTGTGTAACTTGTAGTTTTTTCCAAACAAATTTCTAAAGATTACTTACAAAACAAAGTTTCAAACCAGAATACCCTCTTAAAAAATAATAAATAATCCGGTTAATCTTAAATATAACGTTGTTATCATCCGTGTAATTTGCCTTGGTAGGGACAGGAAGGTAGATGAAATAATCGAATACGTGCATCAGAACCTCGAGGAGGCCGTCAAAGCTCTAGCAACTTTGGGCGAGAACTTCGAACACGATTTAAAGGTTGAGCCCCACATTCAAGTAGAATGTCGTAAAAGTGTTTCGACGTCTCGAGGGCGAAAGAGGCGAGGGTACAATTGATCACCCGATACAATTGATATTTTTGTATTTTACGACGAACTCGTTGAAAACACGTATACATCAGTTTCGGCAAATCGAATAGCAAATCTCCTTTCTCACCTGCAAAACTGAATCAGAAGGGAGCTCAGTTCATTTTCTCCATTTTATTTCTTTCCCATACAAGCTGGTGTTCGTCGACATCCTCGGCCGAATCCAACAATGGAGCGGTATCGTGCAGAACAAAATCGGCTCCTGTAAAAACGAGGTGAACAAGTTGAGCAAGGAATTATTGGCTCGAGCGTGCGAAGTGGCAGATCTCAAGGCTCAAATAGCAGATTATCAGAATGTAAGAGATGCCTTGTGCCTAAGGCTGTGTTGATAAATCAAAGAGTAGATTACAAGCTGTTACCGATTTTTACAATCACGATAGAGACGATCGCCGAGAACAAGTAATCAATCGAGAAGAATTGATAAACGGCGAATGAACGATCAATTGGAGATACCTGAGCAACGTGACCCTGCAACACCACTCAAGGAAGGTGAGAATGATAAGGTATATGACGATACCGTAGAACTAGATGAAGAAGAAAATACAGAAGAGAAAAAAACAATGGAGTGGAGGGAGGATGAAGAGGAGGACCGAGAAGAATCTCCCGAGAAGAGAAATGGAGAGGAAGAGAGGGAGAGGAGAAGAAATGAGGAGGAACAGGAGAGAAGAGGCGAAAAGAAAGAAACGGAGGAAAAAAGACCCGTGGACGAGAGGAAGAGGATTGAAGACGTTCCCACGACTGTGTCGGTGCAAACTCAGGAGAAAGACAGGATTAAACACGAGTCCGAGGTAGCTCTGCCCGAGAGATTACCGAGATCGCGAGCTTGTGTGTTTATAAACATCGCCATGTGTTTACTGATAACGTTCCTTCTTCTGCTCGACAGCTCGAAAGCGAGATCGCACGGCTTCGAAAAGAGAACGACAGGATCGTGAAAGAACGAGCGGAATACGAGAACGCGATTCAGCGGGCGCTACTGCGAGGAGTGTCGTCTTTGAACGTCGAGGCCTTGAGAGTCCTTCGTTGCCCTCCGATACCCTGTTGTAGTCCTTGCGTCCCGTGTCCAGCAACTATGGTCGTTCCACCGTAAGATTTTGTCTCACGCCACTTGAACAAACATCAAACTTGACTTTTGTAATTCGATACTTACAAATATATTGTAATCAGTGGTGGGTTTATATAAAAATTAGAGAGAGGTGTTAGAGTATTAAGGCTCTTGTCGAAAGACAGCCCTATTTCAGAAACATTTTTCATTTATTCATTTAAGTAATTAAGAGGTTCCTGAAATAATGTTAACATCAGGCTCCGAAAAGTCATCATCCGTCACTGATATTAATATTAGTATCACGATGTCAATAATGATAATGATAGAAGTAACACAAATTAATCTTATTAATTACATATAACGTGATACGCGTGTTATTATTGGCATATATTGTAACATATGTATAGGTGAATTATAACACATGAAACACGTATTTATCGTTTCAACCAGGTATGAAAGCAACTCATATTTCTCATTTTTCCTCATTTATTTCGAAACATCTCTTTTCTTAAATTTTAAGAAAAAAACTCACTTTTTTATTCGACTCGAACTCTTTAAAAAGAACTCGGTCACAAGAAATTATGTTCAGTAACTAGTTTCTTTAAAGATAAAAGAAAAGATCTAATGAAAACAGAAAGTAACAACAATTTCGACGACCCAATGTTTATAAAGTGAAGAATTATTTTATTTTTAAATTGTTTTTAATCAGATTTATCAGAAACAGATAATGACCGTCATCAATACACCTGATTGTATTTTTTTCAAATTATGTAGTGTAATTAATTGTCCACATTTGTCCATCCATTATTTTTATTTATCCCTTAGGTCAAAATAAGTCATTTATAAACGAAACAAAAAAAAACAGATAATGGCCGTCAAGAACACACCTGGATTATATTTTCTTTAAATTGGATATTATTTAATATTATTCTTAAGAAGTTGACTTAATTAGTCTACTTTCAATAGAAAAATCCGTAATTTAAATGTTTTTTTATTTTGTTTTCTAAATTTGTTTTTGTTTGACAAAAAGATTTAGAATATCTCTAAGGATATCTCAACATACTGGAAATATATTGCAATGTAGTTTAACTGGACTCAAGTATTGTTCTCACTTTATTTCGTTAAGTATATTTGAAAAATCACAAAGAATTAATTTTTTTTTTTATTTCATTGTATCTGAATATGCTCCTAAAATCGAGTTTAAAATAAATTGTATGTATCATGTAACTTTTTTGTTCCTCAAAATTCAAATCTTGTTTTTCTCATTGATTTTCACTACAAGGTCAATATTTTCTGTTTTTCTCATTGATTTTCACTATTAGATCAATATTTTCTGTTTCTTAGAGATACGGTATAATAGATAAACAGTTTAATTTTTAATAACGTACAAATTATATGAAAAAAGCTCACTTCTTTTCAAGTTAACTCACTATTTTCTTACTTTTTTAACAGTAAAATTCAATTTTCCCACTATTTTTGACAGTTAAATCGCTCATGTGCTTATTTAGGTATTCAACAAATTCAATGCGTCACGTTTAACTAAAAAAGAATGAACGAACATTGACTTGTGAAAGTTGTGAGTGGTTGAAATTAACGGAGATACCTTTTCCCAGTGAACCGGTCGTACCGTGTCCCACGAAGAGTGCGAGGAGGCGTCTGGAAACCACAACGATTTGCAACAATAAGGTGCCAAATGATAAAAGCATGAAGGACGGGAATCTCGGCGCGGTGAGACGACCCTGCGGCACTCCTTGTTGTTCGGCAATTCCGGCCAGGAACCGGAAGCTTACGGACAGCAACATGTTTGTTCTCCTTCGTCAGAGTGACGCGGGGAATCTGCATGATCTGAACGAGGGCACGTCGACGATGTGCGGGTCGCCGGTCATGAGGAACATCGAGACATCGAAATTGGATGTGTAGGAGACATTCATAGAAAAAAGTCACGTTGGTGTTACATTTTAAATTGGCCATAGTTATGCAAGAAAGATCTAACCCTCCTCCCCTTCCCTTTCCCTCAAAATTATGGTCTTTGAGATTTTGTTAGTCTCGGTCTACAATAAGTATTTTAAGCCTTAAACCTTAAGCAATTGACCAATCACAGTTAATTATTCACTTCACATTCAACTGTGATTGGTCAATTTCTTAAGGCTTAGAGATTAAAGCACCTATTGTAGATCGGAACTTACCAATAAGTAGTCTGCATACCTACATAAAACCCATCTTTCTACATAAAACAAAAAGATGCAAGACCCTCATGGATGTCTAAAATTAATTAAAAAACAGTTTTTATTTTCTATTAGTTGTGCCATTTTTTACTCGTCTGTTTTACGCGTCTTATTTATCCATTTTTCAAGGATTAAGCTTGTCAATGAATGCCCTTAAAGAAAAGAATAGAAAATGCATCATGCTTGACTTTTTAAATCGATTGTGAAGAACTTCAGTGCTATTTACGTTTTTTAAAATACATTTTTCAAATTACATTTTTTGAAATTCATGTATCCAAATTTTCATCTTCATTTTTCTCGAAACGTATTCCATGTGGGTCGGATCCCTCTTGCATAATTATATTAATAATTGTTCCGGGCGGAAGTACGCATCGAACGTTCGTTGTAACGTCGCACTTGTGCGCGAATATATCTTGACTCGAGACTCGGCGAGGAGGAGGGGAGAGGGAGAGAGAAAGAAAGAGAGATGGTGCAACGTCTTTGTCGAAAATATAAATATAACTTTATGCAATAGTATCAGAAAAATATTACAAATATTGAACATTCACTTTCACAAGTAATTTGAACATTTCTTTCCGCTTGAGCGCGTCAGAAAGTATAATTGGAGAATATACTGAAGCTCAGTGTTACTTCAGTCTATTGAGGCAGGACGTTTTCGAATCACATATCCTAACGAAAATCGTTACGCATACAAACTAACAAACTAACCGCGCGTGTTAGCGAACGTCTTGACGAAATCCTCCATTTCGGCGCGACACATTCGTGTGATGGCGCGAGGTGAAACGCAATAACGGTAGACAAACGTGTGTCCTGCGTGAATCTTTACGTGTAATGCCTGTGTCAAACTCAAAATTCTCGTGATTTCCCCATAAAGTTACGCGAGTAAATCAAAATAACTTGATAAATTATTAATAATCCACTGTCGCGTGGCACTTCGCTCATATGAGAAAAATGAACACATAAATTCGCAATAGGTGAATAATTCGCGAAATTAGTAATAATAATAACAATAATAGTAAGAAAATAATAATAATAATAATAATAATGCGGAACACGCGACACATCGGTCGATGATGTCAAGATTAATTCTACGCGATCACGACGGTAAGACAAGCTTTCTCCCCGACGAGGGTGATCCTCAACTCCGGGGAACGCATCGGCGAATGGATTAGGCAAGCACGGTGTTGTTGTACGCGTTTTGAGAACGACGCTCGTCGCGATGCGCAGCGCATGGCTGTGGCAGTGCGCATTCCGCGACGCTTCTTTTCACAATTGAACGTTAAATTAAAACTACGGAATAATCGCTCGTCGAAGAAAAGGAATGTACGGGGTATTCGGCGATAGGCGCTCGTTCGTTGCACGATCGCGCTCGTTACGTGGACTGAAACGACGGAAGCCTTAAAATCTTAAGAGCCTCAGCAGAATGGCTGACTTGTACCTCTAAGACAATGCTTTATGTCATTAATCTTTGTCTAAATTATCATTCTTTTATTATCCACCGTTTTTTTATTATACATCGTTTGTTATCAATCACAAACAGAACTGTTTTTTAGTTTAAGACTCAAGACACAAGACAGTCATTGTGAATTGCTTAAAGGCAAAGACTTAAAGCATACAATATTAAACCGACAAATTACCCATTCCACTAAGGCTCTAAAACTGCTGTTTCCTCGCCACGACCTTGATTCATGACGTCAGAAGCATTCGTAGGAAAAATACGCCTGACATTCTTGCGGAATAAAAGTTGTTGAAATAAAAGGATATGTCTATAAAACGATATTTATGATCAATTGTGAGCACATTATGTAAACTATTCCGAAAGCTTTCCTTTTACTGTAACGATTAATAAACAGCCGAAAAATTAACGTGGCAAAATTATGAGAAAAGAAAAACTGTTTTAGTTAATCTGTTTAAATGATACTATGTTGTTTTCTTCCTTTTTTACTTTATATTTTTTTATCTTATAATCTAATAAGTGTAAACAACTATATTATTTTATATATGTTTTGATCTAGAAGGAATTTTTATTCTACCGTTTATTCAATAATAATAAAGATAGACTAAAAAAAAGTTGCATATTATGTTAATTTTACGGTTATTTATCGATTGTTAGAGCAAAAGGAAAGTTTTCGAAATATTCCACGAATGCGCTTAATCGGCCACGAGTGTCATTTTATGGCCAAGTTTCTTTTATTCAACGCATATATATTATTCCGCGAGAATTTTGGGCAAGCGTTTCTCGCTTCTGACGTTGACAAACAAGACGACTGCAGCGAGGGGCCAGGAGCCTCAATTAGAACGACATGGTTTTTCGATATCACGAGAGAGATATTTCAGTTTCTACGAGCGCGCTTGTCCGCCAGGCTACTTAAAAATTATCTATCGACTGGCACGCCTGTCTCTCATTCACCGAACATATCCCGTATATGCGACAAACAAAAGTGGACGATTGCACGACGCAAGTCGACAACGGTGTGAAACCCGATGGCTGGATCGTGTTTCTCACTCGAGACACGCGATGAGCCGTTCATTATTGAGAAGACTCCACAACGTGTGTATCGACGAAGTTAAATCGAGTCCCGAGAGCTCACATCGGGCGGCACAGACCGATGAAGGAGTCAAAACGCGGTTTCTTTGAAAGAATTCTCCAGAGATCGAGAGCGAGAGAGAGAGAGAGAGAGAGAGCAAATAAATGATATACACGTACAAAGATATACAATTTATTGTCACGAGAAGCGCGTCGACTCCTCGAGCGCGCTGGTTTGTGCCGTGGATGGGAGTCCCGGGGGCGAAAAATTCTCCTAAAAACACCTCGAAATGGACAAGTCTTGGGTGGGCGACGTTCTCAGCGCTCGGCGGAAGGAACAGAGAACGGCGGGTGGTTCTTTCGGCGGGTCGGTCGCTGATCCAGCAGCGACGGTCGCGCGTTAAATATCTCGAATTAAACAACTACTCCCGAGCTGTCCGTCTCAGCTGCTCCGTCTATTCGCTGCCCCTTCGTCCCGGAGAACGCACGTCGCGAACGTCGTCCGACCTACCAGCCGCTCGTGAGTTCCCCGCCCGTGGTCCGCCCGCCGGAGGGCTCACGAGCGGACGACGGATCGCGTCGTCGGATATTGTCGGATATTGTCTTTGTCACTCGATCAGCAGTTTAAGCGCGCTTTCGTCAGCAGGCCGCGCTCTCATATCGTTCATCCTGAGTCTCGTGCCATCCGCTCTTACGAATAGCGATCTGTCCCGTCCCGAGCGTGCTCGTGACGGCAGTACGACACGAGGAGGACGGACAGGTCGACGCAGGAGGCGAGAATAATTTCTCAGGGAAATGAAATGAAAACGGGCAAATAAGAGAGTGAGAGAGAGAGAGAGCGAGTGAGTTCGGAACGGCGACCTGCCTCCTGGGCGAGCTCCTCCCAGCGAGGTCCTTGCAACGAGGTAGCAATCGGATGAACGGGATGACGGGGCGATCCACGGGGGGGGAGGGGGAGGGGGGCCGGTGCCGCGCATTCTCAATCAATGGTCCCTGGCGACGACGGCACGTTCTCTTGGCCCCCGTCCTTACTTGCTGTGCACCAGATTCAGGAACTCCTCGCGGGTCTTCGGGTCGTCCCGGAACACGCCCAGCATCGTCGAGGTCACTGTTTTGCTGTTGATTTTCTGCACGCCCCTCATCACCATGCACATGTGCCTGGAACGCGTATGCAAAGTAAGTTTTTTTCACCGGCGGATCGACCGATCAATTATACGGATTACTGTGTAATCAGCCGCGCGGAGGCAAAAAGGAGGAGAAAAAAGAACGCGAGAGGAGAGAAAAATAAGAGATCTCGCGGTACACCCTCAAGTCTCTCTCTCTCTCTCTCTCTCTCTCTATCTGTCTGTCTGTCTGTCTGTCTATCTCTCGGCCGAGCGAGACGGGCTCGCCAGAAGTGTTATGAATAAAATATATTCCGCCCGCTCTCGTCGCGATCGCTCTTACTTATCAGCGCCATCGATTCGCGCGTTATCGTTGATAAGAGTGATCACGACGGGAACGGGCGGAAAACGCGGCGCGCGGAACATATTTTATTCACAGCAGTCTAGGCGAACGAGCACTTCATTAACTAATCCGGGCGGATTCGATTAACCTAACGTGACTTTCCGCCTCGCGGGAAATACGCTCGCGCCGATGTCGCAATACGGTGATGATATCGATTTATTATTTTCGCGTCGATCGACGGCGGGAAGAGTAGCTCGGTTTTATCAATGATTGAAAGCGCAGCCGGTGGAAATAACGCCGGCGCCGGTGAAAATAATCACCGACGGCGTTAACGACGGTGCGGGTTCGGCAAAAATAGCGCTCGACGCCGACCAAATTAACGCGTGACGACAATAAGCCGGTTATTTTTGCACCAGACGATTACTTCCCAAGACGGTCATATTGTTGCCAGGGGTGCATTTATATTTCGCGGATATTTCGAGTGCTCGCGTATGATTTTCGGATACATCGCGCGCACGTGGGTACGAACTCTCCGAATTAAGGTTGATTCTCGCTACCCGTCTAGACGGTACAAACGGACGAGCATCCGTCAATCGTTAAAACCTTCTTCAATGTGGCGATGGTGACGGATACTGCAAATATTCTGATAAAAAAGTATCGGAGAATGTTTCAAAGGTGATTTGACAGGTTCCCGTTTAGAAGGATCGCGTGGATCAATCTTTACTCGCGAACGGATGGAACCTTGATCCGTGAACTCGCGTGCTCCTCGATATTTTGGCTTCGTTCTGATATTCATTGCCAATGCAGCCACGCAGCAAAATGTATCACAGAGATATCTGGAAAATATCCGAATGTCTAAATATTTGGTTGTCAAGATATTAAGGAAATATCTGAAAGATATCTGTAAGATTTTCATATCGGTCATAGTCGTATGCGAATGTTGCAAATATCTTTTTCAAAGAAAAAAATTGTGATATCGAGTGTGCTGAAAATAATATTTGAATAAGATATATCTCAGATACAATTAAAAATTGCAGGCGTGAAAATATCTGATTATATTTTTGATATATTTTGCTGTATCGCAATGAAAATTGCATACTGAAAATTTATAGTTCACATTCCGTATACTATACTATAGATTTCCAGTACTATCGTTAAGTATCAGGACGCAGCCTTGGTGATTAAGGGTTGATTCATTCTACTCGTCCAGTCGATGGTAGACGAGCGTCCGTCGATTCTCCGTCAAAACATTCTTCAATGTTTAATGGACGATATTCATAGGATGGTATTTATAGTCGGATTTTATATTTAAAATCATCTTAAGTCAGTTCATCAGATGTTTCGTAGCTAATGAAATGAGCCATACAACATCTGAAGATGAACTTAAGACGGTCTTAAATATAAGATCCGATTGTGAATACAAACTATAGTCAGATTTTATATAAAAAATCACCTCAAGTTCATCTTTAGATACCGCATAGATCGTTTCATCAGGTTTCTTCGTTTTAGCTGAACTAGTGCTACATCGGAACTTTTTTCTTCAACGCTAATTTATACACTCGTTTCATTCACAGGTAGAAAAGTGTAATATAGTTCAGCTAAAATCGATAAAATTATTATTTACAAAGTATCCGAGGATGAAAATATAAGACGATTTTAAATATAAAATCTGACTGAGGAATATCGGTCAGTGCTATACTATGGCGAATTCTGGACGCATAGTGCGCACTACGGCCGGTATCATAGTCCGTTCTTATATTTAAGATCGCGTCTGAGGTTCATCTTCAGATGTTTTATAGCCAATGGAACGATCTATGCAGCGTCTAAAGATGAATTTACGACAATTTTAAATATAAAGACGGACTATGAATATGGGCCTAATGGCGCGCACTAATATATTCAACCGAATTCGCCATGAATATCCTGATAAAAAAGTATTGAAAAATATTTTGACGGAGGATTGACGGACGCTTATTTGTCATCGTATAGATTGATAGTGTGAATTCAGCTCAACACGTTCGCTACCAACGTCACACATGTATGACAGTACAGATTCTTTTTCCTTCATATTATCAAACTAAGTTTATTGTACACAATTATGTAAAGAAAACAAGATAAAATACGAGATGATCTATATTGAGAAAGAAAGACTGAGAAACTTACGTGTGAAATACAAGGCTTCTTTCACGAAAAAAAAAAAAACGTTTATTTAAATACGACGAAATGAAGGTTTGCCAAGGAATGTCGGCGCAATGATTTATTTGAACCTTAGCACTTGATTTTCTCTGTGGCGAACGTGTTAACAACCCTCGGCTCGGCGGCCGAAGTGACAACATTCAGCCACCCCCGGCTTGGCCGAGATTTATCATATCGGTCCCGGCACGCTAATGCGTATCCCGTGTAACAAACAACCGGATCGTTACGTGAATGCTTTAATTAACTTCTGCGAACCTCCAGCGCGCGCGGGGCTGCCTTGCTTGGTCAATGCAAGCGCGTGTGCGGTAGTAACGCAAGGTCGTGTGGTGCCCGCGCGCGTATTCCACCTGCGGAAACTATTCCACGTATCCCGCGGGCGGCCGCATTGAAAGGCGAGAATGGCGCGCGAACTGCTTCGACGTTACGCAACGTCGCCGTATTATTTCATGGATCATCGTTTCGTCAGTATATTCGTAGCGCGAAGCAATATCTCGTATAAACGATTCATCTACAAAGCACGCTTGCGCAAAAGTCGGACTCTTCGTCGCGCTCTCGCCGAACAAGAGACCGTCGGGAGGCCGTTTTTTGATGCCGATTACCTGGTCCGGTCGCGCGATGTCGGTTTCAGGCGTGATTCACGCCGCGAAACCGAGGACACACGGTGTGAATCTTTCGAGCACTTCGTGTTACTTACACTCCTTCGACGACCACGGCGACTCCCGCAGGCTGCACCGCCTTGGTAACCGCTATCGCGATTTGCTTCGTCAGTCGTTCCTGCACCTGGAGGCGTCTGCTGAAGATCTCCACGATCCTGCGTACATGGAAACGTTTCTCTTGTGATCTCGCCCCGGTACTGCACGGAAGGAAGGAAGATCGCTTGACGCGACAAGGATGCATTGCCCATAAGTCGAAATAATGAAAAAATTATGGAAAAAATCACAAATCGATCCACGTTGTATATAGAAGCGGCACCAAAAGTTTGACAGTAATGTTTGGTCGTCCATTGGTCAGGGTGACTCAACCGACCTCATTTTTCAGCGTACCAAAGAGCACTTGATTCGCGTTAATCCAACCGACTCGTTTTTTGCGCATAAATCGATGTCGAGTACACTGTCGAATGCGTAAATTTGTCCTTCACTTAAGTCGGCCAATATTTCTCATCGGAGAAATATCATTTCTTTCTCTCTCTTATCCATCGTTCAAAAAAAGAAACAAACAGAGAAAAGAAATCCTCACCCCGTTTATGCGCTGTGTAGGGAGCGAGATAACGGTCGTACACCATTATTCCGAGAACACGTCGGAATGTCAGTCGGGGGAGTGGTTTCCGACCGTTTATTCGCGTTTAACGAGTAAACGGAGCCCGCGGGAGCCGTTACCGCGTGAAAGTGTACGGTGGTCTTAGGAGACCAGTCTCGTCATATTCTTTCTTTCCGCCTTAATATGTCACCGACCAAGGCCAGGCTGCTGAACGGACGTGCAACTTCGAGTTACGAAATTGCCGAGGCACCGCCGCCGAGTGTGTCGAATGACCGGCGCAAGAGAATAAAGAGACGAAAAATGGCGCATTAGATAGTTATCATCGAGTCCCCGAGGCTCGCTTAGGTCACGCCGAGGATCCGGCTGGAAGTCGCGATTTTGCGACTCGAGTCATCGACGACGTGTCGTCGTGTACTTCGAACCGGCTTCACGCGAGGAACACGTCGCGACGGAGTCGCAGTTAAAATCGTCCAAGTGAAGGAGAGATCATCCGCGACTCTTCTCTAATCGAGCCATGTCGCTGTGATTTCCCGACGATATCGCCTGATCTCACCGGGTTAATTACTCGGCGGCGTTTTGTCGCGCGCCTCGAAAATCAGCCGGGCATAATGGAGACCCTTAACACACACACACACACACAGGGATACATGGGTGAGATCTTAATTACCTGGCGAGCTTGCTGAGGCCTAGTATCTTCTTGCAGGGGAGGTAGCCGATAGACACCTTGCCGTAGAACGGTACTAAGTGGTGCTCGCACATCGAGAACATCTCGATGTCCTTCACCACCACCATCTCGTCGTGATCCTCGTCGAACACCGCGTCGTTAATTACATCTGGAAGAGGGACGAGCGAATTTTTGAGAATTTAGAATCATATATCGTAAGTACGACGAACGTGTGGAAATGTTGTACTTCAGTCGATTAACATATTACGAATATTTAATTTTGTGTTAATTTTTGACACAATATTTGTGTTATTTTTCAACATATCCCCCTTGCGTTAAATTAACACGAAAATTTGTGTAAACTGTTTAAGACATGTGAAATGTTTTTAATTTAACACATTTTTTACTGTGCATGTTTATGGGACATTTTCTACTTCAATTTGCACCCAAAACATCCTTAAGCTGCACAGTACAGTTGCATTCTGTATATTACAAAGTATAATTTACGATATAAAGACTGGGAAATTCTTGACCTCTGGGACATTGTTCGCACAGTCTCTTCTTTCTCCCGTAAACTACCGAATGATCGCGCGAGTGATGCGCCACACAAAGAAAACAAATTTTGCTAGAACAGTGTGCAGAACAGGGGGAAATGTTTGTCAATATAGTGACAGCAAAAAAAATTTTGCTTAGGTAGCAAAAAATTTGTTTGGACAGCAGAAAGATTTGTTAAAAGTATTAATTGTCCGTATATCCAGCAAATAGCAATTAATACTTTTAACAAATCTTTCTGCTGTCCAAACAAATTTTTTGCTATCTAAACAATTTTTTTTTGCTGTCATATTGACACATTTGCTGTTCTAGTAACATTTGTTTCCTCTGTGTAACGTGCACAGCGCAAAGTCGTAGTTCAATCGAGCAAGTTGCGACCGATGCACTGTTGATGTTAACAGAATTTACAGAACTTGATTAATTACCGTTCGCGTATCTCTGCCAGTTACGTCACTATTTGATAAAGTTACGGACGACTTGCAGCTGAGGTTAGTTCACACGATACCCTTTAAATGCAGTATCGCTCGCTTTCCGGAGATATCGCCTGTATCATCGCGGTTTATTCGCGCATCAATGATTCGTCGGAGCTAATCAACTTGCGGCAGGGCAGGGATATTAATCTCGAAACAGATTCGTGGGAACGATATCACGCGGAGGCGCGAAAGAACCAACGAAAATAGGTGAGAAACGACACGATGGGAAGTAAGAAGGAACTCTAGAATGAATATGCGACGATAAGTCGCTTACTGGGAAAGAACTGCTTTCTAAAGTGGAATCAGTGTATTATCACTGAGAAACAGTAGAGTCAATTGTAAATATAGTATTGTTTTCAATAAAATCTCGCTGAAAGGATTTTTAATAGTAACCAGTAAAATATTACGGATTTTACAGCGAAATTTTACTTTCACTAGCCAAAATCAATGAAGTATAAGACTGTGAAAGGAGCTAAACGGAAGAGTTTCCACTGAAAATCAGTGACTACTCACTGATATCGGTATGAAATATGTTTTATTGATTTAATCAGAAATATAACAATAATAATAATAATTATTACTATTTTATTGGTCAGAATATGTATATTTAACGATCTGATAATCTGACACTTAAATTAATTATATAAATTATGGAAATGATGCACAACAATTGGCGTAGTAACAGCTTTACAGCTGCTGTTATTGTCTTGCCAGATACTCCTACTCCCACCTCTCTTGAAGAAATGAAAATAAGGAAGTAAAAGTTGAAGATGAAAATACGTAATCAAAATTCCGTCTTTTAAAGTGTTATATTGTGTCCGAAATCATTTTGAGTCAACTGTAAAAAACTCATGAAATAAGCGGGAGCAGCTAACTCCTCTCGAGTTGCTGATTCGCTCGAGCGAAAAAGGCTTCGAGCGCAAAGGGTTAAATGCAATGTAGATCAATTTATATTTTTTTCATAACTTTTTCATTACCTTGAGTATAAGTGATACATCCTTAACGGAGTGTTGGATACGAGAGTTGCGTACACGTGTTCGCGCAATTTTCCGACAAGCGTGCGGCAGGTGAGACACTACCACGACCAGGTAGACCCTCACAGGGGGTGGTTAAGTAATCTCCGCGTTCGGTGGAGGTGAAACCGAACTAGTCCCAACTTTTGTCAACATGAGGTTTTCGGTAGGCCGTTATACATGCCAACTCTCGCTCATATCGAGATCTTGGCGTGTGGAAGAAAGCTCAAGCATCATCTTGGTCAGGTATTTGAGCGAAGAAGATGAAGAACCATGGCCGGATTACGGTCGGGGTACGATTGCTTCGACGAAAGCAGCGGCGAGAGAGCACTATCAGCTGTGTGTCGCGAAAGAAACGCTCTTCCGTTCTGGTGCCAGCCGTTATCCCGGCTGTGATTTAGCCGATATTGACCTACTTACTGCACAGTAGATCCTGGTGGTGGTGCGTACGTACGTACGAGCGGGCGGCGGGCAGGCGGGCGTTCGCTGTCGGCAGCTAGATAATGGGGGTGTACTCCCCACGGTTTCCACGGCAACCTTAACAAGAAACACCTTCGCAATGACCGACAACGTTGAAACGAATTCGCCTAACAGCCCACACTCGAGCTCCTGCGCGCGCAAGAGAGAGAGTAAAGTAGAATAGAGAGGAAGAGAGAGAGAGAGAGATAGAGAGACAGTCCCTATTGTTGCATTCACGCAAGGGAAGGACACCTCCGCGAACTTTTACCTCGCGCGAACCGGACTTTCCACCGCTCGAATGAGACGCGATACGAGCAACGCCATCACGCTCCCCTGTGACGTACGATTGAATCCGCCCGGCGGTTTCTTTCGTCCAATTTTTCCGGAGGACGCACAGCTCGCGGGACATAATCGCCAGCCACTCGCCGCCACACACGTGGAAGTCGAGGCAATTTCCTTCTCCCTCGTGCTCGCCGAGTGCTCTCCGAGTGTAAAGTTCGATTTTTCAACTCGATGACCCAAACGTGGTCAGCTTGCCCAGCGCGATTCGATTAACGTTCGCAGCCTCTCACGCGCTGCAATCCCTGCGCATATTTTCTCCCTTTCTTCCTCTTTCTCTTTTCGAGTGGTGCTTGGCAAATTTCTCAGTGAAACGTCTCGGATTTACCGATCGAAGACGAATCTCGATGAGTGGAAAGACACTCTGGATCCTGAAAATTGTACAGTCTGTCTAATAAGAGTGTGACCGACATAACATTTAAAAAATTTATTATAAAAAAATGGAAAAAATTATATATATACTAAAGTACGATGTATCTTCAATTGTATCCTCATTGAGCATACCTTCGCATTCAAGCGACAAGAATCTACGATAGGACGATAGGAGAACGAAATGTTGAAATACGAGAAAAATGCCGTCGTAGCGTAAATCGCGGGAATGTCCGAATTTCCGATAGGAGGAACTCGTACAAGCGACGACGTGAGTGGCACGAAAGCCACAGTGGAATTGTCCGCGCGAGGGGATGATGCGGCGAAGGCGATTGTGCTTTCGCATGAGAGTGCCTCCGTTTGAGATTCATCGAGGCGCGCCTTACCACCGTTAACCGAGCTTATCTCGAGAGCCCCGTCCGCTGCTCGAGCTAAGTCGAAGTGAATTAAAGTCTCTCCATCACCTGTAGCTTCTCCTCGTTTCAGGACGATACTTGATTATTGCGAGCTTAGCACACGCGCGCGCGGGAAACAGCTTGAGACAGGCGCGAAATCAGCGCGTATTTTCAAAGGATACTCGCGATCAAGCGAGACGGGAAAAGCGAAGAGGTCGTCTCTCCGATACTCAGTCATTCTCAGGAAGGAAAATAAAAATGTGTCGACGAGACTGAATCCAATTTTCTAAGAAAATTTAGGACGAGACAAAGCTGTCCTTCGAAGATCGTTTGAAATTCATCATTTTTGCGGGTTTCTGATGTATATATATTTGACGACTGTCGTTATATTAAATAAAACAAACGTGCACGCGACTTGTTAATACCGAGAAGAGAGAGATAAGCGCGCGTGTAAATTACTCGGGAGTCAGTAAAATTAAATGAGCGACGCGGCGTGTGATTATTCATAACGCAATCCATAATTTTTTATTACTCTCTGGCCACGTGCAAACTCAGAGAACAAAATGATTTTTCATCGGCGAAAGAGAGACCGTATCTGTCCGATGAATCGCGCAAGCTTTTCTTTGAATTATTCGTGGCATTTAGTGCTCGACAGCATCGCATTTAGTGCATCGACAGGAACGCGGAAGAACAAGTTGAAGAGGATTTTCCTCAAGGCGTGCGTCCCTGAGACCCATTTATACCAAGAGCTTTACGCTCCCCATTCTGAATCCGCACTTAAGTCGTACCCATCCACCCCTTGGTTTCTCATTCTTTTTCTCTCTTTCTTTCCCGCTCTCACTCTCCTCCTCTCCCCCTTTCTCTCTCTCTCTCTCTCTCTCTCTTTTTCTCTCTCCCTCTCCCTCTTTCTTTGTCGTGACAGAGAGCAACTTGAAGAGAGGCGAAAAGTAGTGGCACTTTCACGAAGTAGACACGCGTCCCTGTAATTCCGCGCCGTGTCCGTAATGAAAGAAACCCAGTTATAATTGCCCGATGACGGATTGTTTTCCGGCTAATTATTCCGTTTCTCTCTTTCGTCCACTCTAAATTGCACCCTTCACTCCGTCGTAATTGCATCGCGTTGAATACGCGGCCGGTGTTACATACCGTTCGCGCGTTTCTTTGCGTAAGAGAGGTAAAAAGTCGTCGATTTGCGGAAAATGCCGCTCCTCGTACTTGCTCGAGATCGTCCGCTCGAAGAAAAACGGCCCACTATGCGAACTTCGTCGCCCACTTCCAGCATTTTCCTGGTCCACATAAAAAAGTTTTTCGAGAGGCGTTTTTCTTCGCGTTTTATTCATACGGTTGCTAACTCCTCTCTAACTTATTCTCCGTTTTACTGAATTTCAACGGGAGATTTTTGTTCCTCAATAAACACCTATAACGTACGATATCGTCCAAGAAAATGCCTCTGATGCATCGAATTTGCCGGCGATGTATTGGAAGACAGAGATATTGTTGCAGTGGAATAGTTAAAACACTAGTTGAAAATTCCAGTTGTGAAAATTCCCAGAGTGATTTCGAAGAGGAAATCTGACGTATCCGAGTCGAAATGTTGATGCTGTTTGACGTTTTCAAAGATAGCTTGCGTCTACTTCGATATGGCCTTTAAAGTAATACAAACTTCTTTTGACGATACTGACACTTATTAACTTCTCTCTTGAACCTTTCATTCTTACAGATTTAATTTTAATGTTACTTTAAACAATCTAAAATAACGAAAATGGAAACGACGATCAGTAAAACGAGCCAATTTCTGCCTTAAAAATACAACGTAAATTATATATGTCAATTATATATATAATTTTATGTTTTTAAATCGCTGAATACGATAGTAGTATTTTTGTTCGTCTAAAGTCGTGGTAAAGTGGTCAAAACAAGTTTGTATTACTATCTAATTTAAAGACCATATCTAAAGACCATATCTAAGTAGACTACTTATCTAAAGACCATATCTAAGTAGACGCCATCTAAAGATGCGTTAGATTTTTTTTTAAATAAACCTGGAGCCCTATTATATAATACATTTTTTATTATATAATATAGTGTTTTGCAAATTCATTCGTTGTTGTCATAATCTGAAGTGGCTTTAATATAAAATATATTATTTAAATATTCACCAGGAACACAAGTGGAGTATAAATTATATTACAAGAGTATTGTTAGAGAGAAAGAGAGAGAGAGAGAGAGAGAAATTATAGTTTTTAACTTTTGGAAAAAACCGTTTTTTACTCAATTTTTCTGCGGAGATATTTTTGGCTTCTTATATTTTCTTTACGGAAAAAAGTAAATGCGACAAGTTGTTGTCGAACACATGTGAATTTTTTAAAGCGAATTTTTGTATTCTTGGGACAGAAACTATAGTTAAAAATTGCAATGAAACCTAGTTTGCTATCTTAGCTCCTACTGCATTGTAGAATTTAAAGCTTAACACGGAGTCGAAATTTCGTCTCCAATAGGGAAAACGCGCGCGTTACATTCCGAGGCGCCTAAACGCGAGACGACCTAAAGATTATTCGTTTCAGCCGAACTAGATTGCACCGTTCGCCTTCAGGATGAAACAAGTGTATAGCCTAGCCTTGAAAGGAAAAGAAACGAAGTTCCAGTTTAGCACTGGTTCAGCTAAAACGAACAGGCCCATTTCCAACAGCGTGATTATTTCGACGTGCGCGACACACGCGTTTCCAGCCGTACCTGACAATACGCGTACACGTGTCGCGATCCAATGCCAAAGTCAAGAGCGCTGTACTTGACATTTAAGGAGTGAACGTTCTTTCGGCAATGCCGCCGGCCACGTAGCACCGCGAAATATCGCGACGACGTCCGGTCGCAATTACAACGTCAGGAAGTCGGATTCGCAGAACGACCGCGGGCGGTTGGCCGCGCTATTAAGCAACAGCCGATGAACCGCAATCGCGTGTAATTGCCGCTTGCAAAATTCACATCGTATATGGATCCTCGAGCGCAACCTTGGATTAGCCGCCGCCGCCGAGCGCCAAGGCTCCTCGCTCGCGTTTCTTTTTTTCTTTTTTTTCACGCGCGCGCGCGCGCGAGACTTGGGCGCTAGTTAGTTTTGCAATATCTCTGCACCGACTAGAAAGGCGAATAGCTGAGATAATTTCGCGACAAGCACGCGATTTCAGCGATCGCTTGTCGATCGAGCGTTTATCGCGAAACCGATCGATCGCCCGCGAATCGATCTAGAAATCAATCTGGTGATCGAGAAAATCGCCCTTCACCGGTCGACTCGCGGGGTTTTATTCCGGGGATTCGCAGCTTGAGCTACTAAATCATCGTCCTCGACTCGGCTTCAGGGCCGATTCTTTACTGTGTTGAACTTCGAGGCGAGCGACGCGCGGTACATTTCCGCTTCTCACGACTTAAGGGAAGTAGAGATTCGAATTTACACGAAAAGTCGGTAAAATTTGACCCTTTACTACAAGTATAGGAATTGATTGAATATAAGATCCTTTTGTAGGCTATTTATATTACACAGGATGCCCGAAACTTTTCTTCCAATCGATCGCGTGAAGGTAAAATGGGCTAAACTTAACAGAAAAGTCTAGAAAATGATAAAGGATTTTTGATTCAGAATGGCCTGATCTAAAATATACAATAGCTGTTGTACTTGGCGACAAGGTTCGAAGTTCAAGATTCAATATATCGATGTCTATCGCTAGGTATAACAGCTGTCGTATATTTGTAGATTAGGCCATTCTGAATAAAAAGGTCCTGTACCATTTTGCAAATAACACGCAAATTTTTGAGTTATTAATTAAAAAAGTTTCTATACATGGCCATTTTCAATAATTAATAATTCGAAATTTCGTTTGCAAAATGGTAAAAGACTTTTCTACTCAGTTTAACCCGTTCTATCTTCATACACAAACGATTGCAAGAACAGGACACTTTGTATATTAATGATAAAAAAATATTTAAAGAATTTAAAAGATATTAATATGTGGAGCTATTGCAACTCGATTCGTCCTGCCGTGTATTATATGATTTTGTGCAGGAATTACGAGTAATCCAATCAACATTTTTAACATAGGCAAACAGCGCTGTATTTCAAAAGCTTTTCCCTATAAATTGAACCAAAGGAATATAAATTCGGTAAAGATGAGCAAAATGACAGAAAAAATAAAAACGTCGCAGAAATTAAATGCCTTTTGTTGCGACAGAATTTAAATAAATAATATTTTTCGAATGAAACTCGGTTAAATCTATAAAAGATGTAATACTTTTTAATTTAAAGAAAAAAATATCTCAATATCGTTGCTCGTTTTCAGTTACGTCAGTTACGCCTGCCAAATTACAATATACACTTCGGGATAAATCAAGCAGCTCTATATGTTAATATTTTTTCATTTCTTAAATTTTATATGTTTTTATCGTTAATATACATGGTATATAAATAGCCTTACAGAATGTCGCGCGTATTCAATGAATTTCTACACCTGGGTCGCAACCATGTAATTTCTCCATAGAGATAAAAATATAAAAAGCGAGAAATTCTTTCGAAATTTCCCTCAGACTCAATTTCAGCGACAATTTCAGCATGTGAATTCTCGAACAATGGGAACGTGAAAATTTACACAGAAAACTTCTCACTTTTCACGTGTTCGTTCTTGGAGGAAAGTTATATAATCGCTATCCTGTAGCATACAAATCAGATTTTACCAACTGTTCAGCTCGAGGTTCGAAATCCAAATCTCTTTACCTCCCTTTCCCTCTTTAAGACACACCTGAGAGATATCGGACAGAGGAATCAGAACTGTTAGGAGACAAGGAGGAGGACGTTGTTACCGAGTAAAAGGAAGCAAGACTCACCCTCGAGGCTTTGGTCGTAGCCCTTCGTGAAGAACAGCATGGCCTTCGCGGCGCGTTCCGGGGTCTTCAAGAGCCCCGGTCGCTCCGGGTCCTCGCCCAAAGAGCTCAGCAGTAACTTGTAACTGCGGGACATCTCCGGCAACATCGCTTCCCGCGTGGGCGGTCGGTGGTCCAGCTCCAGGTCATGGTGGAACATGCATTTCTCGTGGCCTGCAACGCAAAGGTCGCGGAGCGATTAGCCGGCGGATAGGATTCAACGGGACGATCTCCAGTAATCTCGCTCCCCCCATCCGGCGAACGCATCGCACGAGAGCTCGCGCCTCGCAGTCCCAGTGACGATGTGTCAACATCTTCGCTATCTTACGACCTTTGTCACGTCGCCGACGCCGCGGCGCGAGTATCTGCAATCTCGCGGGATGAATCTCGCACGGTCACTCCGATTGAACGTTTTTTGCTCTTGTTACGTGAAATTGACAGAACATCTCTCGTAAGATCGTGTGAGACCGATCGGGAGGAGAGAGAGAGAGAGAGAGAGAAAATATATGGTGACCATCTCGCCTTATGGAACTTGCCCCGAATTCGAGATTCTCTAATCGGGAGCAACTTGCGAGGCGACCCGATACAACAACTCGAGTGGAAATATATCTGGTCGGAAGCTGAATCGAAAACCAGTAGTTAGCTATTATAAGCTAAATTCAATTTTCTAGCTCGTTTACCAGTTCGTTACTGGCTGATTATTCACTAAAATGTAGAATTTTTTGCGATCTGGCTGTTATCTGGCCATTGCAAACCCAAGTGTGGATTATTCTAGCTGAGCCTTTTCTTACACATTTCTCACCGTTTAAAATCGCGTCATTTAACACGATTACACGTATTAACTTAACACGATTGAACGTTTTAAATGACGTAAACTAAATCGGCAAAAAACATGTAAAAATAGCCTCAGTCAAACGTGTTTTCAGACATTTATCACACTTGGATTTATAGTGTAGTTGTTATTTTTTATCTCGTGATTTCGTTTGTTTAACCATCAGCTAACTTATTTATCTAGCCATTAGGAGAGGTGAGCGTTATATTACTGGCTATAATAATAAGCGATGTTGGACATAAATTTACCACCTCATGGCTGGATACCCACGAGGTTCAATTTCCATACGCTTCGTCTCTCGCAATGTTGCGACGAGTAGTTCGCATCGGCTCTGCCTTTGCGCAATTATCGACGTTTGATTCGTTGTCGGATGCAATGACCGATCCGATGGATCGATCGATTTTACAACAACTCAGTGTATACTCTTTCTCTCTCTCTCTCTCTCTCTTTCATATTATAATACAGCGTGTTACGCGCGTCCGCGTATCGGTCAACGCAACAGAGATTTTACGTTTTGCGCCGTTATCGGACGGATAACGATAAGTGCTCCTCCTTTGACGGCCGTAGAAGTGTGTCCGAGGGAATCTTACGAAAACGTAAAATGACATAGGCAATTAAAATAGTACCCGCGGTTTCTTAGAGCACGTAAACAGCGTAGAAAATGTTCGGCATAACAGATTCAAGGTTTACACGCGATATTCATGGACTTGCGAGCAATCCGCTTCTCTAAGACCGAGTAGAGAGAAAGAGAGAAAGAAAAAGAGAAAGAGAGGGAGGGAGAAAGAGAAGGAGAGAGAAAGAGAGAGAGGAGCACGCATTCACGCTGCAAACTTCATTAGACCATCTCTCGCTGATGAACCGTGTCGCGTAATTGAATTCAACGCGCGACAAAGCTGCCCCGTTAGAGGCATCGTAGAAAATCGTTTACGTCGCGTCCGTTTCGTAAAGGTGCACGAGAGAATCCGGACGAATCAGTTCGAACAAATAGATCATAATAGATACACTCTCGTAACACGCTTCTTTCTATCATTGTTATCGTGTACTTTCGTAACGCTATAGGCGTTACGCATTGCTGCAACTTTATCCCGACATGATACCCGTGCTCGTTATCGCCTCAAGATGAGTGTCGGGTGATTAATACGGCCACGGGTAATCCGTGTTGACCGTTCACTTCCAAGTTTGACACGTGCTGAGGCCGAAAGAGAGAATGAAAGACTCGACCTGAGAGTGTCCGATACAGCTATTGTCGTTGACTTGACAAAATGGTCTCGCAAAACATAAACTCCGACTTATGATGTAAGCAAAGATACAATCAAACGCTGATATTAATTAGGCATTAATGATCCTGCCACTCCTTGAATGCATTTATTTTTTATGTATCTCTAAAACGAAGGAGTACGCGACGGAAAATCACGCTGAGTAACGGCTGATGCAACGATAAGAAATCGAGATAACTATTCAAACAGGGAAGCTACCGCCAAGAGATTTGACATTATTAAGGGATCTCGATTCCGAGCCATCTTCGAAATTATAGCTGTCCAACTTGTCAAAGTAGACTTTTGATAACGGCCAAATCGAGGAGTGTGTTACTTTACATTTCGCTGATAATTGAGGCAACGCGTCGCGAATATTAGTATTTTATTTATTTAGCAACAGTTAACTTGTAAATATCAACGGCAATTTCGTCAAATCTATTATGACGCGATATGAGAGAACATTGCATTGGCGGTTAACGTCAACCGGCCGAAAAACGCAAAGCAAAGTCATCCGAACGAAACCAACCTCATCGCGCGGCGATGCATTTCTTCAGCTTCCATTTTCAATTCTCTGTAAAGAGAAGAATACTAGCCACGACAGGCGGACATTAGCAATCTGCACGTAAGATCAAGGTCGATCGGTCGCGTCGAATTGGATTGAGATCGAATTTTTGTTCAGAATATCGGTCATGTAATTCTTTTCCTAGGATGGAAACGTGAAAAGTGAAAATTAGAAATGTTTTTAAATTAGAAATGTCACACTTTTTATGAGTTTACGCTAGAGGAGGAGATTTATGACTCCTTGGGGATTGTTCAGAAATCTCTTTTTCCAGCGTGAATTCGTGAAAAGTGTAAATTTTCTAATTTGAAAACATTTGGAATTTTCACTCCTCACGTTTCCACTTTAGAGAGAAGTGAACGTTCCAAATATTATTAAATTAAAAAATGTAAATTTTTCACGAGTTCACACTAGAGAAAAAGATTCATGCTCTCCCCCTGAAAGTGTTGAACATTTGAAATTTTCACTTTTAACGTTTCCACACCTAGGAAAAAATTAAATAATAGACGCTCTTCATAAAGACGTCTGACGTTTCTCTTCCGTTCACGAGCGCTGCGCGGATTGTCACCTGGTGTCGTAGACGTGCGTGGTGTCCTTGGCGTCCCGGGGATGTCCAGTTCGGTCTCCTCGACGTTCTCGCTCCAGGAGACAGTCCTAAGTGGCCCGGGCTTCTTGATCATTATCCCCTTCTCGTCCTCACCGTCGTACATCTTCAGTTTGGCGCATTGACTCGATATCCCGTTCATGATTGGCGGCCTGTCGATGTCGATCTTGGCACTTTGGTTTCCAATTCGCAGGCCGGAAGGATTCCCGGGATGCGTCGAGAGCGGCTCGAAGTGTTCTCACTGTCGTCTAAGAGAATCGATGCGCAACGTGTCGTAAAAATGCACGGGACAAACCGCGAATCCACGAAATAACAGGACGGCTTCAAATATCAGAGTGTCAGATGCAAAACAATCTCGTGCAAATGTGAAAATGTCGAGCGCATCGTTGGCATTAGAGGCGAATATTTCAATGTTAAACAGCGCGTTAATAAAGATAGAAGTAACGTTATAAATTGCGCGATTCCCGCGCGCTTTACCCGCGGCTCAACAGTTCGACGTTCGTCGCATCACGAAAAAACCGATGATTCCGCGAGGTGCGCGCGTAAGGATGCGATATTTCTCACGGACGAACGAACGATCGCGAAATGCACAACGCAGGTTTGTTTCTACGACAAAATAAATTTCACACAAAAGGAGAAAAATCAAGGCAAGCAGAAGCCAACTCTGGTTGGCGATTGAAGCGATAATATTTTTTGCAAAGTAGTTCGAGAGCCCGCAAATTTGTAAATGGTTCGTATCGGCGGTTCAAACATTTAAAATCGAGACGCTCAATGCTACTAAATATATGGTTTTGAAGGCTCGGAAAAAACCGAGATATTCAAATTTTTCTGATATTTCTATGCGGATTTCTATGATAGAAATATATAGTGTTTAGTTACATTTTACAATTACAAATAAGAGTGAAATCTTGTCAGCGAAGTATCACTGATACCACTGATTGCTTCAATTTTCTAATTGACGGGAGCAGAAATCACAAGATAGCAAAACATAACATGCAAAATTACATATCCTTGTAAGTTTTTCTAAACACATTTTCGCTCCCCAAGAGTAGAGGTCACAGAAAAAATCCACAGAGAAATTGTGAAGAAACGGTTTCTTTTCAAACCTAAAAGAGCTGAAAACTGTAGACTTTGGGAAGCTAACCAAATGTGAATATTTCCAAACTACCTTGCAGTAATATTTTATCGCCTCAAGACCAGCGTTGGCTCTTACTTGCCTTCATTCCCCGATTACAAGTTTCATCGCGCGGCAACAGTTCCGGTGTACCTCTGCATCTGACGCTCTTCGTGCCTCCCCTGTTTCCACCACCTGATCGAACTTACTCTAACACGATTCGTGCGGAGAGAGCGAATGTTCACCCTGACATAAATCACAGCGGAGGGCTGCGTGAAGAAGATCCGGAAGAAGAGCGCGTATCGACCGTCGAAGACGACGTCGAGGAGGACGACACGTGCGAACGAGGACAGGCGGCAACGAGGAGCGAGAGCCGGTGCCGCGTGCGTACGTGCGTGCGTGCGTGCGACGGCGGCTGGTGAACGCGCGGAGGAGTCGCGAGGACGATGCTGTTGGGATGGCGGGCGGAGCGCGACTGACGCGAGTCTCGGCGTGGACCACCACCGCGAGTCGAGGTCGAGCGGTCGGTCCGAACGGGAACCACGGCGCGGCGGCGAGAGCGAACGTCACCCGTAATCCTTCCGAAACCGTATATATGCTCGGCCGAGTCTCTCCCTCTCTCTCACTCTCTCTATCCCTCACTCTTCCTTCCTCTCTGTCCATTTCACGCGGCTTTCCCGTTAATTTGACACCTTCTACGGCTGATCTCACTGACGTCCGTTGACGTTAATCGCCAGATCTGATCCTAGACCGTACGCACGCGATAGAACTCGGCCTGTTGATCCGGATGCTGGTCTCCGTAGATCAGGTGCACGTTTACTGCAAACCGACGTTATCGTAGGAGGCCTGACATGCGGATGACGTCCCCGTTTGATGTAAGTGCTCGGTCCCAAAGACATTAGTCGTCGACGTTGACGTTAATCGTTGGTCAACCCTACAGATAGGAGTGATCAGAGGGTGAGATTACGGAACAAGTGTCCGCTTCGAAAGCTTCGAAACCAGCTTCTAAACTCTCCTCGGACAATATAATGTCTAAAATCGGAATACAAGACGTCTTTAAGATGTCAACCCTTGTCTACAATCTTGCTTTAAGACGGAAACCGTAATTGACCAACGGTCGATTATTCTTTTAATAAACAACTGTGATTGGTCAATTTGCTTGTTGCTTACGTCTTAAAACAAGTAGATGAGAGCTTATTTATAAACGTCTTATGTCCTGATTTCCGGTATTATGTTGTCTGCTAGGTCTATTCTTCAAATTTTAACGACGGCACTTAATTTGGGTTCCGAGTCAGCGTTTCGTCCTTCATGGATCTTTCTCCGACGTTTCGTGAACATTTCAGTTTCTTTCTTCAGATTGAGAAATGGTCCGAAATCGTTTTAACGACAATGTCATTGTGACGGTGTCATTACGCTAGTATAAAGAGATACAATCAGCCGTTAGTCATCGCTTATATCACAATGGTGGTAGATCAGAGTTATAAGTCATAAATTTCGAGAAACTTGCATGCGGAATTAATCATCTGATAAATCGTTGCGTCACAATATCTCAGCCAATCAGAGGGATATCAGTCACATGGAGAAAACAAGTTTTGCTGGAACAGCAAATTGTTTGTTAATATAGTGACAGCAAAAAAATGTGTTACACGGAACAAATAATTTTGCTGTTGTAGCAAAACGTCGTTGCGACAGCGGTAAAATTTAATTAACATAACCAAATTATTTTGCTGCCTACATATACAGCAAATAGCAATTAATATTTTTAACAAATATTTTTGCTATCCAAACAAATTTTTTTTGTTGTCACTATATTAACAATTTGCTGTTCTAGCACCATTTTTTTCTCCATACAGTTCTGACCAGTTCTTTCGTAAAAAGATAGTAGATACATATCACTCCTTGATTGGTCGATCATAACGTAATCTAAGTTTTAACCCATAAAAAATGATTGTCTCGATTAATAGCAGTCATTGATTACTGACTTATTGTTTTATGATATGTTACTTACTCGCTTAAAACTTACTCCTGACTTCTGATCTATTATTAACGGCTTATTGTAGAAAGCCCTTAAGATGTGGCGGGAAGCTACGCGACGACGACGCAACGATAGCAATGTTGTCATTAAAAATTACAAAACGCAAGCCCAGAGCGATTTATCGTCGAGATCGTCGAGAAATCGATCTCTGGATTGTGCATCAACTCTTCCTATGAATTCGTTCCTTTCCTTCATCACGCTCGCCGCACACTCGCGCTCGGTACTCGGTGATGATTGACAGTGAGAAGGTGATTCTGCAAGACTCGGAGTTAATCGTTCGGCAACTCGAATCCGGGTTTTTAATAGAATTGCTCCCCTTTGTCCTTAGGCCGCTGGTTATTCCGTAGTTTCGTGCATTCAACAGATCGATTTGCTCTGCGTCACGTCCTCGTGAGTGATCGTTCGCGTAAATATCAATGATATATTTACGAGACACACATCGTTGCAATGCCGATATGCAAATTAACGCGATGTTATGCGATATTTCGCGAGCTTGAGGATACATCGGTTTTATCACGTATGCAAGAATAATCTTTTCCAAGAAAAAAATAATGGTCAATAAGAGCCAAATCGTGGCTATTATAGCGATATACACAGTGTCCCAGATCAATACGGACAAAAATCAATCGTGAGGACGTAGAATTAATTGAGATAAATAAAAAAGTCCTGTGTCATTTTGTAAACAATATGCAAAATTTCGAGTTATTAATTGTTGAAAATGGCCATTAGACAGGCTTCTTTAATTAAATTACTAAGTACAATAGTTGTCATATACTTGTAAATTAGACCGCTCTGAACGAAAAAGTCCTGTATCATTTTGCAAATAACACGCAAATTTTCGAGTTACTAGTTAAAAATCTCTACATAATCATTTTCAATAATAATTAATAATTCGAAATTTTGTATGTTGCTTGCAAAATAATACAGGACTTTTTTGTTCACCTCAATCCGTTTTACGCCCTCACGAAGATTGTCCATGTTGATCTGGGACATCCTGTATGACAAATGACAAATTATTGTGGGAGGATATAAATGTTCATCGTTTTTTACGCACGTGCCGAAATATTTTCCAGACAAACATACACGGCGAATCAGTCCTCCACGCATGAGTCGACATTTGAATCTCAATAAATGAGTTTTTCGCATTATATCAATGAATTTTTTATATTATAAAAACCTCTGAAAAATCTTCCCTAATTAATGAATTAAGTAATACATTATTTTTTTATTCCGTTATTGAGAAAAATACTGCCTCAGCCAGGAGCTAACCGTTTATAAATATATTTCTAATAATCTTTTATATTAGTCGATCGATTTAATCAATGGAAGTCATTAATGGAACGCTAACATCCGATGAGTGAGCCGGAGAATTTCGAAAATCATGGGAAATACTGGGACTACCGAGCTCTCTAATGATATTAATTATCACGTTGTTTCCGTTCCAGCGCGAGGAATACCCGGGTACCTCGAAATCATCTTAAGATATACCCTTAGGGAACTGGATCTCGGATTTTTCCTTCCTTCGATTACCACGAAATGTCGCAACCTAACGTTCCCTTCGTATTGTGTGAGGCAATTTTTGCGTGAGCAAAAAAGAGAAAGAAAGAAAGAAAAAGAATCCTCGGCCTGCAATATACACGCGAGGACATTAGGACGTAACGATATCAGGTGTATCGGTGCGCACGATGTTCGCTTGTGATCGGAGAAAAGACGATGAAGAGGAGAGAAAGAGAAAGAGAGAGATACGGGATTAAATGGTCTTTTACGCGAAAGACTTGACCGACGCGGATAGTACCTACGTCACGGAGAATCCCGACGTCAAACAACCGGTTCCTTTGTGCGCCGTTTTTCCTTTTTACTTTCGAGGAAGCGTGAACGCGCCGTTTACTTCGGCGGCCGCTCAACGTTTTCCTCGTTTCGCGACTTTCAACCCCCTCGGACGCGCGATATGCCCGATAATTATATCGATGCACACACACACACACACACACACACACACACACACACACACACACACACACACACACACACACACACACACACACACACACACACACACACACACACACACACACACACACACACACACACACACACACACACACACACACACACACACACACACACACACACACACACACACACACACACACACACACACACACACACACACACACACACACACACACACACACACACACACACACACACACACACACACACACACACACACACACACACACACACACACACACACACACACACACACACACACACACACACACACACACACACACACACACACACACACACACACACACACACACACACACACACACACACACACACACACACACACACACACACACACACACACACACACACACACACACACACACACACACACACACACACACACACACACACACACACACACACACACACACACACACACACACACACACACACACACACACACACACACACACACACACACACACACACACACACACACACACACACACACACACACACACACACACACACACACACACACACACACACACACACACACACACACACACACACACACACACACACACACACACACACACACACACATATATATATATATCATGTGTGTCCCGGATCATCCTTTCGCTTGTGAGTTTCCAAAAAAATTTCGAAGTGGTTGCCCCTCGACAAAAACAGTCAAGACATCAATACACGAGCCAACAAATATCGTACCGTAAATCGTCTGAATAAATAAATGTCTTCTATCTAAATTTATACGTTGAAACAGAAAATGACAATAAAAAATTATTTAGCTCTATAGTTCAAGAAATATAGGCTATATTTTAATTTTTGTAAATTAATAGTACGAGAAGTGGAAAAATAAAACACTGGAACATATTTTTACCATAATTTCTCTTTTTTATGTTTTATACTGTCAAGAAGATTAAAATTTTCTTTATGAGGCGTTTTTAAACGATCTCGAAATAAAGAGTGTTACAAAGAATAGAAAGAAAGAATAGAAATAATTTCTATCTTCTTACAGGAAATTAAAATACATGTCTCATTTGCAAACTCTTTTAGGACATGTGTATATTTATGCACAAACTTCTTATAAGACATATATCTTCATACACATTATCTCATAGTGAAAAATTAGCTTTAAAAGAAATGATTTTATAAAAATATTTTCTTTTTTCTCTGCACTACAAAAGCCTCAAGTATCAAATTTTAATTGTTGTTTAATATAATATAAATTACAACTAAATTTTGATTTTAATTTAAATTTATAATTTTAACTATGATTCAATTTTTATTCTTGAATTCTTACGTTTGTATCAACGCTACACAAGTAACTAATATCGGCGATTTAGATTCGGGATACAATTTTGTTGTTGATCAGTATAATTTCTCTGCATCATAAGTAATCGCGATTTTCAACACGTGCAACATCGATGCGCACTCGGTGCAATTATGAGACATTACAAATATTGTTTGCTCGTTGTCCTGTATATCATTGCGATAACCACGGCGGAATTCGTAACAAGTCATCTAATCTCACAATGAAATGTATATTTTTCTTAGCGGGGCATACGTATTCCAATGAAATCATTCGATTTTTCATGACCGTGAGAATACGCGAGCAACGAATTACTGAAGCCACGTGCGACACGTGTAACATTGTCGCATGACTTTTCATTAAACTTAGCAGTCACTCGAGAGAAGGAAAACTTCAAAGCGCTACTTTACGAGTTTGACTTGCCTTCTTGATTTTCTGGTATAATATTCATACCTTGGCATATCCCAAACTTACCGAGAAATCTTTCAATTATGCTCGCAACGCGAACTTGACATCGTCGTGTGTTACATAGCGCATATACATATTAACATTCCTGTATAATATATCGATTATCGAAAAGAGAAAAAAGAACAAAAATAATGTGCAATTTATGTTAATCCATTTTATTGTACGATCGGATGACCTCGCGTTAACACGAGAACTATAGGATATTAATTA